AAAATGTTCATTCAAAACGGCAATGTTGCGTTCTGCCGTGCGGATGCGCGTTGGAGTTGCAGACAAGGAGGGAGTGATGTATCCGGTGGTGGTTGACTTGATTGACCCTGGCGTCAGGTCAGGCAGAAGTGCAGCAGATTCGGGCATTTTCTGTGGTGATGCGTTGTCAAGATGAGAACCATGACCGTTTTTATTTAATTCCTTTTTTTTTTCTCTGTCTTCCCTGGGTCGGAAAAAAAGAACTATTAATTTTTCTTGGTTTCCCCCGCTCTAGCCAAATAATACATTTATTTCCATTTCCTTCGCCTCTACGGCATCCTGTTTGGTCGGCCGTTGGCTGCCTGTCCCAATCGGGCCTCCTGGCTCTTGGTCACCTTTCCCACCGACTCTTTGACACTCTACCTGTGACCTCCCCCCCTCGCTGATTGACTCGATATCTGTTCATTTTCTGGATTTTCGATTGGCGCAAAAGAAAACAGACTCCCAGCTTTTGCCAGTCTTGGAACCCGTCCAGGGCTCCGGCAGGGCTCCCAGACACCCCTGCACCACCACCCCGGCCTGATGGAGATGCACTGATGCAGAAGGTTGACCAGGGCGTCCTTCGTCGGCTTAATCGACGGAGTTTTTGTATTTTCCATTGGTTAAAAATGCAGAAAAGCGGCGCCGACTTGCTGGATTTCGCCCCTCTGAGCATCCATCACTGATGCAAGGTGGGAGGGGGGCGATGGGGGGAACTCCATCCCCAAGTTTTCCCAAGTTCCTCGAAAGTTTCATATGACTGGGGGTGTGAATGCATCTCCAGAGGCAGATATGCGAGAAGATGGAGCTTCAGAGATGCCAACCTCGAAAACCCGAAATTACACAAGTCAGGACACGAACCGTTTTTTTTTTTCTCTTTCTCCCCTCTTGTAACAGGTTTGAAAGGCTGCCGCAGAACGGAGACGAAGACGCAAGCAAGCAACCTGGGGCAATCTTACACCTGCAAGTCCCAAGAGCGGCGGTGTAAGTCTTCAAGGTCTCTCTCTCTCTGGGCCCCAAACCAAGTCCCACATCCGTCATCGTCAGCCGTCAACGGTTGACAATCCGGCCGCGTGTGAGTGAGAAGAGGCAGCCCAAAAGTCGACCTTACCGTAAGGCAGAGGTACCCAAACCCAAGCCCCAAGAGGGAGGCCCAATGGTGAACCGGCATCATCACCACCTGCATCACCACCTGGGACTTCCCCCAACCACCAACGCCCCCCATCTGCCTAATGTCATGGGTTACGAGGCCAGGACAGGGCGACCAAGGGGGGCCCTTTTACTTTCCGATCTGATCTAACGGCGCATTGATTTTGCATCACCCCATTTCATGTTGCTGCTGCTCCTGCTGCTGCTGCTGCTGCAACTGCATAGGTGTCGTGCGCCATAATACGCCCGTACCTCGGATTAGAACTACTGGCGCCGGTACTGGCTATTTCTTCCTGTTCATCAATGGGACTTCTTTTCTGGACCTGGGACTTGCAGTTGACTGGGTCCAGGGTGGAACCTGAGATGCAACGACGATGGTGAGCGAGCATGGCAAGGCATCCAACGAGGCATACAAGTGACCACTTCCGAGGCCCGGCGTCGGCCATCAAGAGCCAAAAACGCCAAAACGCGCCCGCATCGGTCGAAAGTGGGATCGTCACTTGAAGACATGTATGTCCTAGAGTTATCCGTACGCATGTCTGTCTGGCGCAGGTGACGCGGGCGTGACAGACAACAGCCAAAACACTTCGACGACGCAGCTAACCCTACTTTACCTTACCAAGTGACCATGGCCAGTCAAGGAGAGGAGAGCGTCGTTCCTCATCCCGGCCCGCGGTTCGCCGTGTGTATCTCTGTCTCGTCTCTTGGCCGGCAGGGACCCGAGGTGCCCCACGCAAGGTATCCCCGGGATGACGAACGTCGTTCTGGAAACATGCCAAACGAACAGAGCGTGTGAATGGAGGGGGAACGGGCTGCATGAGGTCTCCAGCCGGGGTCACCCCGGAGCAAGCCAGTTTGACGTTTGAGCCTTCTCACAAAAGAAACAATCGTGCGAGAGAGAGAGAGAAGGAGGCAAAATTTGTCGTCCAAAAAACATCAGACCATGGGCTTGCCGGGGCCTTGGTCCGGAGCCGGAAGGGAGGTACATCGAAATAGATACCTAGGCACCCTGACCTTGAAATTCGGGCGAGGAAGAAAAGGAGGGGGAGGGGCATGACTTGCCCTCCATGCACCGGGATCCACCGCCGACGACTTGGACTTGGCTACACCCATTTCTTCGTAGACTAAACGGCACTCACTCCTGACAGAAGGAATCGGCGTTTGGGCTTCGTTGACGACCATTCTCGAACTCGACTAGCCGGGTAGTGTTGCAGTAGACCTAGAGTTTGACATCGATGAGCGCCAAGAGTCAGAGACGCACGTCAGGGACTTTGAGGTGAGGCACCGAGTGCCGGCCATAGGCCGAGACTCACCCTGGGATGACGGGGCTTCATTTTGCATGAGTGGTGGTTGACCAATACCTCTTTGGCGAGGCTTGTCCGCATTCGAATGCGCCACTCTGCGGTTCTGGCATTCCGGTGGTGAATCGGAACGGCAACCGTAGGCACTGACCCAGAGCCAGAGCCATTATCGACTCCGAGATCCCGCTCAGTACATACCCGTACCGGTTCGGACAAGAGCGTGAGAGTGAGAGAGACTACGGCAAGCCATGTGAGGTGAGGTGAGACTAAAGAGGGGAGAAACGAGCGGTGACGGGTGAAACGAAAACGGTCTGTGCCACGGAAAACGAGCCCGCAAACCTTGTTTTGCCCGTTTGTCTCTCCCGTCCTGTTCTTCAACATTGGGATGCGAAAAGTGCCATCTGAGGACGTGAAAACACCAAAAAGTTGGACGCGGAACTCCAAACAGAATGACGGGGCCCTGCCTCGCCTCCGGGTCTGCTGTATCCCGGAACGCATGGCATGGCATGGCAAGCAAACGAGTCGTATAATTCTTGCTGCAAGACAGGGGGTGGGACAGCGCAACACATGCAACATGCCATGACATGAACCGCAATCGCAACCGCAACGCAAGCCCAGCAGCGAAAAGTGAGATTGGATGCAGATGCAGTCAAACACACTCACGCAGTACACACACTCTCACACACCTACATACCAGAGGAGGACGGGCAGGGCGAGACTACGGTAGACTTTTTGATGATGGGGCACACGCTCACTGGACAATTGCCCACGAGGGCGCCATCTCTCAACCCAACCAACATGGCCACAAATCCCGCTTCGCCGCCCTTCTTTTCCTTCCGTTCGCTGTCGACGTTACATTCGAACATCGCCCACGTCGTCGTCTCCCGTTCCCATCTCTCACTCCCCCTCCACCCACATCGCAAATCGCCCCCATCGCCAACAACACCCGCAGATACACTCGCATACCCCTCCGCATCACCCATTTCTCACCGCGTCGCTTCTCACCCAAGCAAAACTGCGATGCGATCCGCTCGCTCGCTCGCTCGCTCTCCTCCAAACAACACCCGTCCAACCGCACCGGGTACTGGCCGCCTCCTCTTCGCAAGGACGAAATGCAGTATGCAAGCCTCTTTGCCAACGCCGCACGCCGCACGCCATATGCTCATGCCCACGCCACGCCACGCTACGCCGCCGCCGTTCGCTCTCCCGGGACTTTGAACGAGAAAGGCGCACACGGCAAAGTCGACGCAACGCAGCACACTGCATTTCCTGCACGGATCGACCGTCGTGTAAGGTCAATCCAACATCCCACGTCCATCAACTCCGTCCGCCAACAAGAAAAAAAAGTCCGCGTGCGTGTTGTGTCGCCCGTCAGACGCCGCTCGCGTGTGTCTCCTTCGTAAACTTCGTGAGCTGCCAGATGTCGTGTCCCTCACATCTCTCGCTCGGGATAAAAACTCTCCATGAGATACGGCTGCAAGTAGGCAAATCATGGTTAGAGTGAGGTAACAAAACCACAACTCCCGACAGCTGCACGACATCACCAGCCCACGCAGAGCGCACGCAGCCTTCAGCCCCTCAGCCCCGGCCAAGGTCTGTGTTCTTGCCGCGGCTGCGCTGCCATGCAGTGTGACGAACACCACGTCGTCCTTCCATGCTTCCTCTGTCTCTGTCTGCCTGCTGGCTGGATATTATCCGAGATGTGGCGATGCAGACAGAGATCCTCTTCTGCGAGAATCTGCCAAATGCCCCTTCCATCCAGAATTCTCCCAGGCTTTTTCTTATCATTCGTGCGCTCTCCGCCATGACACGAGAGGATCAAACTTCACTGTTGCACCGGCGATCTCCCCTGTGCTTCTCCAGAACGCAGCGCTAGTAGACGAAAGCGTGACCGCATCTCAAAGGCCCCGGATCCTACGATAATCCCCAAAGCCTTGTCCTTGCAATCGGTGTCATCGCGCGAGAAAAGTTCGAATGCATGTCAGATAAGTGAGGGGGAACTAGAGTAAACTGCAAGAGAGAAGAGGGAAAGCTCTGTTTCGTTATCTTGTAATAGCAGCTAACATTATATACCCTCGGGGGCCTGGACGTCGCAGTCGTCCCATCAGCCGTGGTTTCCCATAGAATTTCCGATCCTGTATCGCGTCCCAAGGAGATTGAAAAAGAAAAAAGTACAGACTAAATACCTGTCGTTGATGATAAGTATGGTATGTTTCCTAGAACCCCTCCCCGGCCGCCGACCCTCATATGCCATGCCCCGCCCCCGACCGCCTTCCCTCAGTTCTTATCCCAACGGGCACGGTAAAAAAACGCCGATGAATCATGCACGTATAACGCCATGCCAGCCGTTTGCACGAGGCAGAGAGGGCACTCCTTTTCCCAGCCTCTCCCCCGTTGGAGGCTGGCGCCCCTTCCCCGCCTCGCAGCCCATTGCCGTCGGTGTGCTAGTCATCGTTGACGATGAAGCTAGCGATCGGTGAGCTTGAGTGTATAATTTTTTTGGTTTCCGCCCAATCTATTTCCCCGACCCTTCTAGCCAAAGATCTTGAGAAATCCCCAGATACCGGCTCCGCTGAGCACTGGAATCGTTAGGTTGTCGTCCCAGCCGAAAATGTCCACCACCTCACTGGCGGCCGCCACAAAGCCGGACCACAGACCCATGACACCAAGCGCTAGCGGTCCGGTGATGGTGGCCTGAGCATCCGAGAGCCCCACAGCGCTTGCGATGGCGCGGGGTAAGTGAAGAGCCCCGGTGAACATGAAGGGATACTGCTCGTCGCCGGGGAAAGGTCCCGTTCTCGGCGCGAGCCAGCCCCAGAACAAGTAGGACGACGCAATGCCGACCAGGAAGGCCGCTGTCGATCCCGCAAGAGACTTGCCCTTGCGGATGCGCGGGGTGTATGCGCCGTACATGCGACCGAAAGTGCTGGCAGCGGTATCGCACCAACTGAGGAGCAGGACACCCATGACACCGACGTCCTTGGGGAAGAACTTGAGGACAGCCCAGGCGCCGAGCAGGTAGAAGATGACGCCGTTCCAGCCCGCATACTCGCTCTCGCGCATCAAGGCGCCGAGCACCGAGACGTAGAACCGGTTGAAGGAGGCGTAGTTGTGACGCAGGTAGTCGGCCGTCGCGATAGGCATCAGCGCAGCCATGAGCCACGGTGCAACTGAGCTTGTCTGAATACCCGAAATGTAGAGCCATAATGTGAAGAATCCGATCGAGACGTGAAGCACCTTTCTTGGCACCTCGTGCTTGTGCACAAACGTCCTCCATTTCCTGTGAATAGGTATCAAGCCCAGCGGACTCGGGCTTCGGCTGAAGTCTCGCCAGCTCCATCCTGTGGGAGCGGCTGAAGGAGGGGCCAGGTGGCCGTTGGCCGTCGGTGCCTTGCCGTTGCCGTTCGCATCGCCGTTGAGAGCGACACCATTCGAGATCGGTTCGCTCGGGATGACGGGTGATTTGGGTGGTTTCGTCTGCGTCTTGACGGTCGTCATCGGTGTAATACGGCGAGACTCGATCGGGGAGCGGCTTCGTGTGCGCGATCTGCGCATGGTCGTCGGCTCATAGTCATCCTCTTCTGTCCTCTCCTCTACCGGCTGAGGAGTAGTGAGACGCTTTCTCGTTGCTGATCTCGTTGTAGGGCCAAAGTAGTTGTCTTGTGACATTGCGTCGATCTCTGACGGTGTCGGGCTGGGAGAGATGACACGCGGTGTCGAGGGTACGGCGCGGACAGACATGTTGTTGTACGGGAATGGGGGCAGAGGGGAGCAAGACACTGCCCCTGTCAATAGGCGTTGGAGGGGATGGAGGAGCCTTTGTAGAGGCCAAGATGAGGACCGGAGATAGCTGTCTCTTCTCGAAAGGCGTTCGTGGGGGGCCAGGGCGTCGGCGGCGTAGTGGGAGGCTTGGGAGGCGCGGGCGTGGGTGCGGTACAGGTCGAAACGTGGATAACGTTTTTGATGGTTAAGGCTATGCTGGGCCTGGGGTTCGAGGAGGGAGGCGGGCGTGATTATCGGATCCAGGGTGATGTTTGAGGATGCAGCAGAGAAGGTCTCCGCCGCATGTTGAGCCGGGCTGGTAAGGGGAGGAAGAAGAAGACCACGCAGACATGCGGTCGGTCAGCAGACGGCGTGACATGTGTTTAAAACGAGGAGTTTGGACCGGATCGTCGGTGTCTTGTTGCGCTGCGAGTCCAGTGCCAATACATGGGCTTGTGCAGGTGAGGATTTTTCGCCGTAAGGTTAAGGTACCGAGTACCTGGGGTGTACTGTGCGCCGGGCCGGTGACACTGTCTGTTAGTAAGCCCACATGGTGCCTGGTAGTGGCATGTCCAGCCATTTGGTTTAATCGTTATGGTGGTTTATCTTTGGGATACTTTACTTTAGAACTACTTTAGAATAGATATGGTTATTTCTGACGGCATGAACCATGGTGTACTCATGGTTTTGGTTTCCAAGATGGACAACTATAATGTTCGAGACAGCCAAACAGCTACAGTCCCAATACCCCTCAGCACAGTGTGCCGAGACCCGGATGACCACCGCCCCCGAAGCCCACTCCCCAAGTCCAACACCGTCCGGTGCACGCGACTAATACTAGGGACGGCCTGTCGGGTGGTGTCAAGTCCAGCGGCAGCGGGCAGTTTGCAGGGGTCCGCAGTGCGATCCAATTTGAATGGCAGCGCTTTTTACGGGCTGCCTCTGGCAAGCATGTGAGAAAAACCCACGAAGCCATCTCCGGCCATCCCGCCGCTTCCATGTCGTTCTTCGCAGGAGGATTCTGCTGCGGATATCGCTCTCCCAGTCTGCCATCGTGCATCATCACATCATGGACGCGAGAGACACTGTCTTTCCTTGATTTTTCTTGACCGCCTAGTGCGGGTGCGCAAGTGCCAAGCGGGCGTTTGGCTGGCATCATGGCTGAGAGTTTTTGGGTGGCATGTCATAGGGCGATGACACTTTGTCTTGGTGCTTGTGCGACACTTGCACCCGCGAAATCTGAAATTGTGGCTCGGGGTGGCCCAGGACGGTTGGGCGGAGAGACGGGATGATATCACTAGCTTTGTCCGTGGACGGCGGTCGGAGCAGGCACTTGCGCCAAGAAATCCGGTTATTGGGTGGTCTGATAAGCGGCACACAGTCCACGTGAGCACCTCTTATCTCTGCACCTTAATCGATAACAGATTAGATCCGCTCTTATCGATAATCCAAAAAAAAAAATCTCGGCCCCTCCAGCTCGGACAGAAGACAGCAGCCAGCCGCGACGACTTTCGCAGAGCCGAACTTGAGGCGCAAAATCTCCTGAACCGCCCAAGGCCCGATTGGACAATTGTCGCAATGGCGCCCGACGAGAAGAAGAAGGACCCTAGGTCCTGGCGTGGACTTACACCTCCCCTGGCCGAGTACGACTCTCAAGTCTAATCTGACGACGACGCGCTGCTAACCTTTGCGCGTAGATGGATCCTCGATTTCGTCTCTAGTCAAGGCTTCCAGCGCATGACGCCTGTCCAGGCAGCATGTCTGCCGCAGTTCCTCGGAAACAAGGACGTCGTAGTAGAGGTATGAAAGAATACCTCAACACAATGCGATAGCAGACTAATTCTTGTAGGCCGTCACTGGTAGCGGCAAAACTCTTGCTTTCCTCCTCCCCCTAGTCCAGAAGCTCATGCGCCTTCCCGAGCCTACGAAGCGCGGCCATGTCTTTGCCATCATCGTGTCACCGACCCGCGAGCTTGCGATCCAGATTCACTCCGTTCTCCAGGCCCTCGTCGGCTTCCACCCACCCTCTGCCGAGATCCTCCCTCACCTCAAGGAGGACGAGAAGCGCCCCGACACCAACGTCCCGGTTATCGTTCCCCAGCTTCTCGTCGGAGGAAACACGACGACGCAGCAGGACCTCAGCTTCTTCGTGAGACATGCCCCCAATGTCCTCGTCTCTACACCCGGCAGACTTGTCGAGCTGCTGGCCTCTCCCCACGTCCACTGCACGCAAGCGACCTTCGAGTTGTTCATCATGGATGAGGCGGATCGTCTGTTGGATATGGGTTTCAAGCAGGATATTCAGAGGATTCTTGGGTATTTGCCGAAGCAGAGGAGAACGGGTCTGTTCAGCGCGTCGGTTTCGGAGGCTGTGTCCCAGATCATCACCGTCGGTCTAAGGAATCCCGTCAAGATCGCAGTCAGGGTCAAGAGCTTGAGGGATGGAGGAATCATCGAGGACCGGAAGACACCCATCAGTCTGCAAATGTCGTACCTCCTCACCCCAGCGAGCAAGAAGCTGCCAGCGCTTTGCAAGTTGCTGGAGAACCTCAACCCCCGCCCGCAACGGAGCATTGTCTTCCTGTCATCATGCGCGGCCGTGGACTACTTCCAACACGTCCTCCCAACCATTCTCCCCGACGGCTTTACACTCGTGCCGCTGCACGGAAAGCTTCCTCCCAAGGCTAGAGAAAAGAGTTTCGCCAAGTTCGTCAACTCAGTTTCACCTTCCATCCTCCTCTGCACAGATATCGCCGCCAGAGGTCTTGATATTCCTCAGGTTGATTTCGTCTGCCAAGTCGACCCTCCCGCAGACCCCAAGGTCTTCATCCACAGAAGCGGACGCGCAGGCAGAGCAGGCCGAAAGGGCTTGGCCGTGGTCTTCCTGCAGCCTGGCCATGAGGAGGACTACATCCCCTTCCTCGAAGTCCGCAAGACGCCCATTCACCCTCTCACGAAACCCGAAGTAGAGATCTCCGATGAAGAAGCAAACGAAACATCAGAAAAGTTCCGCGCCGTCTTGCGCAGCGATCGCGCTTACCACGACAAGGCCCAAAAAGCCTTCGTCAGCTGGATGCGCAGCTACGGCGCCCACCAGACGACCTCCATCTTCCGCGTAAAGGACCTCGACTGGGCTGACCTCGGCAAGGGCTGGGGTCTGCTTCGTCTCCCGCGCATGCCCGAGACGAAGACCTGGGACGGCGACAAGTGGCTCGGCAACGAGGGCTTCGACTGGGACAACTTCACATACAAGGACAAGACCCGCGAAGCGGCACGACAGGCAGCGATCGAGGCGGAGAGGAACGGAGAGAAGGCAGCCGCGGCAGACGCGGTGAAGAAGAAGCGCAAGACCAACGAGGCATGGAGCAAACAGACTGACAGGGAAGATCTGAGAGTTGAGCGCCGGGAGAAGAGGAGACGCAAGAAGGAGGCCGAGAGGATGTCGACGATGACGGAGGAGGAGAAGATCAAGGCCATGGAGCTGAACGAGCTGATTGTCGAAGTGAGGAAACGGAACCAGGCCAAGGCAGCGAGCGGAAAGGACAAGGAGGACGAGTTTGGGGGGTTCGATGATTAAAGCGCTGTATCATACGGGGATATTATTTAAAAGTTTTTGGTATCGGAGATTTTGTGCATGGATGGGTTGGAGGTGTGGAGATACCCCAGATCTTGGTGGAGGACGAAATCTCACGAGACTCCCCCTTCCAGTTGCCCCATCGCTTTTCTCCAGTCGTTGCCGACCGTCCGCGTTCCCACAGCGGAGCCAGACAGAGGCCAGAGTGAAAAATGTGACTCATCCAATCCACTACCTTCATGGATTGGTAAACGCACGAATTCGTCACCATTCAAGACAAGCACAATAGCTCAGGGGTAGAGCGCTGGGCTCATAACCCAGAGGTCCCTGGATCGAAACCAGGTTGTGCTATATTTCTTTTTCTTTTCTTGTACTCTTTTTGGGCAGATCGGGTCGTTCGTAACGTTTGAGTGCTCTGATGGCACCGTTTGACGCGGCAGACGCATGTTTGCAAAAGTACAGACTGTGGAACAAAAGACTACATACATGCTTAGATTCTAGCCTCCATCGTGATCGAACCATGTCATATTCCAAAACGTAAAAGTGTCACTCGTCAATAACTCCAAATCTTCGAGTTCGGAGATGAATCCACCAACGGGGTTCGTCGTATCCAAGATCTCATCTTCAAGCACCTCGCCTACCAGTGTACCACCAAGATCAACGTTCTAAGAACAACCGCCTGCGCAGATGCCCCCGGGTAGGTCATTCTCCTGTTCTGACTCTGTACGCAACTGGTCCTCAATAAAATCCTCACACTCTTCTTTCGACATGGACTTCAATCTATTCCACAACGCATTGTCCTCTGCAGTCCAAGCACGCCACTTTTTGAGCAATCTCGCAGAAACCAGATGCCCTCTTAGCTCGGCGTATCTTATGGCTCTTAGGTATGAGACCTGTCCTTTGCCGTTTGTGTGCACCCCTTGACTAAGAAGGTACTGAATAGTATCGATTCTTCCATGTTCCGCAGCACCTTCAAGAGCAGTGCGTCCGTGTTTCCGGGCGTCGGGGGCATTGATATCTGCCCCAAGATCGATTAGCATCTTGGCAAGTCCAAGATAGCCTCTGATTGTGGCGAGTTGCAAAGCGGTGGCACCGCCGGACCGAGCTGCCGGAGCATTAACATCTGCGCCCGCGTTCAAAAGCAACTTAATTGTATCCGGGCGGCTATACTCGACCGCTTTCTGGAGAGGAGTTCGACCAAATTCGACCGCATAGTTATCTTCGTCGACGCAATGATTTCCATACAGAAGCAGTTTTACGATATCGATGTAGTCTTTCGCTACAGCCATCGTGAGTGGCCCTTCATAAACGTAATCCCCAGAGCCCGAAGATAACATCGGATAGCGCGCCAGCTTTCGTATGAGCCTCTCGCTGCCGATCTCGACCGCGACGGACATAGTGAGCCTATCAGGGAGGAACCCGTGATCAAGAAGGCGAGAAAGCGAAGTCTCGGAACCGAGGGCCATTACCAGTGGCGAACCGCAGATTACAGCCGTCTCTCGCCAAAACAATGATCCCTCACTTATGTAGGTGTTAAATTTACCATTGAAGAAACAATCAAGAAAGATACTGATCCGGTCAATTCCCATTGTCAGAGAACTTTCAACCATGAACTTAGGCAGCATGACCGGCGAGGGTTTGTGAAGTTTGGCCAATACTAAGTCGAGAAAGTTTGCATTTTCTCTCCAGGCTGCTATTCCAATAGCCAGGCTCTCTAAGGGGTCCACATCTTCTAGTTGTGGGCGATCATCAAGTAAGTACTTGACGAGTCCAAGGCTGCAATCCTTGAAGAGAATGCTGGCACAAAGAGCCCCAGGGTCGTAGGCGTCCGGTAATTGCTCGAGAATCCGCGCAATCATTTGTTGGTTGCCTTTGATGACGGCGGCCTCAAGCATCGACTCGTGTCGTTGGCTGACAGACCAGTGATCCATCTTTATCAGCCGATCGGTCAAGGCCCAGTCGTCGAGCATGATAGCTTTGGGGATTTCGCCTCCATTCAAGACAGAGCCTGCATCGAGGAGTGCCATAGCTAGCTTAACGGTATCAGCCACTCGTCCCCTTCGCTCCAAAGCAATTTGGAGTGCAGAAACGCCATTTTTCGCCCAGTTTGGGTCAGCACCCATCTTGAGTGCCAGTTGCAAAAATCGAAGTCCCATGAAGTGGTCCACCCCGTGGTGAACAGCCCAAGATGGAAATCTTACTCCTTTCTCGGCGAAAAACTCGATAGCGCGATAATCATAGCTAAGTATCGCAGCCTCGACTGGGCTAGTTGTTCTCGGCATGGATACTGGTGACTTGGTCCATCGACAATACCATTCCTCGTCTTGCATGATGCCTCTGATCAAATCCGCTCCATGGCCATGCAGTAGCTTGACGATTTCAAAGTAGCGGTGGGTTGCTGCCAGATGCAAAGGAGATGGGAGGCGTAGGGGTCCAAGATGACTATATACTTTGACAACAAGTTGAAGAAGTTTTTGGCATGTGTCGAGGTGTCCATCTGCTGCGGCAACGTGTAAAGCAGTGACCCCTCCGTGTCCCGGTGATGTCAAATCGACCTCAAGTCCATGTAGGAGCTCAAGAACTTTGCTATAACCGTTGGAGGCCGCAAGCAAAACAACATCCGATGTGATCCGCTGGCCCAGAGGAAGAAATGGATTTGATTTTTGAGCTCTGCTCAGTAAGTGTGATACACAGCTAATAGCTGCATATTCGTCGTCGATCTGAGCCGCATAGCCCACAACGCTGTAGGTCGGGGTGGCCCAGTGTAATTCATCATCAGGGGGATTTTCCATTTGGTGCGTCAGCCAATCTTCCGCTGCGTTATCCAAGAGAATGTCGAACAACTCGAAAGCTGAAGCGGAGCAACAATATTCGAGGCCCGAAATAGCGGCTACTAATAGATGGCCTGGTTGCTCTTGGTTGAACAGACTGATGTAGGCTTCCAGGAAACGCTTCGGGAGCCGTAATTTATACACCCAGCTGCTTTTCCCGCAGAGAAGTCTGCTTAAGGGTGTATAGGGCACATCATAAACCAGAGTCGGGTCTGATTTCGCATCCAGCAACAAAGAGATTAGCGGCGGACATTCGATATCAACCGCCTTCTGTAGCGGCGTCATACACCCTACCTTTCCCACGAACGAGTCTTCCTGGTAAATCGGGGTGTTTGGGTTTTGCCCGGATGACAATAGCCAATCGATGATCCTCCAGCTCGGCAACTCTTTCAATTTGTCCCTGTCCCATTGGTCCCATCGTCCAGCCCGTTCTCGGCCCACTCTGCGTTCCTTTCTCGATCGCACTCTGCGTTCCGTTTTCCATCACACTCTGCGTTCCGTCCTCCGTCCTTTCTCCATTCTGAATAGAGGTTTGTCACAGGACGGTGGTATTCGCACGAGTACTCATAGGCAAGATTCCTGAAAGCTTGCTGAAAGAGGGTCTCAGCTACTGACAGAAGGGTTGTATCCATCATCCTCTCTAACTGAAAAGGGACTCTCATAATGTTAGACTTTTCGAGTAGAGCAACAAGGGGAAATCACACATGAGAATGTAGGTCCTGCTCAGTTAGTTTGTTTGATAATTGATAGAATACCATTTTCAAGTCCTCGGTGGTGACGTCGGCCGATCCATACAACAGCGATTGCGCGCGACTTGCATTCTCATATCCTTGAGCTTCTGGCATGATCATATCGAGACCAGCGGCTAGCCAAGATAGGTTGTATGTGTAGTGACTATCGAGGACAAGAGATACTAAATGAAAAGATACTCTTTTCGGGGAAAAATGACATTCATTGGGTCTGAGACAATCTCGATTGGCGGATTACCAGAAGCCACTACGAGCCTGGGGAAATTCAAAGCTATACGCGATGGATTGGTGAATGGCGCAAAATTATTTGGTTGATGGACTTACATAGGAAAAGACTGTGCTGAGATTGTAGCCATGGGAGGCAAGTTGGCCACATAGATTGCATAGATGTTGTCGACGCTGGCGTACAGATGATCACCTCCGATGACTCAGGAGTTATCGGGCTCATCGTCACTGCAACCTGTCAGTTTTTTGAAGGAATAGTATGATATGGTGGCAAGAGCTTGCATTGTTTCAATTTGACCAGAGACCTTGGCTGATGCCGGTTGATCTCTTTGCGAACTTTCGCGGGGTCAAGAAGCCGTCCGTTGAGGAATACATCGCTGTCTTTGGTGTCTTGTCGCTTCCTCTTCTCGACGCGGTGGCCAACGTATTGCCAAATGTCGTCGCTCTTTTTCTTTGGAATTTTTTTCCTGAAACCCCAGGTCTTCAACTTATATTCGAGTTGCGCCTTGCTAAGTCGGCTTAGCAATATGCATTATGATCAGTACATAGCAGACGTACCTCACGAGAAGTCCACCGTCTTTAAGCCTCTGTCTCGCCTCTTCTTGAGACATATTCTGGTCAATGATCATGCGCTTAATGTTGGGCTTTTGCTGAAGCCATTCGGCCCCAGTCGGTCTAGTCCGGGAAGATGACATATTCCCAACAGCGGATAAAGGTAAGATGGTGGAGAACAGTAGCACGGCGTTCTACGGCTCAATCAAGCAGAATGATCAGGAAGTAGGGAAATAGGATGCAGAGCCTTAAATGAAAACTGTTGTTGGGGCCGCGGATGAGCCAAACTCCTAATGGTTGGCTGTGGCCAATATCTGAACCGTCGAATGAGGCTGTGGCTGTTGCCAGATCTTCATTGGTCTAAATCCATATCTGAACACCTGCATTACATATTCTTGGCATTGGGTCGTCACAGGTACTCTGCAGTTCCTGCACACCCATTCTCAAGGACAGTGCCGGAGTGCGCCTGACAGATTCCATTGGTCAAGCCCGGTATCCGAAAGGATGATGCAACGGTGTCCACGCAAGTCTTCCACAATGCCTACCTTAGGCTCTCTCGAAGCACAACCTCCCTTGGTCTTGCCAACGCTCGCACAGGTCGTTGTGGTGGCATGAACCATGGCCTGTGCGAGCGTTGGCGAAATATGATGAGGTCGCCTGCTTGTGTCGCCCGATGGCAAGTGAGTGGGACAGCCGACGGCTCATCAAGTCCGACTTGACAACGGTAAGCGGTTCTCGTTGGCTCAATCCGTAGTCTGAAATGATTTTGTTGCCTGTATTGACATGAGAAAGCAGAACGCCTGTGCAGCCCTGCAAGATCACAATGCCTATAGTCTCCAGGGGCATTGCTTCCCCATTCGCTCATACCAATGTCTGAAAAGCAGGCAGCCCTCGACACTGTTATGATATCTTTCCCGCCAAGAGAAACTCCATGAAAATATAAGAGCATCGAATATTGCGGACCTTTCAACTTCCATCGCGTCTCGTGTTTCTAAGCTTGTTAGTCACATACAGCACTGTGACCGCAACTTGTTTATTCCTGGTGAAGTCGACGTTTCCAACAAGTTGTCATTGATTTCTTACTTCCTCAACGTATGCCAGCCCCTTTCGGAGCTCTTTTTACCGTCAATTCGCTCAAAATCAGTCTCAACTCGAACGACAATCTCTCCCTTGCAAAGAATTGTTATGGTATCGCTGAAATGGAGGTGACTCTGGAGGCCATTATTGCAATCGTATCGCTCGTTGTGGGACTACCATCGACCATCTTCATCCTCTGGAAATGCTGCAGGCGCTGACGATACTGCTTCGGTCAGGGTATGTTGGACTGATCTCTAGCACTCGGACCGAAAAAGACTGACAGTCCTCAGCCACTCAACCCTTCAGGCCCTTCGCGAACGACACGTCGATGCAATTTGAGTCGTCACCTTATGAAGAGAGCTTCACACGACGGCAATCATACCCAAGCTTTCGTACTTGGACAGTCATAGGATTCCAGGTGGATGCGGCCCCGTGTCCAGATAGCTTCTACGGCATGCATCCACTCAGAGGCTGGCCGGCGTACGGGTCCAATGAGGTCGGATATGTAAGAACTTGAGGAAAGGAACGACGGAACAAGCTTCTATGTGAGCATAGAATGGAACTTCTATGTATAAATATGGCGCAAACATTGAAGTGTCTCTATTTTGAGATCCGGTTTGGTTTGATAGAAGAGTTCAATAGAAATGGAGGCTGCCAGTCCGATGTTAGTGAGATGAACGGAACAAGGATTTGACACTCGGCGGAACATGTTCAGGCCCTTTCGTTGTATTACATAAGCCGGGTTGGTCTACAGCGGCAAGCTTTGGCGGGTGGCTCGTGCATAATTACTGGGTACGTTCGCGTGGAACAGTGAAGTGACTGCTTCTTCGTCCAACGGTGCCAAATGTGCCCAACTCCAACACCACAACCCATCCGAGCTCGCCATGGCAGATAGCGAGCGGCCAAGATCGCGCTCGCCCCGGCGCGATCGCGACCGAGACAGAGACAGGCCCAAAAAGCAAGGAGGCTTCCGATGGAAGGACAAGAGCCGCAGAGACGACCGCGATGATCGCGACGACAGACGAGGCCTGGAGCGCGGCTACCGCAATCGATCCCGCTCTCCCCGCCGCGACCGAGACAGAGATCGCGACAGATACAACGACCGCGATCGTGATCGCAACGACAGCTACCGCCCGCGCGACCGCGACCGTGACCGCGATCGCGACTCAGGCCCAAGAGAAAGCAAAGCCGGCTCCTCGAGCTCAAAGGATACGACGAAGCCACCCAAGAGAGAGAAGCCCGCGCCCGCACCTGCTGCTGCCGGCGGCGAAGAGATGATTATCGTACACGTCAACGACCGACTCGGCACGAAGGCTGCGATTCCTTGCCTAGCCTCGGATCCCGTCAAGATGTTCAAGATCCTGGTGGCGCAGAGAGTCGGTCGGGAGCCCCACGAGATCCTGCTGAAGCGCCAGGGAGAGCGGCCATTCAAGGACCACCTTACGCTGGAGGACTACGGTGTCAGCAACGGTGTGCAGATCGACTTGGAGGTTGACACTGGTGATTAAGGAGCAAGCATTGCGGATGAAGCACGATTCAGGTGGATGGACCGAAAGTCGGGGCTGAGGCTGCCTGAGAGGCTTGGAACGTCTGGGCAAGCACCTCTACACGACTGATTTCACTTTGGCGTTATCGGAAGACCACGAAATCATGGGTTGAATGGTTGGAGATGAGGATACCCATTCTCGAACGACTTGCAAAGACTTGCGCAAAATGGCATTGTATACTCAGGTATTAAATTACGTGTAAAAAGCATTCCAACAACATTTATGCTCACATACTGCAAATTAGGCTGGGCCGTATCGCGTCGAATTCCTTGAACTCCTGCCTGCGTAGCTCTAAAATTCTTGCCTCAATTCTAACGATGAGGCCGCCTATGTTGCCTGCGGGTTTACTTCCATTTTTCATTACGATCGTCATCGTCGTTGCTGTTGTTATCTCTGCTGCCGTCGTCCTCGATCGAACTCATGAAATCCACAGGAAGTATTGCTGCGCAAACACAGAAAAACGTAGGCGGTCCCTTAATTACCCATTACATGAGCTGGGCATGAGCAAGACTTATGACACAGGCCGCCAGCCAGCACCATCGTAGACTGTTGCCATTGGTCACTTTGAAAGCAAGCGTCTCAATGAAGGTCACGTGGCTCGTGCAAGACTCGCGTTTTGCCCCGCCCGGGCCTTCGCGATTGCGACGCGCCCTTCACTTGACAATCCCCAAATCTTCGCCGTTGACTCAGAGAACGGAGCAGCTGCGTATTTATTCATCGAGCTATCCTTTCAACTTCCCTATATTGTATTGAAAGATCAACATCATCGACACACGGAACATCCCCAACACCCTTCTCCGTCGCATCACCACAATGGCCAGAACCGCTGTCGCCCAAGCGTCGCCAGTAGCGCGCGACATCACTTCTTGCAAGATTCCCGAGGGCGAAGAGATGCAAATACAAATCAATCGCATCGCCGCCTCCCATCGAGGCACGCAATTCGAGAAGAGAGTCTGGACCGCCCTGTGCCAAGTACCCAGGGGTCACATCACGACATACGCCTTACTCGCCAACCATCTCAAGTCATCACCAAGAGCTGTTGGTAACGCGTTGCGCCGCAATCCGTACGCGCCACAAGTTCCATGCCACAGAGTCATTGCCACTGGTGGAGACCTTGGAGGCTTCAAGGGCAAGCGGCCAAAGAATGGAGAGGGCATCACTCTGGATGAGAAGAGGTCGCTTCTGCGGAAAGAAGGAATCAAGTTTGGGTCAAATGGCAGAATTTTGGGAACCCCATTCATGGCTTTCATTTGATCATTGATCAGTCTCCATTCAAACTCGATTGCTCCGATGGATTATGTGCAAACCGCGTGTAGCGATGACCTACGCACTCGTGCTCTTTCTCTGTCCCTTCTTATGAATGGCTCCGGATAAAGTACAACTTTTCCTCGCAAAAGTCAGCTAGTCGACAAAAGCACCAGCCAACCCCGGACTTTGAGTTGTCCGCATTGAGAGAGCTTCGGCGCTTTCCAGCGACCTGGAGGTGGGATTGCTTGCTTAATATGGCAAGTCATGAAGCAAGCTTCATGCAAGATCGCGGCGAGATTCCTTGGCGAAACGGCACAGGTCGGCCGTCACATACACACATCACCACTTATCGATCCTCCGATTGTCCGACTTCACCAAAGTTCTTCCTTCACTACAGTCAACTTCGTCGGCATGATTTCTGCACCAATGCCTTGCACTTGTTCAATTAGCCATTCCTTCCATGGCACCTTCGACTGTTAGCGGTATGCATCTTGATGGCATGCCCTCGTGAGCGGATTTTGGTCTCAAGCGCGAACACATATGTTCCTCTCAGTAGAGGAAAATATAAAAGAGGCCATTTCTCAAGACAAGTTTTGATTTATCACAACCAACTCAGCTTTCTACATAGCAGGCATGCGCTTCGAAACCATTTTGACCATCTCCCTCCTGACGTCTGCCACGGCGGCAGTCACGTTGCCCAGGCGCGATGCGACCTTCGAATCCGGTACCCCGGTAACCAAAGAGATCACCCTCCCAGACGGCCACACTCGAACTGCCACCTTCTTCGCCGAATTCACGCCAGAAGACAGTGCCGACGCCCCGGCTCCGATTTCTCGCAACCTTAACGCGAAGCGTGGCTGGACACCAAGTTCGTCGTTCTACGATTTATGTGGCGGCAGCTCTTTTACCAATAACTGGAACTCCAACGCCCCTCTTGTAGATGATTGCCAGTTCTTGCAACAATACTTCGCGAGCACCGGCGGCTACTTTCGAGTGGAAAACTCCGACCTCGATGCCAATGGTGTTTCGTGGTCGCGCTTGGTTTCCATCAACACTTGCGGCTTCTCGGTGCGGGCGAACCCACGCCCAGCGACGGCAGGCTACATCGGCAACACCGATATCGCTGACCTGGTTCGAGATTCCATCTCGGGATTCTCTCAGAACAGCCAAGTCTCAGTGGGCGGGAACACGGGATGTCAGGATGCTGACGGCAGCCAATGGCATCCGGATTGGCTCATTCAACGGTTCACTTAGGAGAAATGGATACTGTTCAAGAGGTGTCGTTGAACTGACGTCGTGATGAGTTACGAGTCAGCTTGGTTGCACCCTGTTCAAGTTTCTAAAAATCCGCGATTCAGTCCGAGGGTAATATATCATCAGTGTCACACCCCGCAAATTGGCACATCGCCCCGCAAGCGTCGTATGGAATTCCGCCCCCAAGAATGTCATGACCTCAATTCCATGTTGCATTGGCCTTACGGAGCGTGACTTTGCCAAGATGCGACTTTCGAACAGCTTCTTGTCCAGGCCACAATCACGTTGCTTGGTGAAAGTTGCCGGATGTCAACTTACGCATCTTAGTGGTGCTTCAAAGCCTACACAGCACCTGTGTTGGGTGCGCCGGTCACCGAATTGCTCTGAGAAACGACATCTGCGCTTTTCCAAGGGTGCAAGATCACATGATCAAGAAAATGGTGCGGACTTCCACCTAATTGCTCACAAAGCGAACGAAAACAAGTGCTCGTATCGAGATGGCTTTCTGTCAGCACCATAAACATGTCAGACTTTCAATCTCATATAATGAACCAGAAGCCTTGAGGTCTTGAACAATTTCCTGGAATTTTGCGACAAGCGCGCATATCAGGAGTCAAGATGAAGCTCGCCGCCGGATTCGCGAGTCTCCTCGCCACTCTCGCCGCCACAGCCCCAACCCCTCAGGACGACGAACCCGCCGTTGTGTTCGGCATATCGTTCACCTATGAGAATAGCACTTTTACCGACCTTTTTGACGTACCTGAGACGCTTTCAGGATACCCCGTCGGTGAGCCTACCTCAATCGAGCGCATCCCCGGAGCCGAGGCAAAACGACACCCTGCTGACACTTTTGACAGCCAGCAGCGGCATCGTGACAAACGTCTTCATATATCCTCCAGGCAACAATCCCGCGCGCTGCGCGTTTCTCGAGCCAGAGCCCAGCAGACAGGGTCTCGGTGCGGTCTCGATTATTCATGCGACGACTATCGAGCTAAGCCCGGCGGGAGAAGTGGGCTTCGTGCAATGCAACAGGACGTAAGCCATTGGCTTGGCGCAGCACCGAGTCTTCCGCGACAGGGCCTGTGATAAGGGAACGCGAAGGCCTGCAGCAGAGCCTCAACTCTTTTGTGCGCCCACAACACACTTCGGACCCGAAGAAATCGGAAGGATAGATAGAACGATAGTCCCACCATCGGAATGAATAAGACATTGCGTCAGCCCAACAGACCGTCCACGTTGCGCACGAGCTCAAAAAAGACCTCACCACCGAGATTTGATCCCGGCGCAGTTGTCCCCTCCAAGCCCACCAGCCCGCCGGCCCCTCATCCCGAACACGCACACGTGCTGGCGTGGAGGAGGTGAGGGGGCCTTTCTCGAAGCATGGGGCCGGGGTATTTTTTCTCTCCTGCAGAGCTCAGGTGTATCGGCAGCTACCGACTTCGGGCCTCATCCGAGGCTAAGAAAGACGATACGGCGTAGTCGTACGCAGATTTACGGTTGTTGGTGACTCTGTTCGAGGGGTTAAACCAAATGTTTATCAATATCGCCGAAGTTATATGGTTCGATGTCGCCACCTGCAACGTTTGGACCTCCTCTTTTCGCCCCGGGCCGGTGACATCGCGGCCCTGCTAAGCTTCGGAGCAAAAGTCTGGATGTTTAGACGTTGGGGCCATTTTAGGCCATGCAACGGTGACGCTAGTGGGTGCTATTGGCCGAGAAAAGAAATCCCACTCGAAAAGATTGGTTTTCGTGGTGGTGTGGACGGGAGAGGCGGCAAAGCTGCCACCTGCATCTCGCATCGGCACATGTTGTCGTTGGTCCTGCGAAAACATGGCCGCCGTCGCCGGAAGAAGGAACATGTCCCTGAGACTATCGAAAACCGACAGGAGAAAAAGAAAGGAGCGCACCTCTTCGTGGACTGAATGCACTCCACACGCTTACGGACTGACATGCACATGTCTTAGCCAACCTTGGTCTCTCCCTGCGTCAACTCAAAATAGACCACTCGATGACGACAAACGATTGAGATATTCGCGCCGATAACACGAGCATGTTTGTGTGTGGCGTTCCGACGGCGTAGGGCAGTGTGTTGGACGTTGCGACCTGTCTTGTTCAGCTGTTCGTCCGATGCATACGATGCGCATCCCCTGACCAGCACCCCCGGCACTTGGCGAGATTCGAATTTATGCGACGCCCCCAATCATTTTCTTCCATAAACCTTCCAGAAGGCTGCCCTATGGATCGAACGACTGACACGCACGACTCATTTCCAGCGCCGCCCAGCATCTAAGCCCCAAACCCGAACCGCTGGCCTCCAAATTGTCGGATTCCTTCAACCGCACGCACGCACCCGTCCAGAGAACCCTCGTGTCGATCTCCAGGATAAAGACCGAAGAACTCGAGAAAGGTGCAATGCCAAAGGACCCCGGACCTTGCTTCAAGGAGAAAACAATGGGGACTGTAGCTCCGCACACTTACCCCGTGGCCGCCACACAATGCCGGACAAGCTGCCGAAAAGGGGATAAACCTAGTCACGGCCCTGGCGCCGTGGATTGAGAGTCTGCGGCCGGGAGGGAGATTGACAGCGTCCCCTTCCCCTCTGGGCCTTCGTCTACACAGCCCGGTCCAGATGTTCGCAGCTCTTGCTCCTGTGCCTGTGCCTGTGCCGCAATCAAGGAAGAACCAGTGAACCAACTGCCAACTGTGCATTGCTCCTGGGTCATCCAAGAAAGCCGGACCGTCTTCAATATAAAGACCATCCCGTCATGGCCCTCTCGCTTCATCTCGCCGTCAGGAGTCTTCCCTGCAGCAGCCTAGTCATTCCTTTGAACACCCTCTCCTCAAGGCTCTCCGCTCCTCCTCCAGCCCTGCCAAGATGAAGTCCTCCATCATCGCCACGGCCCTCGCTGCCGCGCCCTTCGCCGCCGCCGGTGTCCTTCCCAAGCGCGCCGACGACACCTGCCGTGTCCTCCCCGGTGATGCCGCCTGGCCTTCTACCGACTCGTGGAACACCCTCAACACCACCGTCGGCGGCAAGCTCATCGCGACCGTGCCCATCGGCTCCGTCTGCCACGACCCCAACTACGATGAGGCCGCATGCACGGCGTTGCAAGATGCTTGGGTTCTTCCCGAGACCCAGTATGTCCAGGCCCCTCACAGTAAAACACCACAAAGGCGCAACCACTAACAAGCCCCAGCTTCCCCTCCTCGTCTTCCGTGATGCAGAGCTACTTCGCCAACCAGTCCTGCGACCCCTTCACGGACCGCACCCTTCCCTGCCTCATCGGCAACTACGTCCAGTACGCCGTCGAGGTCACCTCCGCCCAGGACGTCGTCGAGACCGTCAACTTCGCCCGGGACAACAACATCCGCTTCCTCGTCCGAAACACGGGTCATGAGTAAGCTTATTTCGTCCGGAAATCTCTCCCACACTCCCGCTAACCCACTTGTCCCCTAGCCACCTCGGCCGTTCAACCGGCGCCGGAGCCCTCGCCGCCTGGACCCACAAGCTCAAGGATATCGAGGTGACTACCTGGTCCGACGATCTCTGGTCCGGCCCCGCCATCAAGATGGGCGCCGGTGTTCTCGGCTACGAGATCACCGAGGCTGGCAAGTCCGCCGGCCTCGTCGTTGTCGGCGGCGAGTGCCCTACCGTCGGCCCTGCTGGTGGTTACATCCAGGGTGGTGGCCACTCCGCCCTCACCACCAACTTCGGTATGGCTGCCGACCAGACTCTTGAGTTTGAGGTCGTCACCGCCGACGGCAAGATCGTCACTGCCTCCCGCACGGAGAACTCTGATCTCTTCTGGGCCCTCAGCGGTGGTGGCCCCGGTACCTATGGCGTCGTCACCTCCGTCACCGTCCGTGCCTACCCCGATGCCAACATCGGCGGTGTCGGTCTGCAGACCGCCGCGTCCTACACTACCCAGGAGAAGTGGTGGCAGATGCTCGACTCCTTCCACTCCCTCCTCCCCAACATGACCGACCAGGGCGCCATGGTCGTCTTCCTCTACAGCAGCTCCATCTTCGCCATCAACCCCCTGACTGCCTACAACAAGACCGCCGAGGAGGCCAAGGCCATTCTCCAACCCTTCCTCGACGTCCTCGCCGACCTCTCCATCCCCTACTCCTCTGCCGCCACCAACTACTCCAGCTACCGCGACCACTACGACAAGTGGATGGGCCCCCTCCCCTACGGCCACGTCGAGGTCGAGTCCTACAACTTCGGCTCCCGCCTCGTCCCCCGCTCCGTCCTCTCCGACACCACATCCCGTGCCACTTACATCGACGCCATCCGCTACGGCGCCGACACCTACGGCGTTCTCTCCGCCGGTGTAGCCCTCAACGCCTCCGCCCCCGCCGGCGTCGACAACGCCGTCAACCCGCACTGGCGCGACGCCACCATCCACGTCCAGTACTCCACCGCCTGGAGCAACGACCCCGCCCAGTGGGACACAATGATCTCCGACCAGAAGCGCATGACGGACGACATCATGCCACCCATCGAGGCCGCGACCCCCGGCAGCGGCAACTACGTCAACGAGGTCGACTTCAGGATCGACGGCTGGAAGGAGAAGTTCTTCGGCAGCAAGTACGACAAGTTGCTGGAGATCAAGCAGAAGTGGGATTCCACGGGCGTGTTCTACGCGCTCAAGACCGTCGGTAGCGATGTTTGGGACGTTGCCGCTGATGGCAGGATGTGCCGTGCATGATTATGATGGGATTTTGGGAGGCGTATTTGGGTTGTAGTACATATATCTAATGCTTACAGGGGCTAAAATGCTCTTATTCACTCGTTCACAAAAAAGTCCTATTCATGCAAAACGTGGCCTCGCAAGTAACGGTATTAGATTAATTGAAATGAAAACCTAATGACGAAACAAAAACGCATCGAACTCTAGGACGTTGATCTATATGCATGACTGTATCGCTGATCCATCAAAGTACCTCATTCTCATCCCGACAAATCCATGACACTAAAATCTAAACCCTGAGGACGCCAATATCTCTTATTTAGGGATTTCAAGAACAACGCGAGCCAGCCCGTCTGGTGAGGTGATGCTGTGCGCGTGAAACTCGAGACCCTGGTCGACTGTTCTCCCCGGGTTCAGGTTCATCACAATCTGACTCAAGGCAATCTTCAACTCGATTTGGGCAAAACTAGAAAGTGTTAGTAGAGCTCTAGGCCATTGCGATAAAGAAACTTGTAAACTTACTTTTGTCCGATGCAAGCCCTAGACCCGTGAGAAAACACGACGAGGTTGCGCTGCATGTCGTGGGCACTCCCAGCGTCAATCCAACGCTCTGGCTTGAACTTTTCGGGCTCCGGGAAGACAGTTGCGTCGTTACAGTAGAACGAAGCCGAGGAGCAGACATTGTACTATCGACCGTGTCAGACACGCTGCTAAGAAATTTCATGAGTTCTGGAAACTTACGCCTTCAGGAAGGTAACACCCGTGGGTGCTGAGGCCTCCCTTGGGCACCTCACGAGGCCATCTGCCCCTGATCGGAATACTGATCCTCATGGCCTCTTTGATGCATGCTTCCAGAAGGGGGATCTTCTCCAGTTGTACAATATCCGGCTGCTCATTAAGAGAATCTGGGAAGTTGCTCAGTAACTCTGTCTGGAGGTTGCTCCACAGGTCAGGCTGCTCGTTGAGGTGGTAAATGGCGGTGGTGAGGACCAAAGCAGTTGTCCCCGTGCCTGTGAACCCACATGGTCAGTGACATTTCTATAGATACAGCCTGACAAATGAAATGAGTTGACATACCAGCGCCGAGCATCAAACTCCCGTTCTGCACCAAGCGTTGCGGTGTAATGTGAATACCGTTACTCTCAGCGCGGGCAACCATGCTGTCGAACATGATCATCCCAGATTCCTCTTCCTGTTGCTCCTTCTTCTCCTTGAGACGATCGAGGGCCTTCTCCGCCCCCTGTTCCTCAGAGTCAGCATATCAACATGAGCGTCTACGAGAAATCAACTCACTTGGTGAATTGGTCCAAACCCGAAGGACATGAACTTCTGAACCACGCCAAAGATGGGCTGCAGCAACGGAAACTGCTGGAAGAGCACTACCAGCGGTGCGAACGTCTCGAAACCGACAAACAAGGGATGATGGAAATCCTCCGACTCAAGCGCTCCCGCCTTGGATCCAAAACTGAACCCAGAGACGGTGTCGAGGGTAAAGCACTGTGTTGCATGCCACAAGGGAATGACACGACCTGCCTCCGCATAGCTCCGCAACTGCTTCACCCACGCAGCCACGTTCTCATACATGTTCTTCTGGTAGCCGACGAGGTTGGCGCGGGAGAAGGCGTGGGACATGAGGCGCTTCTCCTTTGCGTGGACCTCCTTGTTGGTCTCAGAGAAGACGCTCGAGTCCGGGCTGTGGAAGGCGTGGTAGTAGTACTTTGACTTTTGAAACTTTGTGTTTTGGGAGTAGATTTCTTTGTGGAAGATGTCGATGTCGTGGATGGAGACCTCGTCTGGTGAGATTCTAACTACTGGGCCTAAGAGTTGGGAATTAGTATGACGTTTAGACGCTGGGTGGCAGCGATGAGGACTTGCCGTATTGCTTGTGAAGCTTTGAGAGGTCGTTGCATGCGTGACCCATCAAGTCGGAGCAGAAAAGCCATAAAGAGGTCGCCCCAGCGAGTTTGGGACCTGGGATCTTAGCCAGGGGGTGGAGGAAGATGTTGTAAATAGTGCGGAGGATGAGATATGATAGAGCCAACGCAGCACACCCACCGGCCAGCATAGAATGTGAACTTGTGAAATGCATTTTTGTTGAAATTATGAGAAAAGCTTGTGTGATTGCGGAAGCGTTTTGAGATGAGATGCTTTAGGTGTTCGAGTTCACTTGTGTTGATGATGCCTACTGTCAAAATCCAAGGGCGGAACGCCAAGCCTTTTATTTACAATTTTTGAGAGCAACTCAACGCACATTCTTGCTGTAGACGTCATCCAAGTGAATTATTCTGGATGTCGAAAGAAAGACGATGCAAAGCTCTTGAGATCGTCTTCAAGATGGTGCTGAGTGGCTTGCCTTCGGGCCGTGTGTAGTCCCCGGCGATAGAACATAGATCTCGCGGGCCGAACACGTCTTTCGGCCAACGGCCGCAGCTGCGGCCGTGTTTCCCTGCAACACTTCCTCTGCAAAAAGGATCGACGCCTCGACAATGGACGCGGGGGTCGGAGCTTGAGTGGCCGACCATGCAGTCGGAAACACCCTCATACTCTGGCGTCTGAGAGGCGCTGTCGCTATGAAGCCGCCAGCACGTCTAGTGCCCATCACGCGCAAGCGCCGCTGGCGATCAACGGGGAGTGAGTTGGAGGAATGCGAACTCTTAGTCAGCGGCGAAACTGTGATATGCTTAAGCAGTTGCAGCTTTGGTGTCGGGATGAGTTCGAGACCGTCTCCTCTGACGTCATCTAGAGATGGCAGTGTATTTGTTGTCTGAAGTCTAACTTGACAACATCAGACCGTGAGTCCGAACTCGCTTATCTGATGTCCTTAGGGAAGGACACGATAGAATCACGGCTGTTCATTAGCAGCGGCATTTTGCAGTGCCCATGTGATGACCAGCAACTTGTATCTTGTTTGAAGCCCTGCAGGTATCTTTGGTGAATGCTCTCGTCAGTATTCGAAGCAGTTCCGCTATGCAAGTCCCCATATCTCCAAGTGGAACTCAGCGAATACTTCCAATAAAATGTTTTCTCTCGTTCTGTCCAAGAAGCCTCGTATAAACCCCAATTACATCAAAAGCAATCACTTACACTCACCTGGTGCCCCTCGATCTTCGGTAGCCAGCAGCAATTGCACGATCTCCATAGAGCCTCATGCAGTGTACCAAACACCTCGACAAACACATACTATTTACGATCACCCGTCTCGCCCGGAATCGTCATCTCACCTCACCTCAAACACTGCTTACGGCTGTCCAGGCTCACCGAGTGCCCAGACAGGCTTGCTGCATATCGCCCCCGCACGTCAGACGAGCAGAACAGCCACCCCAACCCGCCCAATCCAGAATCGTCGTGCAGTCCAAGGCGTTTCCCCCCGTAAGCCACCCGCCAAGGGTGCCGGCGAACCAGTCAGCAACTCCCGGAAACGAGCCCGGGAGCCTTGGTGAGAATGTCGGTATGCTTAACAGCAACCACTCGTCCTCGACCTCACCCGTAGCCTGGTCGGGCGGCTGACATGCACGTTGCCTTGATTACGTGTTTCGTGATGCGGCTACAGCGGAACGTGATGTGAGCGTAATTATGTGAGCGTAACGTGGTAAAAAGGGGGGAACGGAAGGAGCTACTTATACGACCAGAGGTGCGCGGTATGAGAGAGAAAGGATGCGGTTGACTAGGACATTCCCATTTCGCATTTTCTTCAAGATGAGCAGCTACACTCAATCTCATAGCTTCTTCTCCGGGCACTTCACCCGGCGCCTCTGCACTCGCTGCATGGAGCCCTTCACTTCGCAACATGTCTGCCTCCAGGAGCAGAGCCTTGTGTGCGGGAGCAAGTTGACCCGCCGCAACTGCTGAACGATTCAGTAAGTTTGTCTCCGAGACTGAGGAGTGTGGGGTTTAGCTCACTGACGTTGAAGTATGTCTTTGTCGCGGGCGCCGTCAAAACTTTCACATCGGTAACGACCAAGCTCTGGCTGGTTTGCACAACTCCGTCTCGTATCGTTCTACACTGGAGTCTAGGTGTGTCAGTCCTGAGTCTTGAACTGTTAGCTGGGACTGATTTCCAGTGTCAAGTACCGGATGTGATTCTTCCACTTGGGAGCAGCAACAGCAGGTTCTGTGCGCACAATTATAATGTCGGGGGTAGTTTCTCTTGTTTGGGGGAATTTATCAAGCAACATGAGGCTTAATGAGAGCTCCATCGTTTCTGTTGACTTGCCTTCAGTTACCCATGCCATGCTCCTAGGCAGGTAGCAGTCTTCATCACATCATCTATACCAGCATATGGTCTCTCTCAATTCAAATCGTGGGTATTATCGTCTCATTCCAGGTTTTTGTATGCCGGCCCAAAGTCATGCTATGTATTGTACAAGCGTAAGCCACGCCACCCGACACCCCAGACCATGCCAACCGCCCGTAAACCGCAAAACCATAGGGGAACCGAATGCCTATATGTTCATTAACAACATCCCCCTACCCAATACCCTAGGCCTTTGACACCGATCAAAGCACTTGCAGTAAATCACGTTGCGTAGGGCGTCGCCATGCCTCATTCATAAGATTTCGTCGGGAGACACGCGGCGACGCGTAGGAATAAGACCCCATTGACTGTCGCCGGGATGCCCGAAGACGCCGTCGAACAGAGCGCCTCTACGACTCCTCGTTGCGGCGAGGTCCGCGCATCGAAACGGAACCTCCACGCTGGCCGCCGCGACCACGTCCACCACGACCCTCGCCGCGGAAGCCACCACGGCCGCGCCACTCGCCACGGCCACGACCACGGTGACCAGAACCACCCTCACGACCGCGGTTGCGTCCCTGAACCTGATGGAAGCCATCGTTAGGGTCAGCAGCGGCAGGGGCAGGAGCCTGGATAGAGTTAGTCAAACCCGTCAGGGCACGGCTGGATAATCTACAAACCTCGGGCTGAGCCTCCTGGTGCTCGGGCTGGTCGTCAGCCCAGGACTGGGTGTTGGACACGGCAGCAGGGGTGGCCTCGACGCCAGTCTCCGTCTCAGCGGGGTCGCGGGGCACGGAGACCCATTCTTGGGACTCGGAGAGGCTGTTGTCGTTTTGATCCCATCTCTCGCCGGCAGCGTTGCCAGAGCCGCTGGTGATGTTAGCGTTGGCCGGGCTCTCGATGCTCTGCTCGGGGTGGCCGTTGGTCAGGGCAACATCATCGCCAGCCTCGATCTCGTTCACGGTAGCGTTGGCGACGGTAGGATCGGTAGCAGGCTCGGCGGCAGCGGTTTCGGCCTCGACAGCGGCGGCCTCGTCGTAGGTGACCTTGAAGGCCAGAGAGGCCTGCTTGACCTGCGCAACTTGGAAGGGTTAGCATGATCAGCAAGGGCTCATCTCGGCGAGAGGCTTACAAGTGGTGTTCAGCTCCTCGCCAGCGACTCCGTAGGTCTTGTCGTCGGTACCGTCAATCAGCTTCAACATGGCGGCAACGGCGTTATCGTCACCGGCATAGATAGCCAACAGAGTTCCCTCAAGAGCTGCGTTCTCGTCGATAGTGGCGTCGGCCTCCTCAGATCGGCGGGCAGCGGCGAGGCGAAGGAATTGCGACAGAATCAGGAGCTTGCTGTGAATAGACTGAGAGGAGTCGCCCTCGAGCTTGGCCTTGACCTCGGCAACGGCCTCGGCCTTCTCCTTCTCCAGCTTCTCTGCAAAGGCCTTCTCCAGCTCAGCCTTCTCGTTAGCAGCACGAGTACGGTACTCCTGGTCGATCTTCTTGTACTGAGCAAGCTGCTCCTCGTATTGTTGGGCCTGAGCCTGGAGAGCCGGCTTCTTCAAGTACTGAGCCTTCTGGTCGGCGTTAATAACGCGCGACGCGACAAGCTCGTCAAGGGTCTTGTTGGCATTCTCAGCGATCAGGCTGTCAATCTTGGAGGCATTGGTCTGTAGGAGAGGGTGTTAGCGGGGAGGCTTGGCGCAGAGAGGGGAAGGAGAGGCACGAACAAGCTTCTTGTTGGTGTTGCGGAGGTTCCTGAACACGGTAAAGAGTTAGAATATTAGACCAGAAGCATCAATTGACGGGTAGTGCGCACTTCTGGAGCTCGCGAATGTAGGGGCTCTCGCCGGACTCATCGGAGCCATCAGCCTTCTCGGGAGCGGGAGAGGCAGTAGGAGCAGGAGACTCGGTGCGCTCAATGGCCTTCGCCTTCTTCTTCTTGGCGGACTTGGATTCGGACTGAACCGTGGGGTTCTGGACGGGAGAGGCGGCCATGTTGAAGCTGGGTGGTATGGCAGTCAACAACACAGTCGGGGTCGCGTGAGCTCGAGCTTGGTGGGATTTTTTCCGGGTGACGTGGTAGCCAGCTATAATAGCAGGCGTGCGCAGGTAAGATGGATGAACAGGTTATTCGATGGGTGATGATGGAAGGCCGACCCTAGGATCGAAAAAGATACTTAGGGTGAAGGGATGGTGATGGGGAGAAGTGCAGGTCAGGTCAGGTAGAGCTGTAGGTGAGGTGAGCAAGATTTGGTCGGGTGCGATTTTTGGATGTTTGCGAGAGCTAGGTGACCTGGAGAGCGGGACGGGAGGCTAAGGCCGATTCCGTGAGGCCAGGTAGGTAGTGAGGTCAGGTCCGGTAAGGCAGCTGAGGTGCGCTGAGGCTAAGTGGGCTCTAGGGGCCCGACTGACACTGAGACCCCTGCACGGCGGCCGGCTGCGGGCTCCTTCCCTCCTCCTTCCCTTACGCCCCCCTGCATCCACTGTCTCCAGCTGGGTTCTAGAACTGAGAGGAAGAAAAGGTACATGATGAAGTACTGACGGCAAGACGGGTGCCTGGTTTCAGCAGCAATTATCAGACCAGCAGATAAGATGGTTTGAATGGAATTTGGTTGCCGTCTCACTTGGTACAATCGCTGTTGAAGGAAACGCGGAGCACTATTGCGGCACTCAATTGCATCAATTGGATGACGTACGAGACAGGGCAGCTAACCAACGCCCATGGGTAAAAAGTAAAGTGACTTCCTTGCCCGTTTTTAATCCGTACATGGGCGCTAATCCCCCGCATTTCATCTGCGCCAACTGCTCTGAGCGCATCTCGTGACTGGGAGCACCCGCCCAGCGTTTGTTTTCATTGCACGCAACTGCCCATTTTCCAACCATCTCCTCCCGTAGAGATGGTCTGATTTCAAAGCCATGCAGTGCAGCCGTCCAAGGTTGACGAGACTATTACTCGTCTTTTCGGATGAACCGACGCTTACCGGCCTTTGTTGATGGATGTTTTGCCAACGGACATGGTGGTTCCGAAACAGAACAAACGCTCAATCATAGGCATGCGGCTTGCCGGTTCATGGATTTTCTCCGACTCACCACGCAGCAACCAATCCGGACGCGCCTGCAGCATGCTACCCCCAAGCGTGGCATTTGCTGCGCTCAATAATCCTGACTGCTGTGCAGCGCTCAAATGAAAAGCTGCTCCGGGCGACGTCAAACGCGCCGATTGTTTATACGTATATAGTGCCACGCGAAACTCGGTCGGGCAATTTCTGGGATCGGTTCTCGATGGGTTAAGACTGATTCAGCCCTTGAATTTGGTCAAAGTGTCCTATTGAACCTATGTCAGCCTCTGTGTGAAACCCGTAGATGGTTGGCGCCTGAATGAACTTACCGCGGTGACCTTCTTGACGCTTCTAGCGGTGATGCCTCTTTCCCCGGACTTCTTGGACTCGATGGCCGCTTCTTTGACAAGACTGGCAAATGTGAGCAGATCAGATTTTCTCGGCGATTGCAGGGTATGCTTACGTCTGCATGAAGAGGACGTAGTCGAGATAAATCTGCCAGCAAGTCAGCGGCGCGTCGCGACGCGTCGGAAAGCAGTCAACCGACCATGACGTCCACATTCTTGCTGAGGTTGCAGTTCGAATGCGCCTTGACAATCTTCTTGACCGTACCGCGAGGATAAGCCTTTTGGCCGGGCGCCATGATGACTGTCGACGAGCGAGGGTATTGCGTTGTTGTGAAGATGTCAAAGTAAGGTAGATTCGCTGAGGTGAGCTCTGTGTCGCAGTTCGGTGTGACGTTCCGAGGGTGGGGGGACGCTGTTTGTTTTGTTTGGGGGCGGCAGTTCCCGAGGTGAAGACACGAGCTCGGAGCACACACCTGGTGCTGAGAAGCAGTGCATGACCCCGCCGCACTGTGTGCAGCTACTGTGACCCTCCTTTTGAGCTTTTTGGGAGCTCCTGCGTCAGTCGTCAACCGCCAGGAGCATCGCCAGCACCTTTCCGACCGTAACGACGAGTCGCATCACATATCACAAAGATGCTGTCAAGGCGCATGGTGAGCCTCGATATCTAGAAGATATTTGACAGAGTTTCACGCTGACTTCATCTCACAGCTTAGCAAGGCCGACGAGGAGGCCATCGGCGACGAGGTCGAGGTCCGCAGGGAGGACCAGGACAAGATCAACAAGTTCAGCCGTCTGCACTCGCGCGAGCTCGGTATTGAAGATGAGCTGAAGAACAAGAGTGTCAGTGGTGTTATCCTGTGGTATCGGTGACCCCAGCTAATCTCGAGCCGACATGCAGAAGGAGAAGGAGGAACTCGACGACCTCAACACAGAACTGGAGCTCGCCGACGAGGACGAGGCCGTGCCGTACGCAAACGAACCCTTCCGGCGAGCACATCAAACGCATGCACTGACACGAGCGACAGATACAAGATTGGCGACGCCTACTTCCACGTCCTGCAACCCCAGGCACTCGAGATGCTTGAGAAGGCATCGTCCAAGATCGAGGAGGAGGTTGAGGAGCTGGAATCCAAGCTGGAGACAATCAAGGAGGAGATGACCCAACTCAAGGTCGAGCTGTACGCCAGGTTCGGGAAGAGCATCAACCTCGAGACATGAATCAAGCACAAATTGGACGACCAACAAGGCCTTTCGCACACATGACCCCGCCCAGCTACAGGCACATACAGCCAACGTTGAATTTGATGGGACACGCAAGTAGTCCGCTGCTGCAACAGCCAGCCATCGCAGAAAACCCTGCACCAACAGACGATTCGCGAGCACACCGCTCCGAGGCCCAAGGGCCGGGCCAGGCTTCCCGCTGCAACATTTTACGAAGCGCGGGACTAGCAGCTGCATATTCTAGACCCGGTCTCGTGTGTGACGGCATCAAATGGGCTACTGCGAATCGGCCCAAAACCATCGGGCTACCTAAAAGATGCCGAGTGACCGCCAAATGGAGGGGCGGCCCCGGGGAATACGCCGGAAAAGACCCTCCACCAGCACGGCCGGATGAGGCATGCTGTGGGTCAGACACTTGCGGTTCGGCTCCGATGTGGTCGATGACCCAATGAATTGCCACGCCCTTTGCGCCATCTAGCCTCTCCCCCCATTCCGTCAGCGATGACGGGGATAACGATTCAATCTGTTCTGTTACACCCGGCCCACTCACGATGCGCCCTCAGTTGCTTGAGTCTGAAAAGGTGGTGGAAACAAAGGCTAAAACGTCTCAGTCCACAAGTCTAGAAGGGTGATCACCCACATGCAGCATGCAGACACCCGATCTTCGGGCCCCATGTTCCCCTCGGGCTCATTATTCATCCATTTGCATCTTAATAATGGCCTCGAGCCCTCCCCCTCAGTGCCCTTACTATGAAAACCCCAACGCACACTTGAGGCCATTGCCAAGAGGTTGCGTACTCACCAACGGTTCGTAATGTCACATAGCAGCGAACCCAGAGAGGACGTAGAAAGCGGACTTCCGTCTCTTGAACGTGAGTCTAAGAATGCGTGACCATTGCTGCCAAATCTGATCTTCGTAGGGAACCGCTCGTCCTTGACCGACGCCGTCAGGAGAATAGACGAGTATGATGCCCGTGAAAGATACGAGGCTCGCTGCGAAGAGCAGGGTCTTGACGACGAGAAAGGTGGCAGTCCAAACTCATCGAGCGACGAAGATGAAAAGACGATAGTGTCGTGGGAGGAGAACGACCCTGAGAACCCATACAACTGGTCAAATGTAAGGTGCTGCATCTTGGCTTAACTACACTGCTAACGCAGATTCTAGAAGAAAAAGTTCTTCATCCTCTGCTTGACGATGATGCAAGTCATCAACAGCACGCTGGGCTCAGCACTCCCTTCCAACGCCATCCCCTTCATTACCGCAGAATTCGGCATCACAAATCAACAGGCACAAGTCCTCCCCATCTCGATCTACCTGATCGGCTATGTACGTAAAATCCATCAGCTGTCCCATAACTGTGGCTAAGTGAGGAATGGCAGGTTTTTGGCCCCGTCCTCTGGGCTCCTCTGAGCGAACACATCGGCCGCCGTACTCTCACAATCGTCACCTTTGTGATGTTCACCATCTGGACAATGGCCTGCGCTATAGCCCCGAACTGGCCCTCTCTTCTCGTCTTTCGCCTTTTCGTCGGTGTCTTCGCCAGTTCTCCCATCGCAATCGTGACAGGCATTCTGGCTGACGTCTATGGCAACCACGAAACCCGCGGCCGTGCAATGACGGCATTCATGGTGGTATGTTTCCCTCAACCCCCCCAATTCGAGGCTTTTTCCAATGCTTTCCCAGATGACCACTTTCGGCCCTCTCTTCGCACCCATAGTCTCGGGCTTCTGTTCCACGTCAATCGGCTGGCGATGGTCATTCTGGGTCGCGCTCATCTACGCCGGCCTCACCCTCCTCCCGCTCGTCTTCCTCCCCGAAACCTACGGCCCCGTCCTCCTCGTCCGCCGGGCTCGCAGGATCCGCAAAGCAGACCCCTCGCTCGCCGCCTCCGTCGTCGCCTCGTCGGAGCTCGAGAGGACAGACTTCAAGCAGCTCGCGACCGTCGTCCTCACCCGCCCGCTGCGCATGATCTTCTTCGAGCCCATCGTCAGCTGCACCTGCGCCTACCTCGCCCTCGTCTACACAATCTTCTACATGTCCTTCCAGGCCTTCCCCATCATCTTCCAGAAGCTCTACGGCCTCTCCCCCGGCGTCGCGGGCCTCACCTACCTCCCCATCGGCGGCGGCGCCCTCCTCGCCGTGCCCGTCTTCCTCGCCTGGGAGCGGTGGCACCTGCGCGCGCAGGCCGACGGCCACACCTGGGCCAAGCAGGAGGAGTACCGCCGCCTGCCGCTCGCCTGCGTCGGCGGCCCGCTCTTCTTCGTCTCCCTCTTCTGGCTCGGCTGGTCCGCGCGCGACGGCGTCAGCTACGTCGTGCCCTTGCTCGCCGGCCTGCCCTTCGGCGCGGGGTTCATGCTCATCTTCATCGCGCTGCTCAACTACCTCACCGACGCGTACGAGGTCTTTGCCGCGTCCGCCAACGCCGCGGCGTCGACGAGCCGCTCGCTGCTTGCCGTGGTGCTCCCGCTGGCGACGACGCCCATGTTCAACAGGCTGGGCATCGCGGGGGCGTGCAGCCTCCTCGGTGGGCTGAGCGCCGTCATGTGCGTCATCCCGTTTGTGTTCATATGGAAGGGCGAGGAGATCCGTGCCGGGTCGAGATTCTGTATCGCGCTGAGGGAGAGGAAGGAGGAGATGGAGCGGAAGGTCGAGGCGCAGCGGCGGCGGGAGGAGATTAGGAGGGGAGCTCTGAGGATGAAAGAGGAGGTATGATCTACGGGTGGATTGGACTGCAAAGCATCGAAGCGAGTGCGGTACTTAGCCGCAGAAGAATGGCCATGATCCTGAGCGATGGCATATCGACTGGGCACATAATAGGGCTCTCGAAGGGCATTGGGACTCACAATCCAGGAACAGGATGCTCCAAAATCCACGATAATGCAAAGGGCGGAGTCACACCAATAAGCTGCCACCAGACAGCTGGAAAGACCATGATACTTCGTCATGAGTAGGATGATGAACCAATATTTGGAACAACACAACAGACATTAAGAGCTTTCAAAAAAGAAGACATGCAAAACAGACAGTTAGACAAGGAACGACCCTATGAACGATTTCATCAAGTTTAAGAATTGACGGGAGCAGCCGAGGTGACATGCTCTCGGAACCAGTCACTCCATTCCAGTTGCAGGACAAACGCCGGGTTGCTTGCAGACTGTGCCTGCCCAAACAGGCAACTCATGTTTCATGTCTCAGAAGTCAAATCTCACTTCACCTCACTTGACCCGGCTCACTTACAAGCAAACATCTCACATTCGCTCAGACTCGAAAAGCAAACTTCATGTAGGCATCAAACAGATATCTCATTCATGGAGGGAGAGAGAGCATGATTTCACCAAACCTCATCCCCATTGATAGCAAAAGTATATACAAAAGAACTGAAATTTTCTGGATTCTTTGCAAAATCGGACACACACGACGCACGCCATAATGCAAAAAAAAAAAAAAAAAAAAAAAAAAGCGAGAAAAATGCAAAATGCTTTCCTTCCCTCTCGATGGATTCGAAAAGACCCGTTTGATAAAAATACCAGAAACACCCCAAAAGACACGTGGACTGGCCACGCCCGGTGTCGTCCCTTTTTGTCCGCCCCTCTCTCTTCTAAAAAGGATTGTCGCAACCACAAAGGAATAGCCGAAATGTAAGCAGAAAGTTCTTCTCCCCCCCCATATATGTATATCGTGTGAAACATTGGTGTACACTTGTTTTTGAAAAAGAACTTTCGCTTTATTCTTCACGGCCCCAAAGAATTGTATACAAGACAAATGTGGTGAAGAAGGATAAAAATGTGTTTGTTCATGAATCATAGATTCTTCTCATAAAAATGATAACTTGACATGCGGGGGGGGGGAATCTACATCAAACACTTTAGAAGAGCTTGTTGGAGCGGCGGTAGGCGGGAGCGCCGGTGGGCTTGGCGCTGCCGGCGCCGGGGGCGGTGCCGTTGGTAGGGAAGGGGGCAACGGTGACGGTGGTGGAGAGGGTGACAACCTCCTCCTCATCGGCGGGGCACTCATCGTCGTCCTCACCGTCATCAGCGGTCTCGGTGGTGGTGGGGGCAGAGGCAGAGGCGGTCTTGCTGGGCTCAGCAGCACCGCCGTTGTTGCCAGAGCCAGCGCCGTTGACGGGGGCGGAGGGGGTGGCAGAGGCACCACCGATGGTAACGTAGACGGTGGAGGCGGGGACGGTCACGGTGACCTGGGCGGGGCAAGAGCACTCGGCGTCAGCGTTGTCAGAGCCGGAGCCAGAGCCGGGGGTGCCGGAAGCACCAGGGCGCTTGATGGTGACAGTGCGGGTGCCAGTGGAGGTGGCAGTGGTGGTAGTAGTGGGCTCCTCAGAGCCGACGGCACCAGTGACGGAGCCGGCAGCGGGGAGAGAGGCGGAGGGCTTGACGGCACCATCGGTGGCAGGCTTGGTGACGAGAACGGTGGACTCGATGGTGGTGGGGACGGCGGTGGTGACGACGGAAGCGGTAGAGCCCTTGCCAACGGTCATGGTGAGGGTCTTGGTAGTGACGATCTGAGTGACGGTGGTCTCGACCTCGCCATCGGCGGGGCAGTCATCGTCCTCATCCTCATCGTCGCCAGCGGGAGGGCTGGTGATAGTAGGGTCCTGGGCAGAGTTGGTCTGCGAAGGGACGCCGGCGGCGGGGGGAGCACCGCCAGTGGTAAGAGGAACACCGGCCGGGCCAGTGGGGGTGGCACTGACGGCGGGAGCGGTGCGAGTAACACCGGGGAGGGAGCCGGTGGAGTGCTCCTGGACGAGGGACTTGGAGATGCTCTCGGCCTCGGAGACGGGACAGACGGTCTCGGTCAGGTGGACGACGTTGGTGACGACGTAGGTCTGGAGGTCAGAGGCAGAGAGGGTGGCGCTGCGGGCAGGGCAGTTGGTAACGGTAGGGGCGCAAGAGGTGATGGTAGCGACCTCGGTGACCTCGACGGTAAGGGTGGTGTAGCCGGGCTGAGCGGAAGCGGTGGAGTTGTCGCGGCGCCAGTGGAAGTGGCGGGGCTGGTGAGCGCTGGCGCTGGCGAGGGTGGCCATGAGGCCGACGGCGGCAACGGTAGACTTCATCTTGAATGCTTGGATTTGAGGGTTTCTCGGATAAATCTCCAACGGGATAGATATGTTCGGTATCGAGGGGGTTCGTAAAGGGGCGAAAGATCAATTCCGCGAATGCTGGTTTTCAAGGTTGTGGCTGCAAGACTCAGTTGCGCTAAAGAACGAATGGGATACTCGATAGTGAGCGTCGGTTTGTGTGAAGGAATGTAAGGTGTCCGAGGACTGACAACGAAAGACTGTGGAGAGTAGAGAAAAGAGCAAAAGCACGGGTGAGGGAGGGAAGGGAGAGAAGATATTTAGAAGGGGAGGAGGAGGCCAGAGTCCTTTTAGCCCGTGGAGCAGCATGTGGATGGACGGTGGTGGATGTGAGTGAAGTGACATGGGGGTGTGAGCAAGCTGGACCAGGGTCAAGGGGGCGCGCGGACGTGGACAGCGAACGGTGGTGGACTGGACTGTAGGCTGTGGATAGGATCTCAATCCTCGGAGGAGGAGGAAGCTAGGGTGCCTAGCAGGAGGGAGGGGCCTTGCTGGAGCCAGCTTAGAGCCGTGGGCCGTTCATCTTGGGGACCGCGAATGCCAGGAGTGACAAGGCCAGAGAGTTGGATGGACTTTTGGAATTGCAGGTCCAGGGTCGCCTTTGAGCAGGCAGGCCGAGGCCACTCACACCTCGACTCGCATGCCAGGTTCAGGTTCTGGTTCTCGCCAGGCACCGCGGCGCAGGCGCATCGCACCGCATTAGGGGTGGGCCGAATATGGAGCCAAACGCTTGCTTGGCCCGCATAGAACGACATGGGTTTTTGGCTGTGGAAGCAGGGCAGGCAGAGACGGACCTACTGCGTAGGGGCCGCACCAAGCAAGCACACGACGGGGAGGAGAAAAGAGGGCAGGAGTGAGACTGTGAGACTCGGGGTCGAGGACGCCAACCGGGGAAACGGTGGTGGTGGTGGTGGGTGTGGCGGCACGTCTCACCCTCACTCTCTCTCTGTTCATGGGAGAAGCTAAGAAAGACGCGATGTGCGGCCACCGCACGCACAGCCCTCGCATGGGACGAGAGATGAAGCCGCCTCCCCCAGCCCACAGACGGAGCCCTCTTCATTAAATCCAGGAGTGACCGGGCTCCACCCGCGCCGGTGATGACGGCACGGCATTCGACGACGTGTGAGTGGTAGTGGTGGTGGTGGTAATTGCGGTGATAGCTGCGGTGATAATGACAATGATGTTGGCAGGCAAGGCAGCGAGCGGTAAGGAGGTAAAAAGTCAATGGGATTATGTGGTTGTGTTAAGGCTCTGGGAGAAGTTTGTTGTTGCCATGAAGTTGGGGCGAACCCCTTTACCGCTCGATAGGAGGAGGGGTTCGTTTACACGGACTTTCAGGTACGGAGAGGTACGTACCCTGACATGCTTTCCTCCCATTCGCAGCTGGCTGGGTAGCGCCTGGCTCGGACGGTTGTGTGCACCTGTCACCGCACCCGCGCCTGCTTGTTGCCTGCACCGTTCCCTCAAGCCCGGGCACCTTCCTCGCGATTTCCCAGCGCTCCGCTCCTGCTGCTGCTGCTGCCAGGTCCACTGCAGTCGTAGTCACTGCCCTGGCAGTCCAGCACCAGCACCAGCACACCCCTGTCGGGGCTAACCCCCTGGGCTGTTATCCGCCCCTCATATGCAGGTACCGCCCAACATGAGACACGCTTATGGCCAATCGTCCGATCCACCTACCCCACCGCGAGCCGAACACTCAATCCCGGCACCAGATCGCGGCGCCCCTGAGCTTCTGTCGTGCAAAGACGGAAAGAGCAAAAAATCAGCAGTGATGGGGATGGGATGACATTCTGCAGGCCGCCAAAACATGAGATCTTCCAGCATCTCGGCGCAGTCCAGAACCTGCAACTCATCCAGTGGGCTCTGATGGAGACCGATGGGCGTTGATAGACACGGATAATCGTCGCGCGGGATGATGAGCCTCTTTCTCGAGTCTCACCTCACCTCACTCCCCCATCTCCGTCTCATCTCACCTCACAACCTGCCGGCTGCTGCTCGTTCATCGTTTTCGCATCCAAGAAGGAGGAAAACACACAAGTTGTTGTGGAAATGCTCTGTTGTTCCTGTTGCCGTGTCCCGAGCCGGATCCGCGAGCCTTATTTTTATGTAAGGTCCGACTCTAAAGTAAGACGGTGACACCAACATGTGCTCGTATGCGCCTAAATCTGTGCGCGTATGCAGAGCATAGGTGAGTGAGCATCGTTCTGGGCTGACGGCTGAACACATTGCACCCGTATCGCCTCACCGACAGTAGATATCGTATTTCGTGCAGCCCGATGCGATGCAAGTAAGTAACTCTCGGTTGGATCCGTTGTCCGCCGTTTGATTCACGTTGCCCTTCATGATGTGTAATTCTTTCCAGCCCTTTCAATACTACCAGCCCCCTCTTCACTGCTGAATCTCTCTTTTCTCGCAGCTAATAACAAGAAAAAACGCCATCTCCAACGGTTGGCTACAAAAAGTCTCACCCGGCTCCAAAAAAGAGCGCAACCCCCAAACCTGCTAAAATTGTCCACCTGCCGCTTAGCCGGGGGCACCGTCGTGACCGTTTGCTTGACGTCTGTCTCTTCGTCCCATCGCAGCGTGCCCTGCCGTCCGCCAACAGAGCGTAAGGTAGGTAAAATAAGCGACCGACCTTAACTCGCTTTACCTCAATCGCACTTAGCCCGACCGTTTTGACCCTGCGCTTCGAGATGTGACGTGAGATGCAAAGATGCAAAGGGGGGAGGGTTGCAGCCAGCGCGTGCCGGAGTGGCTGAAGGCTTTTTTTTGCTTAACGCCCACCAGAAATATCTGCGACGCACCCGCAGCCAGTCGATCCTATGACGCCGTTGGACGCCCCAAAAAGCACTTGCAGCATCGTAAGGGAAGCGCCCTTCAACTCCCTCGCGCATCTCCATATTACTCGCATCGCAGTCTCACCGGCATCTCTGCCATGCCGATGGTAGGGTCCGGCATCAGATGAGTGCCGCAGAGGAATACCGCACATACGAATACCATCATCGCTTCGAGTCATAACAGGAGTTGTGCATCGCGGCTGTCGTCTATCTGTCGGTAATAGTCCGACAAAGCCTGCCTATACCACCTCTGCAATACCGAATGTCGTGCAATGTCGTGTAGGTAGTGTATTAGTCTGCTGTGACCCGGGTCCGTCGCTCGGGGATTGGGAATTACAGCATTTCGGCAGTGTCACGATACCCTTTCATTATTAGGCGCTGCTAAGGACGAAAAAGCAGGTCGGGTACCTTGCTTTAGCCCAGGAACCGACCCTCGCAGCACCGACCAGCATGAAGCCTGCGCTCAGCCCCTGACGCCCCTTTGGCCCCCTCCTCCATCTCTCCAACAGCAAGTCTCCAGACGGATCGTGCCTACCTAGTAGCAAAAGACAGCCGTCAAAATCGTCGTCCCTTTTTTTTCCTCCTTCAGGCTCTCGCTACGCAGGTGCATCATCAAGGGGTCGCGGCGGCGATGTGGCGCCGGCTCTTGAGGGGAATGAGATCGGCGCGCGGTGGGTGGTCCTGAAATGGTTCATTGAGTGCGACGCTGCTGTGCGCTGGGTGCAGCATGCGCTCTCACTCTCTCCTCCCGAGTCCCATCTTCATCTACGAAGTACTGCGCGCACGCAAACTACTGCGAATCACTTTTGCTGGATGCAACCTCTAAGCTTCCCGGATGCCCACGAGAAGCCGTAGAGCCAAGACGTGTCCCGTGGAGTCGAGAAATCTCCGTTTCTCCATGATCGCCAGCGGTGATCGAGATGAAGGGCGGTCTAGGCTTTTTTTCAAAGCGGGTTGCTTTGCTTTGTTGTCTGGTCTTCGATTGTTGTTTTGTTTTTGGTGGTTTTGTTCCCTCTGAGCGCATTTGAGTTTGCTGTCGGGGCTTTTTCGTCTGAGAATGCCGTCAATTGACTTTTGTTTTTTCGTCCCTTTTTCAGCCCTTGCGCTCAGCTGGCCTGGGCAGAGAGAACAGAGGTCTGCTGAACAGATTTTTGTAATGTCCTGCTGTGAAACGGTCGCCTGCTGCGCGCTCTCTCAATCTCGCTGCTCTTTCGTGCGACGCTGACTGGCACAGACGAAAAGCCCGGGATGGCCCTGGCTGCGAAAACACCCAGCAGGAAAACGTGAGATCGAAACAGCGGGATGATCTGACGAGAAATTGACCATCATCAGACGGAAGCACTTTGCTTGACAGGACCTGCTCATCCAGGTACCGTTGCCCAGCAAGCCACAGAGCCTGGCATCTCTCGGGGGCCAAGCATTGAACCCCCGAGAAGGGCCGTTTCAGACCCCCGAGGCGATCCCCTTTTTCTTCTTCTCCCCTGTTCCCCCCTCCACCACCACCTTCTGCTCTCCCAACGACCTCGACCTCGACCTTGACGACGGCCCCGTTGGACGGCCCATCGGAATGGGGGCCTTTTTCCTTGACAATGGAACAATGAACGGGACCTCTTCCAAGTCGCAGGCTACTGTCGACTTCTTCTCCCCGGAATTGACGGCGGGGACCTCATCTGGGATTCTAGGAAAGCTTCCAGGTTGCGGGAAAACAGCGCAGTTGGCCCTTCCTCTCCCCCCTCTGATATCTCTGCAGGGATCAGGACAACAAATCTCTCCCCTCAGGGTTCGCCCCAGAAGTGGTGTCACAGACTGATTGTGCAGAGATTATGTCAACGACATGCGTCTCCAGAGCTTCAGGCGACCGTATTCCAGCTCACCAGTTCACTAATGCATCTTCACCCACTTGATTAAATGAAGCCGACCGCGTCCCTTATCCCAGCTTCCCGGCACTTACCCCAACTCTCTGGTCCATGATCCATCTGCCCTACATTTTGCAGATTCTGCGCCTCTGCCAACTGCTCATGCTGGGTCAATTAGACGTGATTAATCTCGCAGGTAATTCGCGCTGGAAATTGCCCTGCCGAGGAGCTGACATGGCCTTCGCGCTTCACCTGAACACCCCGGACAGGCCTTTATGAAGGATTCGTACGCCTTCACTTCGGCTGATTTCGCTCTGTAGGCGCTACGTTGGATGATTGCGTGAGCCCTTACGGATACGCCTTGGGTTCGGTCCTTTGTTGGGTCGCTTCGATTTTTGATCGATTGATTGACAGATGAGCTATCACCGCCTGCGGCCTGAGCCCCCCGCTGCCAGCGGAAACACGGCCCAGCTGGCGCTCTCGGTGGTGCCTGTCTCTCGCTCGCCTACGAGCGAACACCATCGCGGACCACCGCCTGGGGGCGCGTAAGTTGCTTGAAATGAGACGAGCCCGCTTTCAAGGCACAATTGCCCGAGAGTGAGATATCTGGCTCAAACTGCTGCTGCATTTTTCGTATCTCGCGCGCGCGAGGTACAATTTGCCTGCCCCGCCATCGTCGTTGTCCTCGTCGCCACCTACCTATTGACTTTCAAAGACAATCCCCGCCTTTATCGTTGCTTCTTCCAACTTCTAGCCACCTCACCTCCCTCACACCGCATCTCGCAACTCATCGTATTCAAGGCTGCAGCTCTGCCGTCCGTTCCTTCCTTCATCCGATGTCTTGACAGCGTCTTAATCAAAAGATGCCCGACCGGGCGATCCAGGCCGGCGCAGCCGTCGCAGACTTCAAACACGGTAGCTCCCTGGCGCTGTCTCCTCCTTCGAGGCTTGGATTGCTTACCTAGTAGAGAAGGGGGGTTGGTTTGCCCTTCTCCTGTCTGGCCCCGTCTCTCACCTCAATCACCCCTTCTCCGTGTTGTTTGTTGAACACACAATCGGGTCGCTCACCCGAACCCTGTCGGCCAAGTTCATGCGGAAGCTCCGTTGCCCCATAAAACACCCGGCAACGACATCCCAAGCTCGCCGCACCGCACCTCCAACTCGAACAATTCAGGAGCTCGGGTTTCTCAAAAAGGCTGAAGGAGGAAGGAGAGTCCAGACTGCGACACTCAACCTGCAACATGAGGCTTGGGATTTTTCTTTCTTGCCCACATCTTCTGACATCGCTTCCGCATTGCCGTCCGCATGCGAGGAAGCCGCCCCGTGTGCCAAGTGGCATGCGCCACAGGGTTCGCACCGCATCGTCCTCGTAGGGCGGACGGGTGGCCGCGTCTTGGCTGGGCCAAAGACTGGACCTGGTGGAATTGGCCCACCGACTAGAGGCTCTGTTGCTAACTTCATCTGTCGACGACGCTGGTAGAGATGACTGCAAGTCTGGCGAGTTGCTTCCGAACCGAGTGGTTGGGATTATGTACGGTATTCCATGGCGTCTCTACTTGGTGAGCAAAAGTCGCTTAGTAGAGGACTTTGTCTCGACCCCGTTGAGACTTGCTATATCGAGCGACGGTACGGACTACATTTTCCTGTCATCATCCATTGAAGAAGCTTGTATGTGTTTATCTCGAGACTACTATATGGATAGCTCGAGAGCCTCAAAATGGACGACATCACTCGAAATTGATCCTCGGAAGTCTAGGATGATTCACGTTGCACAAGACGCAAGCTTTGCAATGACGCTCAAGGCGCAAGAGTTGCAACCTATGTTCTTTTAACTCGAACCCCTTTTATGACGATTTGGCTCGGATACTGGGTGTCGGATGATGAGGAGACTTCCACCATGGTAAACCGGGACTACCACTCAAAAGTCCGAGTCTATCATGTTTCGACAAGTGCTACTACGCACGTCAAATTTGACGGCGCGGTTACAATAATACTACCATGGACGCAGCTCGTTGTCAAAGGCTTTTATCATCACCGGCTTAACTCCCGGCCTCAGTCACTTCACGACACGACATGTGATGACTCTGATAGCATGATCTCGGCACGTCGAACTTCAACAAGCGCAGATTTATAGCGTTCAAATAACGCTCGAGTTCATTTCGATCACCAGTGCAGCTCCAATTTGCGAAATGTTTCAAACAATGTTTGCAACCTGCACTCCCGCTATGTTTCGGATCCGAAGACGTGCGTTTGAATGGGAAAGGCATTAAGAACGTGCAGGCTCGGGACAGACTACACTGGATCACAGAGTCTATGGTCGCGCCAGAGCAAACGTTCAGCTGCAACACCACGACAGAGGACTACTCACTGGATATCACAATGTCTTTGATACCCGCTTTCACCAACTGCAAAGCATCGAGGGGGGAGGAAGGTGCTTGCCTTTGAGGGATGTCCAGCCTCCTTGGTGCCCGCCTTTTGGGATGCTGTCGCCCCTGGTGACTGCCACAAATGCAGAAAGAGAAGCCATCGAGAAGGACCTCCCACTGGCTCTCGCCCTTTTCCCTCCCATGAAACCAAGGTATGACATCGTCGAGCCACCTCAACCCCTCGCCTTCTGGCCTCAGAGTTTTCCCTCTGCCCTACCTCTGCCTTTCCCTCTTCCCTCCTGCTGCCTCAATCTCCCCCAGCAGACCTCGCCAAGATTTTGACAACTCTCACTTTTGGCTTCTTGGCCTCCCAAGACACTCTTTTTTTCGTTCGCTCGATACCTTCATTGCATTATCTCATCTCCTTGGGCCGTTGAGCAATTATCTTTGGATTGGTTTTCGGTATTTTGCTACCCATCCGATTATCACCACCTCACGTTCGCTTGGAGATCAGCGCAAGTAAGGCAAACAAACCACAACGACAGCTTCGAGCCGCGATGAAGAAGCTCGCCTGTTGCGGCTTCGTGCCGTATCGATGGAACGCAAAGAAGGCCGAGTCGGACACTCCCAAGACCGACACTGTGCCGAGCTCGCGTCCTGTTTCTGCGTCTAATGTGTCGCTCCCGGTGCCCCCCGGTCCCCATCACTACCCCCCGGCCGCCCCGATGAACAGAGCTAACACGGGTTCATTTTCATCGCGCGGCAATGCCCGAACTCCCGACTCTTTTTTCGATGGGGATATCAACCTTGCTGAATACGCTGACGATGCGGAGGATGACGACAACGGACCCAACCCGCGCGATGGACCCATCGTCAGATTGGTTCGACGTTTGTCCACAGACAACAAGAACGTCACTGGCTCGAACCCCCCGGCCAACCAAAACCCTGAGGCTCTTAAGGAACTTAAGAGAAGGAAGGCGGCGGAGGATTATAGGGCATCAGTGAGGCTCCAAAACCATGCGCGGATTCAGGCCGAAATTAGGAGCGAGAACAGCGGTTCTCGGTCTGTGTCTACGCGTGGAAGTAAGAGAGTCCGCGAGTTGGCAACAGTTATGGAAGATGCCAACGACCAGGGCGCCAACGATCGGACAAGCAGCATTACCAGTCACCACAGCCAGCAATGGCGAAAGGGACTCGAGTTCTATGTTGCTACTAGCGAAGGAGTTAGAGGCGTCGGATATCAGCCACCTAGAACTCCCCACCACCCGATCACGAGGCCCCCTGCTGCGAGACTTAGGAACGACCACACCGGCAACATCAGAGGTGACCGCCGTCGAGGCAGCTTCCCGAGACCCGACCTCGGTAGGGCCTCCGCGTCTCAGATCGTGCTGCGCGAGCGCGGTTCACTGCCTGCCATGCCCCCTCCTCCAGTCTTGACTGCCAGACAGACTCCCGATGGCCAGGATGACGCTTCTTTCAGAAGCTGGAACCTTTCCCAGAACACCGTTCAGGGTGACAGCCAGGCCACAATTTCCAACCGCACTGGAGATGTCTCTACCGGAACCACACAGAACACCTCCATTTCCGACATCCAAGGCACTTCGCAGTCGAAGACTCGTCGCGGTGAGCCCAGCCAAGGAAACAAGCAGGCAGCATGCACCCCTGACAGCGTCACCGCTTCCAACTACTCTCGCGCTTCAGAGTCTTCGCAATCTCAAGAAGGCGAGGCTTTGAATATCTGGCTTCTTACTCAGGACTCCCAAGAGACCTCAGCTCCCGCTAATGAACAGCCTGCGAAGGGCGAGCCCGTGTCTCGCCAGACTGTCTGCAACGGAAATTTGCCCAACACTGACAAGGAGGACACCCACTCCCCGATTTCCGCTGGCCTGCCTGCCTCTGGAACTTCTGGCGAACTCACAATCAAGGCTTTCCCAAGAGATGAAAGCTCCTCTACCGATCTCGAGAGTGCCTTGGCCATGAACTTGGACATGGAAGACGAGATGGATCGGAACACTCGCACGTCAGAGGAAATGAGTGTTCGCGTTCAAGAGCCCGACCAGGAGCAAGTCTCCAAGCAGACTTCTGAGAACAACGAACATGAGCCCAAGGACAAGGCGCTTCCCGCACAGGAGGATCCTATCCACCACGACAACAACGAGGAGAAGGGCAAGATCATCCTCGCTACCAACTTGGCTTCCATTCCTCAGTATCAGTCTTCTTCTGTTTACTCTTCGACGCAGAATACTCGTCAGCCTTCCCCCGACGGCTCCAAAGAACCCAGCAGCGATGAAGGTGCGAGATACAGTCTGGAAAGTTTCAAGGGGCTTGAGTTGTCCCCATTCAGCGGTAGGGACTTTGCATGATGATCCATAAAACACAATCAGCTAACAAAGACACAGTCCCTAAAGACGTCCGCCAGGAGGGCTCCGACGATACCTACCGGACGGCCGCAAGCAAGCGTTCTGGATCAGACCCAGTGATTCCCCCCATTGCAGTCAAGCAAATTGTTTCGGACAGCGTTGAGAAGTCCCAGAACAAGCTTGCTCCCGCAACCTCTACGTCTACTGCCTCCAACACCCACAGTCGGAAGTCGTCATTCCTCAACCTCTTGCTTCATCGCGCTGAGTCAAGCTCTATTGGCCATAGAAAGTCGAAGAGCCAGCCGTCCGCGAAGCTCACTCCCCTGAACAATTCGTCGGAGGCGCTGGATATTCCCAAGCGGCTCAGCCATGCCAAGAAGCTCTCCAACTTGAGCATCAGATCCCATATGCAACCGATCTCAGCCGCTGATGATTTCCTTGCACCCCCGCTGAAGGAGAGTGCTACTGTTGTCTGGAAACGTGCCTTCGAGCTTGAGCAGAATCTGCGCGACAAATCTGTCGGACCGGCTCACTCAGAAACCACAGTTGTCAGTCCAGTCCCTGATGATGATGCGGATGAAGATATTGCAGTCAAGGACAACGGAGACATCAACAGAGGCAACGACGCAGTCACTGCAGGTACCCAGTAGAACTCGGGCCCGGCAAAGCGCGCAACACCTCCTGCCTCTTGGGCTAGATTCGCATCTCACACTCGTGAGGAGCGCAACGCCGCTGCTGGCTCTACCGACCTTGTCAAGCAGAAAGACTTCGCTCTCGCCAGCACAACCGATCAGCAAAGCTGGGTTACAGACAGGAAGATGGGTGCCAATGGCGACAAGGACGAGGAAGCAGCTCACTCGCTCTCAAAGAAATTCGGCAAGGCGATGAAGACCGGTCTGACCAAGATGGTGCAGTCCAAGCCGAAGGGCAAGTCTGCTGAGCTGGAGTATCCCGAACTCGAGATTCTGCCGACCAAGGGTGGATACAAGGACGTCGAGGCCATCCAGCGAAGCGTCGCGACGCTGAGTCCCAGGCTACGGGCCAAGATGGCCACTCATCCGGCCCAAGCGCTCGCTGATATGGAGAACGAATCGAGACAATACGGAGGAGCCCACCACACTAGCGACGGCTCTGCTGACAACGCTGCTCTTAGAAACGACAAGAGCAAGGATGTTGGCACATCCGCCAAAGTTGCCTTGTCTATTCGTCCGGTCACGCCGGCCAGCCTGGCCATTGCCCCCAACGGTGATTTGACGACCCCGACCACAACGGAGCACTGGGCTACTCCAGCTAGCCGGTTGTCTTTTAGCTCTACCTCCCACACTGAGGAGGGATACATTTCGGCGGTGGACGACATCGAGTCCATTGGCAAATTGTAGTGAGACCTGAGGGCCACTCAATATTGGTCGTCTTGTTTCTTGAGGGCGAGAAAGGAGATCGCAAGACGAGATTGAAATTCAGCTGCAAGATGAAAATTGGGCAAGTCTTGCTTTGCAATGTGACAATTGGATGAACCTGCTGACATGACATATTAGGAACTTGAACAGTGAAGCTGAAGTTCAACGCTTTGGTTTCTTCATGTTTGGCCAGACTGAGATTTGGCAAAAGAATTGGTACCAGTCGCTACCAAACGAGAGTGTGTTTCTGGTCAGTCAGTCTTGTCAGCTCGAGGCTATTTGTATTTTGCTAATTCGTTCAGGTTGACGACAGTTTCAACCCTCGCACCAACGATAATGCCCATTGAGGGCTCTTAATGTCATGAGTAAACGGAGTGATTTTGTGGCTTGGAGGTCTCGTACGCGAGAAATCAACAGGGCATGAATCACGGTTTTTGTACGGTATAGATTGGGGTCGAAGGATGGAATTTGGAATTTCCCCACGTGTATAGTTTCATAGACAACGAATTCTAGTGGTAGCTCAAACTGGGCATGGCAAGGCTCTCGCCTTTCTGCCGTTCTCTTTCCAGTGACGTGCTGAGGTTCCACGGGACGTCCTCAAGATGGCCGATAAAGCAGGTGAAGCAAGAGTAAGCTAGCTGACACGTAGTGCGGATAGAAATACCAAAGCGGTATTGGGCGGGCTCACGGTGACGCCAAATCTGCCGGATCAGACGATGCGGCTCCCATTGCCGAGTCTGTGTAGTCATGAATCATTAAATAAAGGTCTTGCCGAGCACACCCAGAAGTGCCGAAGACCTGCATAAGATGTCCGTCCATAATTTCCAATACACCAACACACCCATACTCCGCATACAGACACAACCGCCCAAAAGCCCACTCGAAATGAAATACAAGAGCCTTAATAAGGATTCTTGTACCTTAACCAAACAAGACGTTCTCGTAAGCCTGCTGATCGAGATGCCTGAACAGCACATCCTGGAGCGCGGCCCTGCTCTTTCCGATCTGCGGGACAACGCCCTCGATCTGTTGGAGGTTGTTCCGCATGCTCTCCATGTGATTGCCCACTTGACTGGCCAGCCCTTGGAGCTCCTCGTCCTCGAGATCCTGAAGAAAAGTTAGCTTTTGTAGTCATATAGAAGAGACATTCGCTATGCAGGGTGGAAGACTGCTTGCTTACCTTGAAAAGACCGTCGCCCACGTTTTCGTCAGGGACGAACTTAAAGTCTTCATCCCCCACGGCCCAGTCTTTGGCGCCCTTGTTCTGCTCTGGAACAAGAACGTGCGTCTTGCGCAGGTTTTCCTTGAAGTTCCTCGCCTCGGACTTGGCGTTGGCCTCCAGGGTGCTGAGAGTCTTGTAGTCCTCCTCGAGAGCGCGCTCCTCGCGCTCCTTCTCGGTTTCGAGCAGCCGCACGGCGTGCAGCAGCGGATCGAGCTGTCTCTCGAGCGACCGCACGCTGTCGACGACGCGCTCAAAGTCGAGCTCCTCCGCGCGCCCGGCGTCGTCGTTCTGACTCTTCCTGCCTGCGCGGGGCGGCGCCGAGGCCGGCGGGAAGGGGAGGCCGCGGGAGAGTTTCTTGTTGAGGCGGTTCGTGACGAGGCGTAGGGCGGAGGAAGCCTGGTCGCGGCGTTTCTCGTTGGAGGCGAGGCGCTGGAGGACGGGGCGTTCTGCGAGGCGGAGCATGCTGGAGATGAGGGACAGAGAAGGGGGGAGGAGGGGAGACCATTTTTCCTCGATTGTCGAGCGGGGGATCTGGCGGACGCGTTCGGCGATGTGACGGTATTTCGCAGGCGGGCGGCGGGGTTTGGGAGTTGGGGCTACTTCTTTCTGTTTTTGTTGTTGCTGTTGCTGTTCTTGTTGCTCGTCGGATGTGCGGCGGCGACGTTTCTTTGGTTGCTCAGGGGCTTCTTCAGAGGGTTCTGCGGGGCGCTTCTTAGATTTGCGAGGTTTTGCAGGTTGATCTTCCTGGTCCACTGATGCGTCGGAGGTGCGCGGGCGACCTCTGCGACGGCGTGCTGTGTCTGGCGAGGGCTCCTCAGGTTCTTCCTCTTGGGAGGGCTTGTTACGCCGCTTCTTAGTCGGCTTCTCTGTGGGCTGCTCCTCAGCCTGAGTCGGTTGCTTGGGTTTGCGCCTGCGGCCTTCCTTTGGTTCAGGTTGTGAGGCTTCTTGAGAATCCTCCTGAGATTGAAGAGAGGGACGACCACGCTTCTTCTTCGCAGGTGCTTCCTTCTCGGGTGCTTCTCTTTCGGGCGAGGCTTGTTCTTTGTCACCCGCAGCTGGACGTCCGCGCCTCTTCTTCGGGACTGCTTCAGGTGATGCTTCCTCCTCAGGGGCGTTCTCTTCAGCTTCAACTGCCCTTTCTTTGGGCTTTCTTCCACGCTTCTTAGGGGCTGCCTCCTCCTCTGCAGCATCCGGCTCTTCTGCAGCTTCAACGGCCTGCTTATTCAGTGACGGACGACCACGTTTCCGCTTGGTAGCTGGGTCCGGCGCCGGCTCTTCCTCTTGTTGCTCTTCGGCGACCTTAGCTGGCCGTCCGCGCCTCTTCTTGCCCGCATTTCCTGCGTCCGCTTGTTCAACCTCGACTTCCTCTTGAGACTCCTTTGCGGCTCGTCGGCCGGCCTTACCTTTGCCTGGCTTCTCTGCAGGAGCTGGCTCTTGGTCCTCAGGCTCGTTATGTTCTTCCGTTGCAGCGTTTCTCTTTTTTCTCTTCGCTTGAGACGGCTCTGAAGGCTCGGGACTCTCAGCCGTAGCTTCGTTGACCTCTTCGCGCCGAGGCCTGCCCCGCTTCTTAGGCTTGGAGGCGTCTGTAGGTGATGGCGCTGGCTCGGGTTCAGGTTCGACTGGCTCTGCTTCCTTTCCTTTGCTTGGTCTCCCTCGTCGTGCTGGTTTTGGGGTCTCGTCGGCACCCTCGGCCTGGGTGGTGGGCTCAGCATCCGCAGCGCTTGGGGATACTGCCGACGCGTCGTCGACCTTGGACGCGTTGGAAGGACGACCGCGTTTCTTCTTTTGGTCTGCGGGTTTTGGAGGCTTCGGGGGTGTCAGAAATATGTCAGAACATCATGCTCAGGGGCACATACCATTGTGATGGGATGCGCTCCTATCCGGGTTGCGCAATGGTGGTTGCTCTAAAAATCACCAAGTCGGTCCGGAGCTTCAGACGCGTTCCCCTCCACCTTAGACAATGGAACTGCACCAGGTACGTATCTGATGCAGCTTTCAGCCACGACTTGATAGGCACATGTGGCTGTGTGACACGGAATGTGGCTGCTTCCCCGGACCGTTGTCCCAGCTGGCCAAGGACGCTACACCTCTTTGGGTTAGGGGCTACGGAGGCAGCAAACGGGCAGGGTTCCATTTTCCATTGGCGTTCCAGCGACTGGCCCAGTGGTTCTGCAGCTGCTGGTCTCCCGGCCAGTGGGTTTCACTGTGTTCTGGTCCCCCCAGGCGCCCCAAGCTCCTTGCACCGTGATTTCGTCAGGTAGCCGGATCACCAAAGGCAAGCACACCACAGCGGAAGTGGGCAAGGTTCAGGAGGTGCCAAAGGGTCATTTCAGCATTTGCACCTCTGCGCCCCTTCCACTTTTTTTTCGTCCCGACTCTGTGTCCTCTTTGTCTCCAACCGGATCCCATTACAGATAATACTTCTCCTCTCCTTCCCTCAAACCCCCATCCCGTTCATCGTCCCTCCCTTGGCCTCCGGCAGCGTGTGTAATCGGCGTCATCTCCGTTTACCCTGTTTCTTGCACACCCGTTAGTTCGCGTCGTTTCCCCTCACGCCAACTTCCGCATACCCAGCATCCCGTCGCTTGGACGCTCAACCGCGACACCTGTCTCAAACAGCTCACAACTCCTTTGAACCACACCACAACCGACAACATGCGCGTGTCTGCCACCACAATCCTCGCCCTGCCGCTCCTCGCGGCCGCGGCTGAGTCGCCATTTGAGCAGTACAAGGCCCAGTTCCAAAACTTCCTCAGCTCCTTCGGTGCCTCTGCGCCCAGCGCGACCAAGCAGGACACACCCGAGGCTGCGGCTCCCGACGCCGTCGCAAAGTCCGTCTCAGTTCTGACTGTTGACAACTGGAAGGATGTCCTCTATGCCCCCGTCAAGGCCGAGGCCACAACACCTGAGGAGTGGTGGGTTCTGATCACTGGTCGCAACAAGACCTGCTTCGGTACGTCGCTTTCGCATCTTGCCTCCAGGCTACATTGGGTGCTAACTCTATTCTAGGTCACTGCGATAAGATCGAGACTGCCTTCAACGAGTCCGCGTCCAAGTTCGCAAAGCTGCCCGAGTCACCCCACCTGGGTCTCCTGAACTGCGACGACGAGCCCGTTCTCTGCAACGCCTTCTCCGCCAGCTCTGCCTCCATCTGGTCTATCGGCATGTTGCCCCCCGGAGCGCAGGTCGATATCTGGAGGAAGCGTCTCAACGTTACGACCACCACGTCTGACGATATCATTGACCTGTGGAAGAAGGGCAACAAGGAGGACTGGATTCTGACCGAGAACATCTTCCACCCCTTCAACAGCTGGGTCGCCCAGAACAACCTGTCTATCCCCGTCGGCTACTTCTTCTGGGCCTTCAACCTGATCCCCAACTGGCTCTTCATGCTCCTCGTCTCCTTCGGTAGCCGCACCCTTATGAACCGCCGCATGAACAACACCCTCGACGGCCGCCAGGCTGCCGCCGGTGGCGCCGCCCCTGCTGCCGGTGCTGCACGATAAACGATGCCACTTGGGGCTGGGGAGCGAGTGAGAGGATGGGTCTGGTAGGCATGACAGGCGATATAGACACCTGGGTGGCCAGGAAAGGGTTACGTCCCTTTGGACCAGGTAGTGCCAAATAGTAATTATAGTTGGATCAGCTTTTCCCTTCACATGCATCTTGCACGCTTTTGAGACCTTCGATGACGTCCTCCTTTAGCCGGGGATTGGAGAGTTTGCCGTAGCGGAGGTCGCTCATGGTGCCGACCGTTTGCTTGACGGATTCGAGCAGCGCGGCCTCTTGCGCCTCGAGCTGCTGAATCTCCGCCTCCAAATCTGCAATGGCGGTATCCATCTCCGGGATTATGGAATTGAGCGTGTGCTTGGGGTCCGCGCCCACCGAACCAAAAAGCTGCCTTTCGCGTCAGTAGACCGCCCACCTCTTGCCACCGTAACGCATGCGACGTACCGCTCTTTCGATCTCAAGTTCTTGGTCCGCATCCTCATTCTTTTCCTTGCGTCGAGCAATCGCGATGTCGCGTCTGATGTACTTTCCTCGCTTCTCCTCAACGGCGATGTTCTCCGTGACTGTGTCGACGAGCGCCCTCCTCTGGTGTTGAAGGTCGCGATACAGCAGGCGAATCTGCGGATTTGTCCGCTGCGCCTTTGGGAAAAGCTCTGTGAACTCCTCTAGGCTGATGACGGACGGGAGCTGGGCCGGTACCGTGAGGTAGTTGTGCAGGATGGCAGACTCGGTGGGCGCCATGGTGGAATGCAGGACGTTGGCTCGGTGAGGGGTGTGATGTAGTGAGTACAAGTTGGATGACCACAGAAGGACTCGATGATCGCCGGCGCGTATCGGGGTTCAACATGCTTGTACGCGACAGAAGGAAAGTGCTGAAGGCACCCCGCGTTAAGGGCACTTTAGGCTGCCCCACAGTGCTTACCCGGTTTAGGCCACGGGCAGCAATACAAACGGGTCACTCGTGCTGCGTGGAGCTCCGGCGTCATCGCAGCCATGGAATGTCACTCTTGCATTTACATCAACTAGGACTGCCTTGCCTGCTACCACTGGGCTACTTTGAATGGAAGCCACCTGACTTACACAACTAAGATTACAACTCGTCTTTTGGCTGCTCCGTTCCAAGACAAGGAAACACCAAAGGCCACTCATCGATAGTATCCTGTTTCGGTCGTCCAATGTTCTCGCCCAAAGCATCAATGAGCGTACCATCGTCCAGATCGATCGCCCATACCATCGTCCTGCAACCCAGTTAGCTCGAACCCAGTCATCGTGTTCCCACCTCAGTGCAAGACTAACCCTCCCAAGCAACGCCGATTCGCAAATACAACCTTCATCCCCAGAGTCTTGGCATCGTCCCAGCTGACCCATTGATCCGTGTCCCAAGTCACAATCATGACGGCCGCTTTCTCATCAAACGTGAGCGTCGCGCCGTTGTCGATGATTTTCACAATCTCGGCAGCGGAAAGGACACCAGGGGTTCCGGTGCATTCGCCTCCCTTGGCACCTTCTGTGAACTCACAGCCTGCCGACATACAGTTGGGATCCTTCATTGTGAAACCTGACGGGCTCGTGTTAGCTACCTAGGACACCACGTCTTGAAATTTGAGAGGGCCACTTACTTCTTCCGTAGAAACCCAAGCCAAGGTTGATGCGCTCCGGGTTGATATTGTTTCTCCAGAACAACTCAAGGCCGAGCTCGATCTCAGTCAAGTTGGTGTGGGCTAATGCATAAGGTCCCAGAGCCTATGTGAACGGTCAGTTGCGGATTTGAATCCAGTCGATTGATAGACTCACATCAATAGTCTTGTCCCATACGCCGTCTGAAAAAAGATGGAAACGTCAGCGAACGTCATGACCTTGGAAAATCAACTTACGGATGTCATATGCCATGATGTTGAACCAGCTCACATACTGCTCCATCTCTTGCAGATTGAAGCCTCTAAGATACCAGTAAGAGGCGGGCTGCACACAAGGTTAGAGCTTTATGCTTGTTGGCCAGTTACTCCGTGAACTTACCACAGCCAGACTGATGCCGTACTTGCGCCCAGAGGCGTTGAGGCGTTGTCTCAACCTTCGAAGCAGGTTCACATAGTTGTCAAAGTCTTCCGGAATGCCTCCGCGGTCGTCTGCCACGGGATACTCCCAGTCAAGGTCAACGCCATCAAGGTCGTGCTTCTTCATGAAGGTGAGGAGGGAATCAAAGAAGGCGTCTTGGTTGGCCTCTGAGCCGGCCATGTCTGAGAATGCAGTTTGGTACGGGCCTGGGTCGTTCATGGCCCAGCCTCCAATCGCTAAGAGCATGCATGTTAGAATTTACTTGCTCGGTCATCTGCAAAGGACTCATCCTCACCGATCCAAACCTCCAAATCGAGTTGCCTGAGCTTCAGCGCTGCAACGTCTCCATACAGCGATGCAGTCCCGGCGTCCATATCATCCAGCCGGAAGGTTTTCGGGTTCAGAAGAGCAAAGGCGAAGTTGATGTGCGTGTAGATACCTGTCTACGCGTAAGCAAAGCAGATTTACCATACTCGGAAACACATGCAACTTACCCAACGGAATGTCCTTGGGTGCCATTCCTGTTCATAATTAGTCTTGTTCAACTCCCCAAATACTGTGAAAGCATGGGAGCGCTTACTGCCACAGGGCCTCGCCAAGTTCCAACCCTCATAGTACCCGATCGTCCTGCCATCGGAAGACCTCGCACCAGCATCGCACTGAGGCTGAGGCGGGATGTTGCTACCGCAAAAGAGGGCCGTCGTGCCGCAGAATCCATATTTGCTGCAGCAGACATTCAACGGGCATTCAGCAAGTTCCGACCACTCCATTCCCCAGCCAGGATCGCACTCGCTCTTCTGATCGCATTGCGACGTACAGCCCTCCCCACAGTATTCAGGGCCGAGACCACAGACTCCTTTGCCAGTCTCCGCGTTGCTTTTATCAATGCCCAGGTCAGGGTCTTGCCGTCAATGTAGGTGATGAAGGGCCGCGATTTGTAGGTTTACTCACAGTGGGCCGCAGCATCCAACATCACAACCCTCGCTTGCTGAGCATTGGTACTTCTCATCGTCCTGGCATTGAACAACGCTCATTGACGAGAGGAGGAAGAGCCACAAACAGCTCCATAATCTTGCGAACATGGTGAAGAATCGATGTGTTTTTCCAGCGACCAGGCCTGAAGGTTGGTTGTGATGAACCAGAAGCAGTTGCAAAATGTAATCCACGAGTTGAAGGAAGGTTTTCAGCGCAAAAGACTCAGAGCCCAAGAGGCAAACTCGTTAACGTAACTTTTCACTGGCCAGATCCCCCTAGGGAGCTTGGAAAGAAGCCTCGGACGTCATATTGACTCGAGTTGATGATATCCTCGATAAGTTGCATAAGAATACTATTACCAAAGGTCCTTTCGCTGTGATGCCAGAAATAGGAAGGATTCCGCTGTAACCTTGCGAGAATTGTCATCTGATGAAGTTGGTCCGGTTGAGAGGGCTGATGAAGGCCAAGATTCAGCGTCACATCGTCTACCAACGAGATGAATAGGTACTGGCACAGACAGAAATATAGGTACACTAATGCTGAACCCCTTACAGTAGCATCGGTAGGCTTACATATCATTCTTGGCTGCATTGATAAACAAGACCTCATGATTAACTTTGATCCTCCCGATGCACGAAAACAATAGTCTCACCGGCGGTTACTCAAGGATTCAGAGCAACGCTTCGGAGATTCTTCAACGCTGCCAACGATGTGATCAATCGTCCAGAGGAAAGTGAGCGTTGTTACGATGGCGTCTTTTCGGAATTGCCTCCGTCTCGGCGTCAGCATTGCGCCGGCCCCCATGTAAATGATATCAACCTGTGATCAACATGGGGCCGGCCTGAGAGACACTGAGGTCACATCGACGAACGGGACTTATGTGAAGGGCTGCCTGGTGGTAATTACCTAGGTATTCGCGAGAGGCAAATCGACTTGTAATGCTTGAGACTGGGAGACTGGGAGACTGGGAGACTGGGTATTCTGCAGTGTCCCATCCAAGATCTACTCGTTTCTGTCCCGTCTTCACGTCTTCACTTTCTTCCAAAGAAGCCAGAGCAGGTTGGACAAGTTGCTCAGTCGTCATGTATAGCCTACGCTCTTTGATCTTCGCCGCAGTGTTGGCCCACGGGGTCATCGCGGGCTCTCGTATGTGGGAGGCGCCTCTTCACTACCCCTCTGTGGACGCTCCTGTTGAAATCACCCTGAGCCTCGAAGGCGTCAACGTCACTCAAGTCGGCACCCAATCGTTCAACAGCACAGAGAAGCGATGGGTCACCATCAAAGACGGCGGCGCACAAGGAGAAAGTCGCTTGCTGAGCCATTTCAAATGGCCAGACAAGAAGATCCGCTTCCACTTCGAGACAGAAGAGGCCAAGCAGAAACTGGAAGTCTATCTTGATGCCGCCAAAGCTCTTTGGTCAGCGGCCGGTCTCCCTGATGAGTTCACCTACGAAGAAGTAACCAGCGAAGCGGATTATCAGGCGAAAAAGGGAAAGATTCTCCTGGTCAAGTACAATGACCGCAATTATCTCGGCACCTCCCTTGGCCTTCCAACCCAAGACGACGACGGCCCGAGTCCAGTGATGGATCTCTGTGATTCAGAAAAGATTGGCACTCTCAATATTGTGGCCAATTTTGCTCATGAGTTGGGTGTAAGTTCAAATGCCTCATGCTCGCGCCTGCGGCATCTCAAAACACCCATGAAGCTAATCATACATCACAGCACGCTTGGGGATTGCACCATGAACATCAGAACCCTCAGTTCTGGACCAGTCCCTACACGGCGACTAAAGGCGACCGGGTTCAATTCGGCTCAGGGTACGGCGAGTTTCACTGTGAGAGCCTGTCCGATTACGAGGCGACCAAGACCAGACTTATCGCACAATATGGAGAGGGCGAAGGCAACGCGAGATTGAGGCAGTCTTGCGAGAAACGTATACACGCTATCCAGAACGACTTCAGAGGCGCGATGGAGTGGCTGCCTCTCCACTCTTCGGAAGATTTCGTCGGTAGCGTCAAGGAATTTGACGAACGCTCCATTATGCTCTATCCATCTCGAGCAGGCGGCTCGGGGACGGCCACCGGGCAGGGCGCTGATGACGGACGCGCCGTGATTCTCACGCGCGCCGGCGGTAAGGAATTGGACTACAACACGGCGCCTTCTGAGCAAGACGTTCAGGGCATTAGGAAGCTTTATGGAGTGCCGAGGAAGACCTACAAGTCGCTCTTCAGTGAGTTGAAGGATCCCAACAACAGCAGATTCACGGAAGAACGCCGGAAGGATGAAGGCACCGGCTGTAACACAAAGGAGGTATAGGATGGAATCGGGCACTCAGCTGTTTTTCATTTCGACGATATTACCGACAATATGTCCATTTCTAGTCTTTCAGAGTCTTAAAACATTCAATTCAATTCTCATACCGCGGTCTTTTTTCTTTCGTTCGTCTGCCTCTTTAAATTCACTTTGGAATAGCATTCGAATTTTGACTGTTATTCATACATGATTTGATGGATTCATGGACATAACGCAAAGCTACCATAAATGTACGAAAGAGATGACATGATGGTTGATAACTCACCGAAGCAGGGGAGCTAAAAGAATCGACTGCTTCAACATCCGTCACTCAATTAAAATACATCTGTCCCGCTGCAACCGTTGGTTAATCCGCCGGCTGCCTTCTGAACTCCTTCATTCTTGAAGCAACGTCCAACCCAGACTACAGTCCGGAAGGACGACTCCCATTCCATGCCATCCTCATCTGGCTCGTCATAATAATCGAATTTCCATTGGGTCAGGCCGCCACCAACGCAACTTCTTGCGTTGCTAAGGAGAGTATTTTGCCCCCAGTCCCAAGTGCTCCATCCAGCACCTGCGATTCCAATGTCAGCCACGATTTTCATCTTCATTTCATCACACTTGGAGAGTATTTAACTAGCCTTTGAGCTTGTACACGCTGCTGGCCTCGAAAGGATACCAGGTCCCAAAGCAGGAGCCATAGGGCTCCTTGATCAGCGGTGGGCGATTGTCGCGCTTGATGTTGATTTGGTACGTGAACAGCCCTTGCTGGTATTCGCCGCCATACTTCCAATTCAATGGGTTGCTATCAAAGTCAGCTCTGTATCTGTAGGGAAGAAAAAGACAGATTGCTCACTGGTCTCCGCCATCACAACCATGTATGATCCGCGCGAACGCTTCTTTGCAAAGAGCCTTGTCAAAGTTACCCGCACCTTCGGCGAGCTTGACAACGAATTCGTGTTCGTCAGGCGTCCCTTTGTCATAAGACTCCTTACCGGTCCACTCCCCAGACCCAGTCGAAGGACTGACTCCGTCGCAGAACTTGCCGTAGTGTTCGTCGAGGCGTTTCACCGAAGCATACCCCTTGCTACCTGTGCCAGATCAACAGGTGAACTTCTCCGACGGCGTGCAGGTATCGCTCTTAACCCCAAGAATCTCAGCGCGCAGATCAACAATCTTCGCCATGGCAAAGGACGCGATGGTCCGGTGTCCTTCTTCGTTGGGATGGAACAGCTTGCCCATGGAGTCAGGGGCACCGAGACCAAAGTAGTCCCAAAGCTTGTTGTAAGGGAAGGGCAGTGTATCGGGGTTATCATCACCAGGACAACCAGGAGGCTCAGGAGCACGAGCATCAAGTTTGGAGCGCGCGATTGCTCGAGGATCAGGCGACTTGTACAGGACGCTCTCGTAGATGCTTCGTGTTTTCAAGGCCTCTACCTTGCGTCTGACTTCTTCTGACTGGAGGGCCTCTGCAGCTTCTGCCTCTCTGCGACGGAGCTCATCATGAAGATAAGGTTCGACGTGAGTATCAAGCTTGAAGAACTGCAGGTCCGGTTGTTTCTTGTCGGGATACTCTCCAGTGGAGCTGGGACTACAGTATTGCCCGTCAACGCCATCTATGGCTGTTAGCCAAAAACTTTATGCCGTATGGAAACTTGTCATCTTACTCCGTGGCCAAGGATCCCAGTTTGAGAACCTGATCTTGTAGCTGACGCTGTCTTTCACCTCTTCGATCGCCGTCTTGATCTTATCGTTTATGCCTCTGACCAGAGCATTGAACTTCTTCCGGCGCTCTTTGGTGAGTTTAAGGCCGGTGAAGGGCCCCTTCTTGGGAATGTACCAAATCTCATCGTCCGTACACGCGTCCGTTTCTTCGTTGAAGTACTCGGCATAGCCATTATAGACTACAATTCCATCCTCAGCCATCTTGGCGTCAAGAGCCTCCAAGATCTGCCTGAGATTGTCTTTGAGAATGGTGTCAATGTTTTCCTGGGCCTTTGCAATGACCTGGTTGCATTGGTCTTCCGAGTAGAAAGGGATCATGATGCACATCTTGATCATTTGTGCCTAAATCCAAATTAGCACTCCTAAGCTTTCATGATCACGAAACAACTGACTCACAAGACAAAGATCGTTTCCTCCGGCAGTCATAATAACCAGGTCAATATCATTGTTGTGCAGGTTATTCGCCTGGTCGAAGATGTGCATGGACCGATCACCACTGCAGGCATGGTATTGAAACTTGTCGATGCTGCTCCCGATCTTGTCCAGCACCATCATAGGATATGTGCCGTCGTAGCGGGAGCAAACCCAGTCGTTGTGTCTGTGGATAAGGTCTCCAAGCTGCTCCCCTGCCCCAATTCCAGCTGTGAAGCTGTCTCCAATCGCAGCCATGTGATTAACCCAATTGAAATCAGTTGGGTCGTCATCTCGTCGAACAAGCTCGACTGAAGATGGAGCGAAAGGCAACGTCCCATTTTGACGACTGACACTGCCTTGGCAGAGCCCAACGAATGTAAATAGTAACAATAACCCCTTCATCACAGAAGAGGCCATCTTTAACTCCCGGAAAAGATTATTGAAGTGGAGGACAAGACTGAAAACTAGAAGTTCGAGAACAACCGTGATTCAAAGAGAGAAAACCCAAACTTCTCAAGAATATTTCGATGCATACCGGGGCCTCCGAGTGCCACGAGTTGCTCTTGGCCCTAACCTGTTCAACTTGATCCCGTCGACATCGCCATGTCATCCAAATTAACGCCGGCCTTCCTTCCAGATGGCTCGTTCCGGCCCCCAAAGACTCCTTTCCTGCAGTGTTACACTATGTCATTCGGGAGCAACCGCCAAGGCGCGAAGGGTGTTAAGGTGGCATGCATATCTGGTCCTGTGCATGGCATGAAGGAATACTTGAGAACCCTTACTAGTCAGGGGCTCATGCAAGGTTGCCTCTCTCCCGAGTAATTTCCACGGAATATATCGTATGTTTTGCTGTTGGCAATTGGAGGACTGTGCCAAAGTCCCTCCGAGACGATTCTTGGCCCGATACAATTCTTGGCGCGGCGTGGTGATGAGTTTCAATGCAACTTGATGCTGACAGTACCGGTACTTGAACCTCAAAATCCGTCCCCTCATAAAGAATCCTTGTTCATCGTTTCAATGTCTTAGTTGAAGAACCAACTGTGAATATTGCAGCCTTACGAGTTTCCTGATCCAAGATTCGCCTTGGCAGCAAGGCAAGATGCTACCATGATCTTGAACTATTGTCCAACGGCATGTTGATAACCGGTTCAAATGTCTTGAGGTCTTTTTCTTACTGGCTCTTGTGACTGAAGGTCTAATTTTAAGCGGGCGCATGATAATTAGGCTGCACACCACCAGGGGTGATGATGAGCGGCTGAAGTGACGAGTCTTACAGTTGTTCTCGTGAAAGTCTGTGCATTTACCAGACGTAGGATTCTGTCCGGAGGTATCAATATCTAGTTCCCGGATATGTGAAAGCTCATCAAGGGTTCCTTACTTGGGCGTGATCACGGACAGATGGCTTTCCAGCTTAGCCAACGACCGACACTTCCGAAGGTTCTAAGGTGTCTGTGGACTCATCGAAGATCGACTTGTAAGTTATCCTGTCCTTCCGAAGCGCGAGAGGGCTAAACGAGGATTCCAGAATACCTCAACTTCCCAACTTCAGAGACAACCCTGAGAACTTGTCCATGGGCGTTGCGATAATGCTATCACGAAGCCTTCACGCAGTCTTTGTCGGAGTACTGCTGGGAACAGTCGGTGCTCAAGACTCCACGCCGGGCGGCCCAACACATCCAAACATTGCGCCGAATTGCAACGCCTTTCACACCGTCGTAGACGGTGATGGCTGCTGGTCTATTCAGCAAAAGTACGGCATCACCGCCGAGGACTTTCTAGCCTGGAACCCTGACGTCTCTGAGGACTGTCTGACGAACTTCTGGCTCGGGAATGCTTACTGTGTTGGCGTTGGCGCAGCGGTGACGACCTCATCGACAAGTTCGGTCGTGAGCACCAGCAGCGGTCCGATAACCCAGACCACGGCTGTCACGACGCCAAACGCGACGTACTCAACTCGAGTGCCCGTTACCGAGTGGAATATCACCGGCACAACCATCGGCACAACGTTCCCGCCGCAGAAGACCCAGGCTGGACAGCACGCTGACTGCATTGACTGGCACTACGTGGGCGATGCCCATACCTGTGCCTACATCGTTGAGTCGTACGGAGGGCCGGAGCTCACGATGAGCAATTTGTATGTTACGCTCCCCCTCCCCTGAACTGCTTGACTGCTCTAACACTCGATTCTGCAGTCTATCGTGGAACCCGGCAATCGGTTCTGATTGTGGTGGTTTGATCTGGGACACATGGGTCTGTGTCAGTATCAAGCCACAGACATCTACCTTCTCATACAACTTTCCCACTGCAAACGGCTCGACAACACCCATTCCGGAGCCAACTGAATACACTCCTACATCTCTCCCGCCTATTGAGACACTTACGCCTTCGCCAACTCAGCCTGGTCTGTCACCAAGCTGTCGGGCATTCTACAAGGCGCAGGCAGTGTGTGTCCCTCGATCCATCTTTTCTAGTGTTGCTAACAAGAAACCCGACAGGATGACAACTGTCAAGTGATCCTTGGCTTTGGCGTTTCAACCGAAGAACAATTCTTCGAATGGAACCCGGCCCTCGATGGCAACTGCAACGGTCTCTGGCTCGACTACTTTTACTGCATAGCAGCATACGATCCACTGGACACCGACAACCTGCCACCTCTGGCCACCGTCACCTCGCGGCCTTCCAATGTTGCCGGCGGCACCACAGGCCTGTGTACCATCTGGTATCAAGCATCTAAAGTCGATACCTGTGACAGTATTGTTGGACGATTCGGACGCTTCTCACTCGCCGAGTTTCTAGAGTGGAATCTCGGCGTTGGAAGCGACTGTTCTGGCATCCAGGCTGGGTGGTCGTACTGTGTTGCCATTCCTGGCACGCCGACCGACCCCACGAGCGACCCTGATCAGCCGTCCATTCCGACGGGGACGCCTACCCAGACAGGCATCGCCACGGATTGCAGTAACTTCTGGCTTGTCTCCAGGTGAGCTCGTAATCCGTATTGCTAGCTGGACTCGATGCGCTAACGTCTTTGTAGTGACGATACTTGTGCCAGCATTGCCGACCACAACGGCATCACTGTCGAGCAGCTCTTGACCTGGAACCCTGCCCTCGGTATAACGTCATGCAGTGGCCTCAAGGCAGACGTCTATGTTTGCGTTGCCACTGGAGGATCTAGCGGGACTGCCACTTTGACTGCACCGCCCATCACTGCTACGACATCTTCGGCGTCTCCAACAACCACGACGGAGGCTACGATCCAGACGCCGTCTCCAGTTCAGGTAAGAGCGGCCCTCCTTGCCTTTTTTAAAACTCCCTTTAGGATAGAAATGGCTGACTCCGTGTAATAGGAGGGCATGGTGTCTGGTTGCCGCAGGTTTTACTTCACTCTAGACGGCGACGGCTGCTGGGCTATTGCCAACGCCGCTGGCATAGACCTCAAGTAAGCAACTGAATCCCTCCTACCATCCAGTGTGCTGCTGACCTTGAACTTCCCTCAGTGACTTCTATGCTTGGAATCCGGCAGTTGGTACAGATTGTTTGAACCTCTGGAGAGACACTTGGTACTGCATTGGTATTAGCGGTCCAGCGACGACAATCTCTGGCGGACCACCCATGCCAACTTAAGTGATAATGGTGTGCTCAAAGGAGTTCCTATTCATATGATTATAGCCAGTGTAGCCCGTAGATAATGAGATCTTCGTCCTTAACGTTCATGTCGTCTCTCCAATTTCGACCTGCGCCACTTCCAAAGCAGTAATTAGGTAGGATGGCTTCGGCCGACAAGTCCGTCTTTCCAAGCTGGAGCCAGTATCCGTTTATCCCTTTGTTTGGACCAGATAACTCACACCAATGCCGCTCTTTTTGCTTCTTGTAGAAGTGCTCAACAGTACGGCCATCCCCTTTCGCCTTGTCGCGGCTCTGCCAAAAAAGGGAGCTAGGGACGGCGACGGTGCACTCACGAACTGTCGGAGGCAGTTGCCGCAGCATATTCTCGACAGGCTTCATGAGCTCTTGCAAATGAGTATAGGCAATTTTCCAAGGAGAGAACGCCCTCGCGGTCGTGCTTCTCAAGGAAAGGTGGAGGGTCTGCAAGTTACGGAAAGCGTCTGGCAGGTGGCCCATCAGGTCGTAGAAGGGCTCCTTCTGGCAGTACAGAGGTAATGGATTAACAGAGGGCGTGTTTTCGGCAGGCAACATCCAGCCGTATGGAGAGAAGAAACACTGTATTTCCAGCCGAGGAATAGCGGCCCAACGATGCGGTAGGAAGAGCTGCTGTGCACGGCGGAGGATCACCATGTCTTGGATGCGGAACGTGTTGGTTCCAAACAGCACATCCAGGCCCTCGGCGTAGCTGCAACACATGTTAAGGGAAGGCCTCCAGATGGGGACGGATCCACGGCTTACGCTTGACGACAACTGAGCAGCCAGCCCATGATGCCCAAAGAGCATTTCGAGGGAGCTTCACCGGGCCAATGTTCACAGACATGGTCGTTGCTCGCGCAAGAATCATCACAAGGCTCACTAAAACGTGACCAGCTAGATGTACCCGAGGGGAATTTAGCATGGCAGACGCAGCTGTACCACTGCCATCGCTTCGTTTTGAGCTTGTACAAGGCAGGCGCGTCTGCTAGTTCTTTCCCGGTGGGCCGCGGTGCTCGACGAAAACGATGTTCCTTGTTTGGTGCATCCCGCTGCTCAATCCTAGGGCGGTCGTAGACGAGATCAATGTGGACGGTTTGCTCTCCAAACGCTTCAATGAGGATCTGCCGGCGGATCTCGAGGGGGATGCGCTCGAAGAGTCCAAAGTTGCCGCTTGGTTCACAGGAAGGAGGCGTAATCGGTCGCGACCGAGGCGTTGAGATTGCCGGGATTGCTGGAATCACTGGAAGGTCTGCTTCTGGAGCTGAGGGGGACGAATCTGGCTGTGGCTGCCTGGATGCCGACGAGCCAGGCCTGTGAAGTTTCCGAGCCAATTTAGCCAACATCGTGAGTAAAGAACCGTGCGACGGGTTGAGTTGCAGAACGAGAGCCGAGGAGCCTCGTAGCCGGGTGTTTCGCAGCCATAGGAGCGAACACCTGCATTTAAGTACTTTTGTCTAGCATCCGACTCCTCCTACCTCCAGAAAGCAACATGAGATGCAAGTCGAGCGAGGCAAGTGAGCGTGCATGGGTACGGTTCCTACCCAAGGTACCCCTGATCCTTCCTCATGTCTTAGCTGCATAGGATAGGTATATGCATTTAAGGCGGGTAGGCAGTCCATCAGGGAAGTGCCGGACAACACGCGCTTGCTCCAGCGGGACGCGTTAATGAGCCCAGCGCGTTTCACTCCGTGCTCCGTGGCACATTTTACCCTTCAAGTGCCTCTCTTCTGCCATCTTCATCCCATACAAGCACGAGACCACCTCAAGCCAAAAACTCCAACAACAGCTCTTTTCGTGGATAGTAATACTCCGCATATCTGGTAATCAACGGTGAGATTCTGCTTTCTTTCATGATCCTTTTTGAAAATGACAAATAACTGACCCGAGAGATAGGCATACCGTGCTAGCGACTCAGCAAACACTGTCGTCCGGATCTGTCCAAGCTGCCGCGTCAAGTGGACATCTCGTACTGTGTGTGCCAGTGGCCGAGGCCCCAGAGGACTGCCTGCAAGGTCGTCTAATCTCATCGTCGACTGTGCATCTTCGTCCTGCACACTGTCCGAGAATTTAACCTCATCGCCCCCTTGACCGAGCATTCAGTCAACCACGTACGCCATCAAGCTCCGGTTCAAACAAGGGTTTCCGGCCTAGCAAAACAGCTTTTCCATCAGCTGAACCTAAACACATCACCAAACACTCTGCAGTAGTAATGGCGCCCGCACGCCAACCGCCCCAGCCGTTCGCGAAGGACGAAAAGGTCCTCTGCTTCCACGGCGAGATGCTGTATGAGGCAAAAATTCTCGACATCCAGACCGCTGAATCTGGTGAAGGCTTCCAGTACCGCATCCATTACAAGGGATGGAAGAACACTTGGGACGACTGGGTTTCTATCGACCGCATTCGTAAATTCACTGAGGAGAATAAGGAGCTGGCCAGCCAGTTGCACGCCCAGATGAAGGATCTCCGCCAGAAGAGCAGTGCCAAGGCCCCAAAGAAGGGAGCTCGCGCCAACGGAACCGACTCAGCCCGCGGTAGTGAGGAGCGGACTGCGGGAGTTGCTGCCAGCGGTCGTGGCCCTCGACGGGCGAGAGATTTTGATCTGGAACAGGTGAGTTTGAAACGTCCTTTCCTTCTGTATTGTCCCTTTGTCTGCGTTCTTCGGGCCTCGATTTCTCCCGCCTGGGTCATATCTGGGTGTCTGCAAGGTCTGGGCACGTCATGATGTTTCGTGAAACGACACGATAAAGAGGAAACAAATTGGGGGACAACAAGGGGTGAATAGCTTCAGGTCGGGTGGGGCCATCAAGGTCGGCGTGCAGACCTGGAGGGCATGCAGAACCACTCACCTTGGGCCTTTGTGCGAAGGCCTTGATCTTTCGAGGTGGCTGGGTCGCTTTTCGTCTGAAGGACTGCAAAAGCGGAAGGCGAAAGGGTCTTTACTTCCCTCGACGTTCTTGCCCACGAGCACTTTTCCCTCGACAATTCTTTTCGCCAACCACCTTTACAACCAAATGCTTTCTCCAATACCTTGGTCGCTGGTCTCGACAAATTTTCAACGCCAAAACATACAACCCGCTGGCTTCGGGTCTTCTTTTCTCAGTAATTCCTTTCTTCCATAATTTCGTCCACACCGAAATTCCCATCGCCAACATGAGTGTGTCTTGGGTATCGGCCGATTGCCAGCGTGGCTGGAGGCACGAACAGCAAAGAAATCCTCATACCCGCGAACCTTCACCAGAGGTTTTCGCTCGATTCTCGACTTGCTACCGCGCCCCTGTCATGGCCGGCCAACAGCAGGTCGTGGAAGAGAATGAGAACGAGGGCGAAGAGAAGGATTGCGACTATCGTCGGCCCGAATCATCTACAGACGAAGAGGAAGAGGACTACGTGTACAGGCGTCAGCAGTGGCTGGTTGGCGCCGGCAGCCCCTCTATTGGCGAGGACGATTGGGCCGGATACGCAGAGGACGGCGAAGCCGAGTCGAGCCAGCCCGCCGGCCTCAGAGAGGGCGGAAACGACACCTCAAGCCACTTCAAAATTGACCCTCACGACCTTCTCAGAGAACTAGAGGGACGCAACCACAGAGTCACTGACGAATACTCTGGCTACGACGGTGTCTATGAGAACGCTCTTCGCCCAGCCTCCGTCCAAGACGATCATTACGACGGAGACTGCGAGGATAACGAGTCTTGGTGGTACGATGATATTAGCGATAACGAGGTTCTGGACGACAATGCATACCGCCACGATGAATTTCTCGAGCGTTGGGGAGCTGTTGACTGGCACCAAGAGCCAAGGCAACGGGAGGATACGCCCATCTCGCCCCGATCCAGAGCTGGTCCTCCTGGCAGCCCTGCCAGTGTTGTCGATGACTGGAATGACCTTAGCGATTCCAGTGACTCTAGCGTTGAGTTCCTCTTTGAATGTCAAGCCTGGGATTCGTCAACAAACAGCAGTGGTAGCAGCATCGACACTCAGCTGTCTTCCTTTTCCGACACTTCAAAGCGTGAGAGGTCGGTAGAGACCATGCAAGATTCAGTCCAGGTGGACTCGCTACGTCGCGCAGTCATTCAGCCCGAGAGCAACAAGCGAAAGCGGGAGGACAGCGTCGAATTTCTCTTCGAATTTGAACGCAACGTCAGACGGAAATTCAACAATTCGATCTAAATCCTTCACAAGCAATTTGCACAACAGGTACTGCGCGGCTGGTTCCGCACCGGCTTCGACGCTTTGGCAGGAACTACCCAAGAACGCACTTGCCCAAGCCACACCTCACATCTCCGAAGCCTCCAAAACACACTGGTTCTCCTTCCTGGCCTTTCACAATAAAACAATCTGCCGCCTCGACTAAGTGCAAGTTGCTCTTTTCAACCTCATTCGCCATCCATATTTAATACCTTCTCAATCTTACACATCATGGCGACTAGCACCACGGGCAAAAGACGCACCCGCAAACCACGACCAGCGGATGCCACAAGGCGGCGAGCACGCGATTCCAAAAACACTTGCTGGAAGGAACCACGCCTGGCTGCGGACTACTTGTGCCAGCCGGCTCCTCGCACCAAGACATATGTCACCAAGGATGGAAGAACCAACTTCGACGGTCGCTATGCTCTCAAGCCCAAGCCCCGCAAGAGGGAACAGCCTGTCCGTCAGAAGCGAGGTGCCAACTCACCGCCGGAAAAGCCAAAGGAAGAAGTCAACTCAGAGCATTATGACCTTGCAACCCCACGGCTACCAGAAACCGTATGTTGGATGACAGGCAACTGGGAGAAATCGCACGGCCAGGAGCCCAGTGGCTACGGCATTTTGTTTTGCTTTTCCCATGCTGCCATTGCCAGATTACACCTGGTGAAAATACTAATAGGTCTACAGGAGGATAGTTTTCATGCTCGTCCATCCATCAAGTTGCCCATTCCTGATCACATCAAGGCGATGCTCGTGGACGACTGGGAGAACATCACCAAGAACAATCAGCTGGTTCCTCTTCCCCATCCTCATCCTGTCGATGAGATCCTGAACGACTACTTGGCTTTCGAGAAGCCCAACAGAGAGGACGGCTCAGCCAACATGGACATCCTCGAGGAAGTCCTCGCTGGTCTCCGCGAGTACTTTGAGAAGTCACTCAGCCGCATTCTTCTGTACCGGTAAGTCCTGCTGATAAGTGACAATTGACACACCAAGCTAATATCACCCAAGCTTTGAGCGCCCCCAATACCACGAGATCCGCAAGGTATGGGAGAAGGCCGGTGAGAATGACAAGAACAAGTCTGTGTGCGACACTTATGGTTCCGAGCACTTGTGCCGCCTGATGGGTGAGTTTACCGAATTCCCCACCGAGTACCAGCACTAACAAGAAGCAGTTTCCTTACCTGAGCTGGTTGCCCAGACAAACATGGATTCTCAGTCCGTTGGCCGTCTTCGCGAGGAGCTCTCCAAGTTCACTGTCTGGCTTGGCAAGCACGCGAAGAACTACTTCGTCAGCGAGTACGAGACGCCCTCCCAGGAGTACATCGATAAGGCACGGGGTTTCTAGAGAAAGGATGTACCTGCCATCGATGTGCTCAACGGGCGTAAGCCTCACTGATAGCATTCGATTTGCCAACTTGTTACACGCCCTTCATATCATTTTGGGCCCTGCTCTCAATCTTCGAGGGGAAGTGTTTTTTTGAGAGTAGAAGAAGGGACATCATGAGAGGAGACTGCTAGTCTCAGGTTCGCTCAACCGATATGGAGGCTGAGAAAATACGTAATTACTTTCCGCGGAGCTTTGTTTGCTCAGGGAACCTCTGCGATGGGAGAGGGAAATCGGTCATGGTTCTTAGCATAAGTCTTTTCAGTCACTTTTTTGGTGATTCCCCGCAAACGGTCAACCAGTCAGGTAGCCTTGGTCATTAATAGCAACTCCAGGCTCAATAGAACAGATGAATCAGAGAATCATGGAATTGAGTGAACTTTTACTTCTTGTGTTAAAGACTGCGCCGATTCTCAAGTCGCAGGTGTTGTACATGCCGCCATGTTTTGTACAGATCGTGATGCTAGTACACGACTGGACTTTCCAAAGTCCCATAACCAGAGCAACGACATCTGGCCACCCTCCTCCCCCGCAGTATCCTCTACGATGTTTCTCGCATGTCGGTTTTGATCCCCATCTCATCACTCCTCTCTCTCCCCTCCGTTGGCGCCCATTCGTCCAACATCTCACCGCGCAACAGCCTTCTCGACGTAGAACCCGGGATCCGGCCTCCTCGCCTCCTTCATCTCGAACTTGCTCAGCGGGCGGTCGACCTCGTCGACCTTGACCAGCTCCTTGACCTTCATGATCATACCGGCGAACTCGGGCTTGACGGGGTGGAAGACGGTCTGCGAGCGGCGGTGGAGGCCGAGGGCCTCGAGGACGCCGCGGGTGTTCTTGGGCAGGCCGATGGCCGAGCGGTGCAGGGTGATGCGGAAGAAGGACATTGCGATCGCGCGACTTTGGTAGCTGTGTGTCGTGGGTGGGTAGATGGGTGGACGATTTGCGCCTCGGTCGCTGGCGTCGTTGGTCGTGGGGTGGTGGTGTTTCTGTGACGGGGAGAGTTAGCTCGGCCAGGTCATCCGAATTTGGTATAAAGGTGAGCATACAATTGACTACCTGCCGTGGCAGTTCCGTTCGTCCCGTCGTAACTGTCGTGAGGCTCAAGCACCCTGTCGCTGATGCTGGTCTGGAGGGATCCAAAAATCATTGAAGCTCCCGTTGGAATTTCGATGGTCCGTGCACCGATCGGACGGAGTTTCCCGGTGAGGTGGGTCCAGCTTTGCTCCCTCGGGGTGGGTGAAAATCGCAGTGAAATACACTTGCTCTCGACCATAACGCTCAGTAAGAGCCTCAGAAGCGTCGAAATCGGGTCACAGACGGCGCAGGCACGCAGGCAGGATGCGACTCGTATTTTCCGATATTACCATTTCGAGAAGAAATATATTTTGCCAATAACTAACGATTCTCACTTGAACCTAGAATAATGCGTCATATTCTGGAATCACTTGGTACCTGAAATTAACACAATCCGTTCGCAAATTCCACGCAAATTTTGAGCGCAGTTAAGTTGTGATGTCCGCTGTCGGCAATTATTCGACCCATCATGCTTCCTTCTACAGGTATTTGGGAAGCATGAAAATGGACAACATATCTTTTTGTCCCCTGCAAACAGGCACAGTTGGAATGAGTTGCACGGCTTCAATTGTGACGTCCATATCCAAAAGATGCACTTCAAAGCCAGTAACCTCAGTGTCAAGTGGTGCTTATTCAAGTAAAGGTCACCTTTCCTTAGCTTCGGAAAGTCCAGCAATACGGTACGTATGCTTTCCAATATGCCAACACGGCTACGACGACTGACGCTATCACTCGTCCATACCTGTGTATGTTGGCCTCTAGCCACGCTTTGTTTTGGTATTAGCAGCCTGGCTAATACCAAAAACGCCTTTTCAAGAAGCCTAGCACTTAAACTGGCCGAGGCAAGTTGTATTGCGCACGCGACACTCACAATGAGCCAATGCTGTAACCGCTTTTTGGTCCAACAGAGGCCCCGCCGGAGCCAACTCCGACCGGGCATAACTACAGCCAATGCAAATTCAAGTCACCGGAAGAAGACCACTGAATGATGAAAACGGGCAAAACCATTAATGCAGTCCCTTAAGGACCACCAGCACTACACGTATATAGCTTGTCGTACAAGACGCCATTTAGCACACCATCATCCCTCGCATGACGTTAAAATCATTTACTCCATTTCTATAGCCACATCCCGTGGCGACCCATGATCCTCCCCCGCTAACCTTAAATCCCTTACATCTGAACCTCCACTCTGCCCTCGGTGCCTGGCGGGCCGGAGCCAAGCTGGGGGAGGATGTAGGTAATGTCATCCCACGGGTGACGGTACAGACCAGTGCGCAGTCTCTTCTGGTCGAGGTAGTGGGCAATAAGACCGATGGAACGGCCGAGGACGAACAGACCGTTGAGGACACCCATCTTAAGGTAGTCCTCGGCCTCTTCGGAGGAGAAGGCGCCGCAGTTACGCATGAGGTCGACGAAGCAGACAGCGATGCAGCCGTCGACGTTGAGGATAAGGTTGTCCTTCTTGGAGGTGGTGACGGTCTCGACAGCCAGGGCGTAGTCGAGGAGCTTGTGGCTGGGGAACTTGGCCAGGACGTACTCCTTGACAAGCTCGACACGGAGATCGGGGTTGTTACGGGACTTGACACGGTGACCAATACCGGGGATGAGCTTGTTCGCCTTGCGCATGTTGTCGACGAACTCACGGGGGCTCAGGCCCTTGTCGAAAGCCTTGGTGAACTCCTCAGCGGCACCGTCAAGGGCACCACCGAAACGAGAACCAATGGTCAACAGACCAGCGACGAGCGAGGAGATGAGATCCTTGCCGGCACGGGTGGTGATGATGGTGTTCATGGCACCGGACACGGCAGGACCGTGGTCGGCAGTGAGCATGAGAACCATCTCGAGGAACTTGGAGGCGTAGGGGGGAAGGCGGCGACGGAACCACAGGAGAGACATGACACCACCAATGCCGATCTCCTCCTTGAAGACGTCCGAGATGGGCATGCCAGCGTACAGGAGCTCCTGGCCACGGTCGTCGGAGATGGTGGAGATGAAGGCAGCGGGCTTACGGATGAGACCAAGCTCCTGGGCCCAGGAGTAGTCAATGGGGATCTTGGGAACGACGGGCTCAGGCTGGGGCTTGATGGTGCCGTTCTTGACGAGGGTGTCGTAGACACCCTTGAGGGTCTGGGGCATGTCCTCGAAGGTGTCGGGGACGAAGAAGCCAGCCTCCTTCATCTTCTCGTTCTTGGTCTTGGCCGTCTCCAGGGTAGAGTTGGCGAAGGCACCGGCGTGACCGAACTGAACCTCAGTCTTGAACATGCTGGCGCAAGTACCAATGGCCCAGGCAACAATGGGCTTGGTGATGATACCGTCCTCGACGGCCTTGATGACCTTGTACTCCTCAACACCACCAACCTCACCGAGCAGGACGAGGATCTTGCAGTCGGGGTCGGCCTGGTATCTGAGCAAGTGGTCGATGAAGGTGGTTCCGGGGTATCTGTCACCACCGATGGCAACACCCTCGTAGACACCGTCGGTGTTGTTGGCGATAATGTTGTTCAGCTCGTTGGACATACCACCAGACTTGGAGACGTAACCAACGGAACCCTTGCGGTAGAGCTTGGAGGCAACAATGTTGTCCATCATACCACCGGTGTTACCGATCTTGAAGCAACCGGGCTTGATGCCACCGACGGTGGCGGGGCCAATAATGGTGACACCCTTCTGCTGGGCCTTGTGGGCAATCTCACGGGCACGCTGGGAGATTTGTTAGTCTTGTGCGAGCAATTGGCCGGGACAATGGCAGAAACTTACGCGCTCAGGAACACCCTCAGCAATGATGGCAATGGTCTTGATCTGAGGGTTCTCCATCAGCTCCATGGTGGAGCTGTAGACACTACGGGAGGAAGCGAAGTTGACAACGACGTCAACGTCGGGGTGCTTGGCCATGGCCTTGTTGACCTCCTGGTAGACGGGCAGGAGAGTCTCGCTGGTTCCCCAGTACATCTTGCTGACGAACTGGCCGCCGAAGGTGTAGATGATACCGGCAACAGAGGGGGTCTTGCGCTTGCAGATGAAGTCGAAGTCCAGCATGCCCTGGACGGCGCGGGGCTGCAGACCGTAGACGAAGCATCTGGTCTTGTCGTTGAACAGAGCGTGTTCGGGGAGGGGGCTCAAAGGACGGCTGGGAGCGCTGAAGCGTGTGATGTTGTCGTTGGCAGACAGGCCGCTGGCTGCCTTGGCGCCATTGGCACCGTTAGCGGAGGGAGTGGCCGCAGGCATTGTGAGAGTCGAGCTTCGTCGGTGGGGGAAATCTCAACAATAGGAGGGGAAAGGGAAAAAAAAAAAAAGTCTGGCGAGGGGTAAATCGGTCAGCAAGCTTGTCAAAGCAGACAATGGACGCCAGAAGCAACGAAGAAGATGTCTGCCCGCGAGAGGAAGTTGCTCCAAGTGAGGATTTCAAGGTGTAGGTGGAGGAGGAGGAAGTGTGGCAGAAAACAAACGAGTCGGAATTGTGGTGGGGAGTAGGTGAGATTTCAGGAGGGAGTCGGAGGACGACGTTCGCAGAAGCTGGAATCGTTGGATCTGCGAGGCTACTGCTCATCGGCAGCTGGGGACACCACCAGACAAATAGTGGACCTTTGAATTGGCGAAGCCCCAGCTCCTTGGGGGAGACGAGTAGTGCGACCGGGTGCGTATGTCGATCGAAGCGGGTGCGAAGGCGGCGGAGGTGGTGGCAGAAAGGCGGGCGGAAAGGCAGAATGACACGACAGGGGTGGTGTGGTGGGATGGATTCTGGTGACGGTGTTACTGACCTGGCAATGAGCGATGTTGGTGATGGCGGCACAACAGCAAAGTCCAGCTTCTTTCTTTTGTCGAGCTGACGGAGGGTTCGAGAGGTTCGAGGACGTCGGGGGAGGAGAGTTGGCGAGAGGAAGGAGAAGAAGAGGGAAGAAAAGAGAGTCGGAGATGCGAGGGGAGGGGATGAAGACGGCGGTCGAGGGCGTAAGTAGTTGAGTCGACGACAGCAGGGTGTGTGGGATCTTTTTTTTCTTTCTTCTCCAGCGGGAATCGGCAGGGAGGGTACGGTGTGAGGCGTGAGCGCAGGAGGACGGGTACTTCACTGCGACGGACGTATACGTGGTGTGCGGTTTGTGTGAGGTGATGATGAGCAGGGATTGTTGACGGCGTCGTTCGGTGGTCGAGATGTATCTTTGGGCGGTATCTCTAGTCAGGGAGACAGGCCCAAGCCAAAAAGCAGGTACTTGAGACCAACGGAGCAGACCAGGCCACGCCGAAAAAAAGGTCCAATCCCAATCCAGTCCCAATGCTTGAGACGCGGGCAAGGTTATTTCCCCAAACAATGCCCAGCGGCGGCAGGAACAGGCGGGCAGATTGAGTGACGGATGACGGACCTGGCGTGTGAGGTTCGCTGCGCTGTGCTGTGCTGTCGGGTGTTGCTGGTGCTGCTGGTGCTGGTGCTGGCACTGATGCTGAATTTGGCGCAGTGACCACAAAAAGTCTCTGGTGGTGTGTGGAATGGGGGATGATGGGGAGGGGAATGGAGACTTCCGTCATGCGACGGCCGAAAGAGTTGGGGAAGTTCAGGCTGAATGGGGCGTTCTGATTGGCCGTGTTATTGTTGAAGTGTTGAATTCCAGCGGGCAGGGAAGGGAGGGAGCGATGGGACGGGCAGGGAAGCGGCAAGCAAACGACAAACGGTACCGGTTGGACCCTTGGTCCCCGCTTCTTTTTTGGCGGACCCCAGGACGCTGGAACACTTTGCACAGGGTGAGGAGCTACCTTGGACCTGGACAATTGGAAATGTGAGCTGCCCTGCCTGCACTTGGCAGCCCTGCGAGCAATGCCCGGGACGCCCTGTGAAGATGGACTTTTCCATGCCACAGCTGCACAGCGCAGCTTCCGGGGCATTTCACAGGGCGGCCACGCATGTACCGATACCTGCCCCGTCCGCGGTGCCGCAGTGGTGTCCGCACCCCGTCTCACGGCGTACCTGCACAAGCCTAGCTTACGCCCATGCCTATCGTAGGTAGCTTATGCCCATGCCTAGCTGAGAGCGACACCTCATCCTCACCGGGGACGGCGAGCCTGCAAGAGAAGAATACGGGAAAGAGAGAAATCGACCCCAGCCCAGCGCTACTGAGCTCCAAAACTCCAGAGCTCCAAAGCTTCTAAACGGAGCAAACCCGCCTACCTAGTGTGCATCGACGGACTAAACCCGAACGAACGAACAGACGACCTGCACCCACTAAGGCCAAGGTACCATGCCACCAAAGTAGGACTGGCGTGGTCTGAGGGATTGAATGAGACTCGAAAGGAAGGAATAGCAGACTTGCATGCTTGCAAGGCAATAAGCAGGACTGAGAGGCATCGACAAGTCCAAACCGCCCGCCCGCCGGTCACCGCAATGTGGTGTGTCGGTGTTGTAGGTAGCCCTCCTCCCGTGGGTTCCCCGCCCCGACCAGTCCAAGTTGAGACCAACCGGCTGGCGCTTGACCGCAACAATGGCCGGGAGGCGCGTGCCAGTCAGTGCTACCCTGGCTGGTTTGTCTCGAAAAGCGTGCGGCATGGCGGCAGGGCGGCAGATTCAAGGTTTGGTTTGACCGCATCTCTTGTCTGCATCTGCTGCTGCGCGATGCTTCCCTTTCCTTTCGTGACCTTCGTCTCTCGACCAATACCCTCGGACTGGATTGTCAGGGAGGATCGACATTCGACAGCTTCGGGGCCTGCGTCGCCACGACGGTGACCAGGTAGGCCGGTGTCAGGGCCAGCCATCCCATCCAGCCAAGCCGAGTTGATGGGCAGGCAGGCCGATAGTCACTCAATCAATCTGAACACTTGTTCATGCTAGTCTTCGTACTTCTCCTCCAGGCTCCAAGAAAACACACTCGTCTTGTGAGGCGCTCAGCTGTATTAGTGGGGGCGAAGCGGTCACTAGAACAGCCTCCTTCCTGGTCCTTTTGCGACATGCGATTGGGGGTGGTATCCGTCAGCTAAGGTATTTTGTGTGTGTAAGAGAGTTGCAGAGGGTGCCCGAGTGTGCGTGTAAGTCCTGCATGTACGAATACATGACAAGAGTATTGGGCCACTCGCTGCCGCAGGAAACTAGTTAGGTAGAGAAAACTGGACGCATCTGCCCCTCTGCGCGAGAAAAAAATTCAAGCATGGGAGAAAAAAAAAATTTCGACAAAACCTGAAAATGCAGCGGAACAAGGCGGCGATAATCGTAACTGCGAAGCACAACACTGCAAAACCACGGCCGAAACAGACGCGGACGGAGGCGAGGGCCACTTTCGCACTTGCTTAACAAGGACGAGGGCCCTCTACCTGACACTCGACGCTGGAGATTTTTTTTTTTTTTTTTGGGAGCCGCCGATGATCGAAGTTTTCGATTCCAGCCCATGTCCACATCTTGCAGACCAGCAGCCCAAACGGGCATGATATCGATTCGCATCCATGTTTGTTCAAACCTCGCATGCCCCGAAACCCGGCGTGCCGCGTCCATCTCCGCCGGTTTTCGGTGCTCCCCATCATGACTCCGACCACCGGGCATTGCGCCCTGCACCCTCACTGAGGAAATGCACCGCACACATTTCCCATCGGATCGGTCCTACACACAGTCGGCCAGACTTGCGAGGGCTCCATCGTGGCTTGGGCACCTTGCTGGAGGATATTGATTGGAATGCCCAACCATCAAGCATGCCCATGCCATGCCACGCCATGCCATTCATTGCCAGGCCTTGTAATGCCATGGCATGCCACACCATCTCTTTTTTTAGGGAGTCTGACTGTGCCACTGGTCGGTCCAAGGTCTCACTCGGAACTTGGATGACTGTACCTGTGCCACCTCACCGGTCCTCGTCCCCTTGGGAATTGTCCAGTGATTCCCATCGGATCCCGTTCCAACGCCATGGGCAGCAGACACACTGACTGGGAAAGGGACGGGACTTGACACAGCCGGGCCACCGTCGCCGTCCGTTGTGCCACAGCGAGGAGAAACGTCCGAAGTCCAACTGCTTATCGCGCGCAGCGCACGAGTCCAAACGAAACGGCGGTCCTCATCACTGGGATTCCATTGTGTCAACGGCCGGTGCAAGTGCGCGGTGCAAAGACAGGTTTCGGGAATAGGACGACGGAGGGCTTCGGATCTGAGATGAGAGAATCGTCTGGAACCGCAATAGCCATCATCTGCGAGATTGCCGCGCTCCATCTTGTCTCCTCTTCCCGTCCCGTCGCTCGGTTGTGTGTGTCTGTCGTGGAGTGGTGCCCGGCGTGGTGTGTCCAATTGTTGTTGTCCACAGTCCCTAGGTAGACTCGCACTCGCCGGGTCCCGTTCCGTTGCGTTGTCGTTGCGAAATTCGGCGGGCTTTTTGGCGTTGCATCCAAGGCCAGTGTGGTCCAACACTTGCTGCAAAAAATACCGCCCTGGTTCCTGGTTCCCAGTCGTCACCTCTTCCAGACAAGCAGGCCAGCCACCCTCAAATTCTCGCCCTCTCACAGAAGCCAGAAGTGAATCCAGTGAGTGACTTGGAAAGGTGCGAGGTCCACTTAAACCTCTCAACAACCAGTGCCTGTTGTCCCCCCAGACAATTTTTTTTCCCTTGCTGGCTTCCCCCTTCCTTTCCTGTTCCATCCTCACGCGAGAACTGAGAGAGACCTTCGGCCAGGTGCAGGAATTGCCAGCTTCAGGTACAGGTACTTGCCCCCCCTTTCCTAGCCCTTCCCGCCGCCTCCTCCTTTTTTTCTCTTTCTTTTTGTGGTGGTGTTTTTCTGTGTGCACCGCCTGTTCCGTTGCTTGCCCAGCTAGCCGCCCAGCTTTGGGCTACCGCTGTTGTTGCTTGGAGCTGTTGCCGTCGTTGCTGCTGCTGCGTGCAGTGAAAGTGCAGTCCGTTTCGGTGCTGTTGAAAGCTCACCCGGCCCAAGCTGGTGCTGGTGCTGCTGCTGGTGCTGCCCCTCGTTGGTGCCGTCACTTTCACCGCCCGCCATTGCCCCCCTCCCAAAAATAAAAATTGCCCTGCCCAAAGTACCTGGGCCCGCCCCAAATTCCCCCTCAAGGTCCGAAAAAGAAGAGCTCCCTCCCCTCCTCCCCTCCTTCGGCGGGATTCCCACAGTGCCACACTCCGCCAGATACCCCACCCTGTGCGCATGCACGTACCACCTCGCACCTCACCCCAAAACTTTTTGGCGTGGTCCCCTAGCTTCCAAAAGGTGAATCCACCGTCCACCCGATTTCCCACTCACACCCCCGGTCGGTACCTGGCGGCGCTGCGTGCCCCCAATCATGTACCTCATCCTTTCACCCCTCCTCCCACCCCTCCCCTTCCCCTCCAACCCGTCGCCGGTCCTCTCCCAGCAACAAATAATCCCTGGGAGCTTCGTCGAGTCCAAATTTTTGTGTGAAAGGCTGACGATCTCTCCCTCTCGCAGCTCCCTCTTACCACTCGCTCCATCCCTCCCCATCCATACTTCTCCTTCAACGTCGCCGCTTCTCTTCTTCCTCTCACCGCCCGCCTCGATTCGACTCGACCCGTCTTGATCTGCTTCCTGACTCTCACTTGATCTCAGGACTTCTTCACCTTCCTTCCCCCAGACTTTGACATCCTCGTCGTCCGGTGCTCTAGCTCTCGCGCTCTCACGGTATGTTGCTGCGCTGCCCCCCTCCTCCCCGATCCCAAATCTCTCAATTGCAGTCCCACTGCCGCCGGTGTGTCTCCATCCCACCCGGGCTCCAATTAGCCCCTCCAAGCTCAACTCGAGCGCTCGTTGAAGTGTTCCGCTTGCGGTGTCACTCGCCCACCCAGCAAGCAAAAAGGCCGCCTTCCCCCCAAGCTCCGTTCTCCCCAAAATCCTGCGGCTGCCGGCAGCATACTCCCGACTCGACCTCTTCACAAATACCACCACGTTCCCGACGCAATTGCTGACGAGTGCGTTTCCAATCCAGGCCACAATAAAGCAGGGAAAACACCAAAGAAACCTCACCTCATTCTCACCTCACAACCGCCAGAATGTCCGCCAAGTCCATCCTCGAGGCCGACGGCAAGGCCATCCTCAACTACCACCTCACCCGCGCCCCCGTCATCAAGCCCACTCCTCTCCCCAACCCCTCCAAGCACAACCCTCCCCCCAGGTTGTGCTCTCTGCACTTTGCTGAGGATGCCGACGTCGAGGGTGTTCTGAACCAGGCTGAGGTCACCTACCCTTGGCTCCTCCAGTCCGGCGCCAAGTTCGTCGCGAAGCCCGATCAATTGATCAAGCGCCGTGGCAAGAGCGGTCTCCTGGCCCTCAACAAGACCTGGCCCGAGGCCAAGGCCTGGATCGCTGAGCGCGCCGGCAAGGAGCAGAAGGTCGAGCACACCACCGGTGTTCTGCGACAGTTCCTCGTCGAGCCCTTCGTTCCTCACCCCCAAGACACCGAGTACTACATCAACATCATGTCCGTCAGAGATGTAAGTTTGCCGTGATTTCCTGAGCTGTTTTGTTGGTTGGTTGCCCGTCGTGGTGGATGTTCGGCGGGTCGTCGTTTCTCCAACGTGGTAGGCGGGGCCCAGGGGGGGCAGTCCATCGGTGAGCTGTGAATAGCATCACGCACATACCCACAACTCAGCAAAGTCGACTTGTCGATTGCTGAAAGTGAGAGGCGAAAGGAGGAAACTTGGTTTGGCAACGTTGGAAGGAATTTGCATGCTTTATGGCAATTCCTGCCCATGGGTCAAATAAGTGGATTCTGGCCGCTGGACTGCCTTTTCCGGTAATTTCCCACCCGAACCGGACGAACGGATGCCACGAGAAAGGGCCTGTGACCCGTCCACCTCCGTCCACCCATGCCCGTTGCAGAAGGCCCGTATGCACGCGGCGGGCACAACGCCGCATTGCTTCAACACCATGATAGACGATGCTAATTAGTCATGATGTGATAGGGCGACTGGATTCTCTTCACCCACGAGGGTGGTGTTGATGTCGGTGATGTTGACGCCAAGGCTGAGAAGCTCTTGATCCCCGTTGACCTCTCACAATACCCTTCCAACGAGGAGATCGCCTCTACCCTGTTGAAGAAGGTTCCCCAGGGTGTCCACAACGTCCTGATCGACTTCATCAGCCGCCTTTACGCCGTCTACGTTGACTGCCAGTTCACCTACCTCGAGATCAACCCCCTCGTTGTCATCCCTAACGAGGATGCCACCTCCGCCTCCGTGCACTTCCTGGATCTTGCTGCCAAGCTCGACCAGACCGCCGACTTCGAGTGCGGTGTCAAGTGGGCCATTGCCCGCTCTCCCGCCGCTCTCGGCCTCACCAACGTTGCCTCTACCAACGGCGAGAAGGTCAACATCGACGCCGGCCCGCCGATGGAGTTCCCTGCTCCCTTCGGTCGTGAGCTGACCAAGGAGGAGGCTTACATTGCCGACCTTGACGCCAAGACCGGTGCCTCCCTCAAGCTCACTGTCCTGAACGGCAACGGCCGCATCTGGACTCTCGTCGCTGGTGGTGGTGCTTCCGTCGTCTACGCCGACGCCATCGCTTCTGCTGGCTTCGCCGATGAGCTCGCCAACTACGGTGAGTACTCTGGTGCTCCCACCGAGTCTCAGACCTACCACTACGCCCGCACCGTGCTCGACCTCATGCTCCGCGCACCTGTGTCGGACAAGGGCAAGGTTCTCTTCATCGGTGGTGGTATTGCCAACTTCACCAACGTCGCCAGCACATTCAAGGGTGTCATCAGGGCGCTCCGCGACTACTCCAAGCAGCTCAACGAGCACAACGTCCAGATCTGGGTCCGTCGTGCCGGCCCCAACTACCAGGAGGGTCTTAAGAACATGAAGGCCGCGACACAGGAGCTCGGCCTGAACGCCAAGATCTTCGGCCCCGAGATGCACGTCTCCGGTATCGTCCCTCTGGCTCTCGTCCCCGGCAAGTGGGAGGCGGCCGGAATCCAGGAGTTCCAGGGTTAAAGGAGTGATGAAGATATAAACGTGTGTTTGGCGGGCGGAAGAAAGAAGTTACCCAAAGGGTTAGATGAAAAGAAGGTTTGCCTGGTGCTCGAGACGGCATCTTGCCTACTTTCTTGTACGCTTGCAGGTTTACGGTGTTTATGACGGCTGGTGCACAATACCTTTTGACGGGGAAGTCGAAGGTCGGGTCCTTGTATCGTATGTATGGAGGGCATGGTCGACGATCAGATGAGCAAATAATTAGACGCTCTATAATGTGATGTTGACTTCGGTTACCAAACAATGATTGAATGCGTTTGATGTCATTTGTTCCTTGATATGAGGCCGTTCTTGGGGTGCAAATCATCCAGCTTCGTCTCTCGAGGTGCTGCTCGAGTGTTGGTTCAAGTTGACTCGCCCCAAACCATCGTCCGTGAGCACGTCTTACTTTGCGTTTAACCGAGAAATCTTCCAGCTCCTAACTGCAAATATTGATGAAGTTTCTCATATAACGCTCGCACCGTACCCTCCACACGCCCAAATATTCGCTACCCAGCCCCGGGGACTCTCATGCCCGAAACCCACGCAAGATGTGCTCAGGAGGTTTGGTAGGTACTCAACTGCCACTACTGGGTCGACAACCTTTGGGGTTGCAGTCTTGTAAGATGGGGATGGGACGGGTTCCCTTCCCCCATGATATCGACCTGCTGTTTGCCCACTCCATGTACTTGCCTTGTGCGGAAGGCTGCACCACTCGAGCTAAACCAGCAGCCACTTCTCGACAGCTGACCTGGGTGTTACGTTATGGATCAGCAACAATACCTGCTAACTTGGACTTTATTCAAAACCTTACTGGTGACCTTTCTGTCTCTATTGATGCCCCCGTTACCGCCTTCTACGGTCTCTGTGTCTCTGCCCGGGTAGTGTTATGGTTTTGTACACTGTCACTTCATCTATAATTATATCGCGACCAGACCAAGAGGATACGAGCTAGTTGTATCCCGTGGTTTTCAATAGTGCCTTACGTTTGCTCGTCATAGTACGTGATTACCAGCATGCGATCAGGGTTATCTTTGATGAAGTAAGACGGAGGAAAAAGACCGTTAAATGGTAAGAGCTTGACTATTATCGCTTGTCTAGTTTGGTATACAGATCCTACGCGAAGCTATCCAACAACATGCGTCTTTACGCTCATGTACGGTCACATGTTTCCTATGCACGTTACAGTCAGCAAGAAAGCCATGGAAGGCAAGTTCTGTATGTCGCCAAACATGTCAAAATATTATGGAGATACATTCAGAGACGAGTGACTGGCCTTTCTTTGGGTTTGCTGGGCAGCATAGCCATCGCACATCCGAGCTAGCTTCTTCGCGGCTTTTTTTGATGTCCAGGTGCCATTAAACCGGACGGGCCGTTCTCGTCACTGCCGGTATGCCGTGGTCGTCATAGACGGCGGCTCATGAATGCCGTGTCCTGGAAACGCAAGCCAATGAGGACCGGGACCCAGCACTGCCGAAGAATAATCACAATGGGTGTTGCAGTGAGTGAGTCCCATGCAAGTCGTGCTGGAATATATGCCTCAAAAACAGTCCATGCTACTTCTGACAGCATGAGGAAGTCTTCGTCTTCTGATCTCGTGAGAAGACTCTCGTCACAGAAGAACCTGTAACTCCATGTCGGGCATTCTTGGGGCAAGATAACTTAGCCCCCAGGTGAGCTCAACTTACGAGCCTCTGTCTTACAATTATAAGCAGGCACAATTGTAGGAAGCATTGCAACATATCCAGGAAAAGCCACAGCTTATTTACCATTGCGTCTGCCGAGGCCGTCTTCTACGTGTCCGCGGAGCACGAAAGTTGTCACATCACGAACCGAGATAGGCAAGATACCCCGACAACTCTAGAACTTCCACCTTTTAAGCCAGCCACATCCAATTTGTGGAGGTTTACGCCACACTATGGGAAAATTCCATTTATGCTTCGATAAATGCCGACTAAGCATCGTGACGCTGTTTATCAAAAACTCTGTGATCAAGTCTAGCCAAAACGTGCTCCGTCAACTTGATCGACGTTTGCTCGCCGAGTCATTTTTGGGCAAATATGGGTGATGAGCAGCCAAGCCCCGAATTGAGGCAAAGCATGTGGTTCTTACAACTTGATCAGCGGTCTGCCGGAGTGGTCCGTCTTGGGCCCATACTGCGGCAGAATACGAGTTGCGGGATTTTGCATTGGTCCGCAGCCTGATTGAGTTGGCTTCTAGTCGGCAGTTGCTGCTGATCTCCTCCTTACGATTGCTCGTGAAAGGCTTGGTTCAGAGGCAAGGAGGCAGATTCTGCTGTGCGCTGGCGTTTCTTCGACATCCGAAAGCATTTTCATCGAGATCTTCACGAAGTGAAAAGGCTGTGCTTGGATTACGGCAAAGAGGCACTTGGTCTACGAACCGAGCGGTGCCTGGACATACCAAAATAATCGAACGTCTCCAAAGGGTCATGGTTTTGCGAGTATAACGCGATTGACACTTCTCTCTTACGTCAATCAGCGGCTCTCAGCCCGCGGAGGTCATATTCGTAGCATCCTCTTGTCGAAGCCCGCTTACCATGGACAAAGGTGATACGTCTGGCGATGATACGTGCTTCACAGAACTTGATCGGGGATTCACGATTCCCTCGCCATGGGGTCTTCCTAGCTCGTGATAGACATGTGCCCCGTCTAGGGACTCTATCCGATCAGCAGAAACCATGGCTTTGGTGCAGGGGAGAGGGTCGCATCTTGGCGAGAAGCTGGCGATATGGCCAAGCGGACCAGTTGTTTGCTATAGCCCCCTAAATTTGCATTTGAGCTTGGCGCAATGACCAGTCTTGCGGAAAGATGCTTGGCGGTGCTACGCCGAAGAAAGCCCCTTTTCACGAGCCGATTGACGGAAACTGAGTTGCCGTGACGGCGTTGCAGACCCGATCATCCAAAGAACCAGTTCGTGTCAAGAGGTTCTGGTGCACTGAGCGTGAGAAAAGCAGAACTCGGGATGCGGCAAGAAAAGGTGGCTTAGAAGACTTAATATCTCTCACCTACCATAGCTAGGCTGAGAAGGATCGCCACCGAGCCACGCACCGCCCCGGGAACTGTTTGTGTTTATTGAAACGTCCGGGACGGTTCAAGTCGGACGGTGGACGGGTGCGACGGTGGCACGGAGGAGTGCCGTCGGAGCCGATGACGTCTCGGATGCAGGCTGCCGGCCGGGGGTGGCAGTGTCGCGGTGATCATGAAAAATGGATCCCGCCTATCTCACTGTCTCGTGTAATTCGTATGGGGGCGAAAAGTGGAATACGAAGCCCATCGCAATTATCTGCACCCGACCTGAGGTCATTCGGGCAGAAAGACCTCAGAAGAGGGGGAAGAAAGAGGACCCTGGGCGAATACGATAACTTCCAATCTGGTGCACCCATAGGAACGAGCCGGCGACGACGGTTCAGAGCTGGCGCGATGGGGGCATCGTTAGGCTTTGCGGGGACTGGGTAGGAGAATTTCGTTTTACGGTTCCTCGGCACGCGAAGTCTTCCGCGTTTTCCAGACCATCGGTGGCACAAGGCTTGCGCTAGTACCTGACAGCACGGTGAGCTGAGAAGGGGTTGAAGACCATCGGCGGCGTTTGATTTGCGCCCTGGATTTGTGTTCTCTTTGCGGCTCGGTCCAGCAACCGGCGTGGCTTACTCGAGCTTGTGAAGTCGACCATACCGCTTTCTGGGCATCATCGACTTCGGAGGCTTAATCATCTCCACTTAAATCAGCCCGAAAGTCAGTTAGGCCAGTTGAGGGTGGTTCACGTGGTTCAGAGTGCAAGAACAAAGGGCTGGACTCAGCAACGAGCCCAGCAACAGTCTCTTGGCTCAAAGTCCAAACCATCTTGGAAGAGAGTTGCGAAGACAGCGGGTTGCCCGAGGGGCATGGCCCAGGACGAGTTGACAAAGAGGGTCTTCGCAGGCGAACCCTGGCAATAGTGAGGGACATGACACCATTTCGAGGTGAGATTATCGGATTTTTTGTGCGCTGCGGTCGGCATGGGCAGCGTTGGTGGGCTGGAGACTTTGCGACTGCGGTTGTGTCGTTCGTCTGTGCCGTCAATCACTCCGACTTGTCCCCTCCGCACCCCGGTCTCGCTAGCCTGGCGCATTGTCCTGTGAAGCTTGTCTATAGTGTCTCAAGGTGTTTCGCAAGGAGAAAGGGGTATTCTTCGGTTGGCTGTGACGTCTTGCTGCGATCAGAGAGATTATTCCACGGCTTGGACTCTGAGGGGGGGAATGGAAATCAGTTTTCAAGAACCGACAAACAAAACAAAACCAACCAACGGACAGACCTTGAAAAGAGCATGTCGTCCGTTCAGAGGATTAAGGCACAAGGCTAGGGGAAACGGGCCTGCATGCTAGACCTGCAGATAAACGAGGGGCCACAATGGAGAACGGCGGCGAGAGAGATTAGTCGGACCGGGGTGAGGTAATTAGACATGTAGCCAAGCTTTGAAGGACCTGCAGGCAGGACGACTAGTCAGCACCCATCACCCTCAAGTCAGAGAGATGTGAGAGGCCAGCGCGGGGCAGGCCGTTGCCCGAGCCATCCCATGCTGTCAGGCAAAAGTCCCCTTTCCCGTTTCTCTCTGCCTGTGATGGTGCGCGAAAAGAAGCAACAGCGAAGCGAGAAGCGAAAGTAGCGGGATAATGCAGTGGGAAAGCCAAGAGGCCCCTCCGGTCTGCTACGGGCCCCAAGCCTCAACCCTGTAGGCCGGTGTCCCCTCAAACCCTCAAAGGGCCTTGCGTCAGAAATCGAGATCCCGGGAGGCTGTGTCTGTGTCTGTGTCGTTCGCGAAGGTGGTCTCTGTTTGCGAAGGAGGGGCAGCGCTGGAGTTGAGGAAACGGAGCGGCATCCGGCAAGAAAGGTAAAGAGACTTCGAGGCAGTGGTGACGCGCTACGGGAGCGACGGCGAGACTGCCTACGGATTGATCCAAGGCCAGGAAGGGTCGGCAGCAGGGGAGGGACCCGACGTGAGGTGGTGCTGTGGTAGAGGGGGTTTGGAAGAAAGTAGCTGCGAGCTGGAAACCAATTCAACTTTCTCTTGGCACCGTGGGCTGTCCAAAGGGGCGGCGGTGCAGCGGCGGCCAATAGCTGGCTTTCAAGAGTTGAGACGACTGGGCTGATGAGGGCGGCAAGTGCTCGGTGCGGTGAGGGAAGGAAAGAAAAGTCGCCGCCGCACAGGGCCCGACGTCGAGAAAGAAGGTTGATTCGCCGTGGTAGTCGGATGTATCCAATTTGTTAGGGAAGGCACAAACCACGGACTGGAGATGATGTGTGTGACGCTAAGCCGAGATGAGACAAATCAAGTGAGCATCGTATCCAGCAGGCGGGAGCCCAGGAGGAGGGGAGGAGCCATGCACTTGCCTTTTCCATTTTTAATTTACATGTCACGATTCGGCCTATTCTTGTTGGCGCCGTTTCCCCTTCCTCTTCTTTTTCTACGAACTCCCCCTCCTACTCCTGCCTGGGCTCCTTTTCCCGTCTCTCTCACACCTTACCTTAATTCATACCACTCGCTGACAGACAGTGTCACTCGCCCGACCGCGTCGCGCCTGTGCCTGTGCCTCTTGCCTGCTTCTCGTATCCAAACCACGCCTGCCTACTTTACGGAAGGTGCGAATACTGATCGAGAACACCGATTATCCCGGCATTCACCACCATACTTCTCTTCTTGTCACTCTCTCACCACGCCAACAAAAGTGTCTCACTTCTCGTCTTTGGCTTACCCCATAACCAACCTTCATCTTCACGTCACTCCTTGGATTCGCACTAGCGAACTATACGAATATCGCCGTACGGTACGACTTCTACGACAGAGTCTAATATCCCGATACCCTTCAGCAAACAACAGAACAACGTCGCATTCACCTTGCGCATACTGCAACCATGCTTGTAAGTAAAAACCCGACCTCTCTGACGCCTTCCCCTCTCCATTGGCTCGGTTGGCGCACCCGAGGAGGTTGTCTCTTGTCGCAGCCATCCATCGTGGCGACGATCAGGGCGCAAGAGACTCAGCCAACACCTGTCGTGCCACGAGCATATAGCCAACCCCATCGATTGGATTTTGCAACCTGCAAACGCCTCCTCGTCGATCACCCTCCACCACTACCAGCCCTACGTCGTCGACCTGCAGAACGCCGAAATCTAACATGACTTCAATAGGTTCACTCTGCCCTCATCGCACTTAGTGCGACCCTGGCTGCTGCCGTCAAGCCCCTCTCCGTCAAGGGCAATGCCTTTGTCACCGAGGGCGGCGAGAAGTTCCAGATCGTTGGTCTCGACTACCAGATTGGCGGCAGCGCTGGCTACGATCCGAAGCACAACAAGGATCCCCTCAGCGACGCTGATGTCTGCATGCGCGATGCTGCCCTCCTCCAGCGTCTCGGTGCCAACACCATCCGTGTCTACAACTTGGACCCCAACCTGAACCACGATGCTTGCGCCTCCATCTTCAACGCCGCTGGCATGTACATGGTCCTCGACGTCAACTCTCCCCTGGTTGGCGAGAGTATCTCCAGCTTCGAGCCCTGGACCAGCTACTACGCCGCTTACATGAACCGCACCTTCGCCATCGTCGAGGCTTTCAAGAACTACCCCAACACCCTGGCCTTCTTCTCCGGTAACGAGGTTATGAACAACGTTGAGACCGCCAGGGATGTGCCTCCTTACCTGCGCGCCATCACCCGTGACTTGAAGAACTACATCTCCAAGCACTCCGACCGCAAGATTCCTGTCGGCTACTCCGCTGCTGACGTTCGCTCCATTCTCGTCGACTCCTTCAACTACCTGACCTGCGCCGAGAACGGTGACGCCAACGACCCCAGCAAGGCCGACCTCTTCGGCCTCAACTCCTACTCTTGGTGCGGTGAGTCCAGCTTCAAGACGTCCACCTACGACCAGCTCGTTGCCGACCTGAAGGATACCTCTGTACCCGTCTTCTTCTCTGAGTTTGGCTGCAACAAGGTTACCCCTCGCGTCTTCACCGAGATTCAGTCTATCTACGGCTCTGACATGAACTCCGTCTTCTCTGGTGGTCTCGTCTACGAGTACAGCCAGGAGGACAACAACTACGGTATTGTCAAGGTCAACGCCGACAAGTCTGTTAAGCTTCTCGTCGACTACGACAACCTAGCCACTCAGTACAAGAAGGTCGACTTTAAGACGCTCCAGGCTACCAAGGCTTCCTCTTCCTCGCCCAAGGCTCCCAAGTGCGACTCTTCTCTCATCACCGAGAAGGGCTTCAACAACAACTTCACCCTGCCTGCCGTCCCCCCTGGCGGTCAGGATCTGATCGACAACGGCATCAGCCCCAAGCCCTCCGGCAAGATCATCACCATCTCTGACTGGTCCGTCAAGTACAAGGTCTACGCTTCCGACGGCACCACCGAGCTCACCAACCTCGCTGTCTCTCCTCTGTCTGGCGATGACTCCAACACTCCCGGTACCAACACCGCCGGCGGAACCCAGGCCGCCACTGGCACTGGTGCCGCTGCTACCAGCACCCCTACCTCTACCGGCGGCGCTACCAGCGCGGGAATTTCCCTGCGTCCTGAGGTCATGGCCTTGGCCGCCCCTCTTCTTGCTCTTCTTTTCTTGTAAAGTTTTCATGAGTACAGGATTTGGTACTTGGCTTAATGGTCAGCTTGGAGGTTATGAATTGGTTTCTTTCTGGCGACATAGATTCCCCGCGGTTTGTGTATAAACCTGAGTAGATGCGAATGCGTCATTGATAACATTGTCTTCTGTACCCCTTGATGTGACGTGAGTTGAATGTGTCGGGGTCAATAGCTCCTAAGCGACTCGAGCCATTCCGCATTTGTATATTGGTTGGCAGAAGACTCGGTAAAGTTGCCAGTCATAGACGACGCGCGCAGACCCTGTCTATCCCGTAAGGCTGGATTTTCGCAAAATGAGAGGTGATTTATGGGGAAAACCTTCAGCCCGATATATTCACTGCATTTTAAGCCCACCGCAAGCGCTCATCAACTTCCCCAGGGAAGAGACCTCTTACTTACTGTCCCACAGCGTTATTGAACTTTGAAGACGGGCATTTGAGCGATTTGACATTTCGTTCTCCATGGCCTGGTGCATGGAGGACATCAAGTTAGAGTAAAATGCATCTTGAATTGCCACACTATTCTCAATATCAGATGCGTAGTCTCAACCACGCTCAACTAACCGTAGGGGTTCATCCCTCAACGGCTTTCACTCACCGCCCGCTGACTCAACGTCCCGAGTCTTCAGCGGCACCTAATTTCTGCCGGCGTTAAGGCCAAGCTAGAGTCAGACCCCCACCACAGCGATGGGGGTGCCGTACCTCCCAATAGGTAGTATCAGGTACTCGACCCCAAGGGATGGATGAGAGGGGTGACTCTTTGTGCGACTGACCGCCCGCCCGCACCGCCCCTCCGTCCCCGAATCCGTGGACCTGACTTTCGAAACTCTAAGGCCTCCTTCCCCCCCCCCTCCATCGCCTACATCTCCGCCTCCCTTATGCTGCCCCGCCTCCGACCGGTCGCCCGCGCAATCCCACGTCAACCTCCCGTTCCCAGCTTCTCAAGAAGACAGCATCTAGGCACAATGGCTCCCGGTACGTCGCGTGCACCATCGCAATCCACAGCCCGCCCTCCTCCCTGATCGCCGCACGGGGTGCGGAAACAGACGAGAAAAGAAGACTAACACTCTCGAAAACACCAGTCCCCCCCTCCGACCGCCGTCCCCTCGTCATCTCCGGCCCCTCGGGCGTCGGCAAGGGAACCCTCTACAAGCGCCTCTTCGAGAGCCACCCGGACACCTTCGCCCTCTCCGTCTCGCACACCACCCGTGCCCCGCGCCCGGGCGAGGCCGATGGCGTCGACTACCACTTCGTCACCTGCGAAGCTTTCGCCGACCTCGTCTCCAAGGACGGCTTCGTCGAGCACGCCACCTTTGGTAGCAACTCGTACGGGACCTCCAAGGCCACCATTGAGGAGCAGTCCGCCAAGGGCAAGGTCGTCGTGCTCGACATTGAGATGGAGGTACGTTTACACAGCTCGCCTGTATTTCCGAGGCGGAGGTATGCTAATAGGAGTGTTACAAATAGGGCGTCAAGCAGATCAAGAACAGCTCCATCTCCGCGCGCTACGTCTTCATCGCCCCGCCCTCCGAGGACGAGCTCGAGAAGCGCCTCCGCGGCCGTGGGACCGAGAAGGAGGAGAGCATCCAGAAGCGTCTGGCCCAGGCCAAGGTCGAGCTCGAGTTCGCCAAGACGCCTGGCGTCCACGACATCACCATTGTCAACGACGACCTCGACAAGGCTTACAAGCAGCTCGAGGACTTTGTCTACAAGTCTTCTTGAAAGGGGTAAAAACTACAAAACTACAAACCGGGCTAGGAGCGGAATCGGACGGGTATATACCGAGGCGTTGGGACTGAATACGAAATTCAGGAAAGAAGAACTATGGGCTTCTTCGACATAGCATGGCGGTCTTTCGTGTGTGCATTTTAGACTAAAAGCATTCTTATAGAGCCGAGATAGGCAATATATACTGGTCCATTTTGAGGTCACATATCACGTTGCTTGAGGGATCATAAGCCATGTCAGGTGTATTCTCCATGAGGTATCGAAACGAACTCTCTATTAGAGTACGATTGGATTAAAACGTAAGAAAGTGTGAAGTCGAGCAAAGTGCTGCTAAAAGTCGAAGTAAGAAAATAGAAAGTTGCGTCCAGCTGTAAGATGGAAAGGGGGGAATAATGGACTATTTCGCCAGCACAAGTACTTAAACAACGACCACAGGGCCAGAGGGGGTATGACTTATATCCGCGCGCAACGCCGGCATCTTCATTCATCCCACGCAAACTTCTCCCATGTCTTCCGGCGGAGATAGCTGCTGCTGACTCTGCCCTGAGAATTATCGGTCGATGCAGCCTCCGCTTGCTGCCGGGGCCGTGCCGTGCCTTTTATCTGCGCATAACACCATGAGATTGAAAAGTCGTCAGAAAATCCGGCCGCCCAAGAATATCATTGCCTGCTGGCTCCTCGAGTGCGCGGGTGGGGATGTTCGTCAACTAGTATCCGTTCATGGTCATTCGTTGCGAGCTCCGGCTGATTTCCCGGTCGGCGGCAGGGCTGATGGGTCTGCTGCCACCGCCGTGTGCGCTGCTCTCCTTCAGGGCCAGAAGCTGCTTGGCACGGAAAGTCTCGTAGTGGATCTGAGATGTGGTCTCAATGAGGTCCTGGAGATGGGTGCGGAGCAGGAAGTTTCTCAGATAGGTGAACTCGCAGTGGTTCTCGTCCTCGACGTTGATCACGCCCCAGCGGTTCTGGCGGCCACGGACCTGCTTGCCGTTGACGATGATGGACTTCTCGGAGCCAACAACAGCGAAGGGGACCAGGTCCTGCAAGCAGGTTAGCCAATCGATATACAGGGTCTTTGTCTTGAAGGAGATTTCCCACCTTGATCTGAGTGTTGAGACCACGCTCCTCCTCATCAAACTCATCGTTGTCGTAGGGGTACATCTTGAGGTTGTGGAAGGCGAACTCCTCCTTGATGCGCTCCTTGAACTCCTGGCGCTCCTCGAGGGTGAGGGTGTCGGACTTGGCAATAACGGGAACGACGTTGACGACATCGGAGAGCTTCTTCAGGACGACGATATCAATGGGCTTCAGGGAGTGGCCTGAGGGCTGGATGAAGAAGAGGCAGCAGTGGATGCGGGTGTCCTGAATGTAGCGCTCACGCTGGGCGGTGAGCTCCTTACGCAAGTACGCGGAGTGTTGATCCTTGATGTACTTGACAATGGGGTCCCAGCAGCGGTCGTTGTTGACCAGGTCTCCGTAACCGGGGGTGTCGACAATGTTGAGGCGCAGACGGACGCCGTTCTCCTCGATCATGTGAGACACGGCCTGGATCTCGGTGGTGGAGCGGACGGGCTCATCGGGCATCATGCGACCCTTGGAGTCGATGAGGTGGGAGGCGAAGATGGTGTTGATCAGGGTGGACTTGCCCAAACCTGTCTGGCCTGTAATGTCGAGCGTCAGTCGACTGCACCTATGGTTGACGCGACATCGCGAGGCACGCCAGCCCACCGAGCGGTAGAGAGCAGCGCGGGGACAATTGCACAGAGGAACTCACCGACGCAGATGACATTGAACTGGAAGCCACGCTTCAACAGCTTCTTCTCGATCTGGGACGTGATGCTGTCGAAACCGACGTGGGACTGAGGGTAGATGGTCTGGGGCTGCGCCATCGTGTCTGCTTTTCCCGTGGGGAGTGAAAGTGGTACGGAAAGGTAAGGAGTGAAGCTGAGATACGTTTCTGTATTCCAAGAAAAGTATTCGTCTCGAATTGGGGGCCGAGTCGAGGGTCGGAATGGCAGTGGGCAGGGAGAGGGAAGAAAGAGATCACGAGGTTGCGGTTGGAGAAGGACTCAGGATGTTTCGAAGGAGAACAAGCCGGTGAAGGGCAAAAGGGTAGCGTAATTTCTCTGTGCTGGCACTTGGAGGTGCTTTGCTACCCGTTCCCCCGTGTCTCTCAGTCAGGCACTGGCCGTTGGCTGCAGCTAATAGGCTGTTCCTTCCACCTCCAGCAAACAATAATTTCCCTGCAGGGAGTGTCTACAGGGGTTGGAGGGAAAGGGGGAAAGGGGTCCTCGCCGCGTTGATTGGTTGGGTGGCGTCCGTGCGTGACGTGAGCTGTGATTGGTTGGGGAATCTCAATTGACAGCTCCCCCGGTCGCACGTCTTTTTTTTCCCGGCTTGGACGACAGAGCGAAGCCTCAAATCGTGAAGTGGTGACACTATTGCGCTCGCTACTGCCCTGCTGCCGCGACACCAACTACACCGACCGCCGCCCAAGGCCCAGCAGTACTCTCCGGCTGGAGCGGACGACCGAACACCGAATATCTGGTTGCTCTTCTCTGCAACAGGCCGCCGAAGCGACTGCCATTTCCGAACACCCTCGCCTGCGAGACGAATTCGAGCCGCACGATATCGAAATGGCCGCCATTGCGATGACCGCGCAGCCCCTGCGCATTCTTCCCCAGATCTCCGCGCCAGCCTTCTCCAGGTCTGCAAGGATATTCTCTCTCTACACCCGCCAGCTCGTCCAGCCCATGTTCCCGACGCTCGCCGCCCTCCCCGCAATCAACCTCAACATCCCCGCATGGCTCGGCGGCATCTGGGAGTCCGTACTCCGGGCAGTACCGAAGAAGAAGACGTCTCACTCCAAGAAGAGGCACAGGCAGATGGCTGGAAAGGCGCTGCAGGATGTGAAGTCTTTGTGCAAGTGTCCTGGATGTGGCCAGGTCAAGAAGCAGCACGTCTTATGCCCCACCTGTACGAAATGTGAGTTGCCAAATTGGGACCTCTCTGGAGGTGTCTTACTGACATTTGGTGGTATAGCGATCCAAAACCAGTGGAAGGACTTTGAAGCGGGAAAGTACTTCTAAGTTGCCAAAGGGCTGTGTAACTTTTTAAAAGACGTGTATATTCAAGTGTACGACTGGTAGCACCATGCGGCGTTCGGGACAATCCATCACCTTAAGACGATACATCAGAATCGCAGTGACTGCTTGGCGACTTGCCAACTTGTTGCAGAACTTCTCTGGGCTGGTCTCCGATCGAGCCGGCTTTCTGGGGCCCCATCAGTTTGTCGAGACCATCAAACCCGAACTCTCACATTACAAGGCGGGTAGTTCACGCTGAAACGACTGAGACGACATCTTCAAAGGACTTTTGAGCCACGGTGGACCGTCTTCGGGTCATTCAGGGCAACAAACAGGTGTCTGTTACCTCGGAGGTGTTCCGTCACTTCCAACGAGCCAACTTGAAGGAAAATGTACAAGACAGGTCTTTGTCCGACCAACAATGCTTTGGTCGACACAACTGCCTTTGAGGTGCTGGAAACAATGCAACCATTTCTCACAAAGGCATTGTACAAGTGAGAAACTATGCTGTCCTGGATATAAGATTATTGACTTGGTCGACTCCCGATGTGAACAGGAAGTTCAACGGCAGTATCGATTATCAACACACACCTTAGACAATACAGTTGTACACCATGTTCACTGCTCAAACTGCGACGAAGTATCCATATACCGGCTTGGTAGACCTTCCGGTTGAGATTATTCTCCAAATCGTCACTTACATCAGCCCTCCCAGTAAGTCGCATCTGCGGTTGCCTTTTGGCTACACACTCCACAGGACAAATCTTCGAGACGGCATTCGAGACCTCAAAAACCTGACGCTATCATGCACGAGGCTATACGACATTCTCCAGCCGACCCTGTACACCCAGAGTGGTCAAGATGACTGGTACGCTCTTCGTTGGGGCGCTTTCCACGGCCTGACCCGGACGATGGAAGACGCATTCCTGGCCGGAGCACCGTTAAACTGGGTGTACGATGATGTCGACGACTATCATGCCAACAGCTACTGTCGATGTGGCCGCTTCGACGGCGGCACTGCTTGGTCGAACAACTCCGTATGCTGCACGCTCTTCTATGAGAAAAAGCCCGTACGCAGTGCCTGGACGCCATTACTGACTGCCATTCGCGGCGGGCATCCTGAAGCTGTCGAATGGCTTCTTTCAAAAGGAGCTGATGCTGACTGGGCTGCCAGACCGGAACCCGGACTGGGAGAAATACTCTGTAAGTTTTGCTCTCACAGAGTTGACTGTCCAAGTCTCTTGACTTGCGATGAGTGTGGAATTACCCCAATGCAGGGAGCGCTCGACTACTTTACTCACAGCGCGTTTGGAGGATCCCTTTCGACGGAACATAATCGCGTCAAGGTTCTCAGGAGCCTCATCCAACACGGCGCAAGCGTCAACCAGAAATTCGGATTCATACACTGCCCCAGCCAGGACCTTCACCTACCTTCCTTGCCCGTACAACACTGGAACCCTCTCGGCCTCGCCCTGTGTACACAGACGGTAGGTCCAGCAACTGTGAAGTTTCTCCTCGACAATCGAGCGCACTTTGAGATGGGACCAGAGTCACTCCTAAATCCAGTACTGGCACACATGTCGCATTGCAGAGTTCCACGGCTCAACTGGAAGGTACCCATTAAACTTCCCCTTTTCGAGTGCCATACGAAGGCGCGCGTTCTTCTTTCGAAGCATCAGAGGCACGACAACTGCCATTGCATCCCAAGCTTTGACTCCCTGAACCCGGTCGACCCGCAATCCAGACTTGACTGTGACGAGATCCCATACGCTAGCTACAGAATCCGGGAAGTCTTCGACTTTTTGCACGAGCATAGACTGCCCATCCTCTCTTCCCACCTTGACGCGGAGACATCTATGAGAGTGCCTCCGGTGATCAAGGCCGTTCGAGGGCTGAACCCAGAAGCAGTGAGCTTGATCGTCCAAGAGGGCGCGGACCCGAATGCTCGCTGTTGGTTAGGACCAGTTCCCCAAGGCTTTAGATCTGATAGAAGATTAGATGGGCACCTTCCACTGACCTATGCATGTTCCATGGTCGATGATGAGGATGGCCTATACGAAATCGTCCTGGAACTGCTCAAGGGGGGCGCCAGCCCGATGCTGAGAGATCTGCAGGGCCTCACGCCGCTACATGAGCTGTCGCGCAACACTTACGACGAAGCAACTGCAAGACTGCTCATCAATTTCGGGGCGAACGCCAATGGCCTGGACGCCAATGGATGGACTCCATTACACCATGTTTGTGCACAGGCACCGCCGCAGCACCCACCGTTTCGCGCGTTTGCGAGCGTTTGCGTTCAAAAGAGAACACCATTAGTCAAGCTTTTGCTGAGCAGAGGAGCTGACATAGAAGCCAGAACCCGCCAGTATGGCCAGGAGCAGGGTAAAACTCCCTCTGAGCTAGCCTTGGCCAACAAGCTGCCTTTTCCGTGGGAGCGTCTTCTGGAAGAGGCATGCAACCGCTCAGGGTCGGGGTTCCATCAAGGACTTGATCCATATTAGTCGAGGACGTTAAGCCAGCTGATTACTATCAGTAGCCTTAAAGGGTTCTGATGATTTTGGAGGAATTGTCGAGATGGTCGAAGTAGTCCTTTAATATTTCGTCAACTCCCTACCTATTTAGATCTATAACAAAAGAAGGATCGGGTGGTTAACATGGTTTACTACTTGCATGAGTTTAATAGTAATTGGTTTTCGGAAGTGTTCTCTTGTCACTATACAAAATGAAGAGAATATTCTTTGGATGGTAACTCAATGGACATGAGGTTGTTGCGGTTGAGCATGCATGGGTCGTGGTGTTCGTTGGTGGCGCCCCTCAATTGCCCCTCCCTGCCAAAAAGCCCACTGCAGGGGTCTTTCTTCGCAAATGTGTGATGTCAGCCCCCACCTTCCTATTCACACCGCGGTCGCAACTTTCCCATACGCAACCGCGTACCCTCCACAGCGGCACAAGCTTCACATGGACTGGCAGCCATGGTAGGCGAACTCTGAACGAACATCTGCCAAACTTGAGCTGACTGAGATAGTCTAAACAATACCTGACCACACACACTGTGGACAATGGTGCGACATCCGTGGAGCTTGAAGCTCTGAGGAGCTTCCACCTGTTCGTCACGCAGCCTAGCTAACGCACTCTCAGCCCACATAACCGACATCTTCGGGCTCGCTGCTACACCCCGAGCCGTTCTCTCGGCCAGCGGTTCTTCGACCCTTCATGTCCACAACACCGCCGACCCTGCGATCCCCATCACACAGTCCATCAGCGGTGCCCACAAGCTCGGCTGTCACCACATCTGCACCTCGCGCGATGGCCGTGTAGCTGCCAGCGCGGGCTTTGCCGGCGAGCTGAAGGTCTGGGTCATCGACAAGGACACGGGTGAGTGGAAGCTTCACTCGGAGGTCACCGATCAGAACTCCAAGGCGGGCGAGACATGGGCCATTGCGCTCAGCGAGGACGGCAAGTTCCTGGCAGGCACAACATACGACGGCCGGATAAACGTGTGGGATATTGGCGAAGAGGGAACGCCCAAGATCCGGGAGTATGAGACGGGAAGCCCTGGCTCGGGCAGCTTCGGCATGTCGGTCGACTTGAGCAGAGACGGAAAGTTCACTGCGAGCGGACACCAGAACGGTTCCGTGTACCTCTTCAATAATGACACCGGTCGGCTTGCGTCCTCTCTGCCTGGTATGGACCCATATGTTCTCCTTCGAGACCTCCCAGCTGACCCATGAACAGGATTGGCCAAGCCCGTTCGCGCAGTGGCATTCTCTCCAGGCAACACGAGACTGGCGGCCGCTGGCGACTCTTCCATCATTGCCATCTACGATCTCAAGCATGGCGAACAAGTCGGCAACCTGACGGGCCATTCTTCATGGATCACGTCCATTGACTGGAGCGACACCGGCGAATACCTTCTGAGCGGAGCGATGGACGGCAAGGTCAAGGTTTGGTCAGTCGAGCGCTATGCCTGCGTAGCTACGCACAGCGAGACGGATAAGGCACTGTGGTCTGTCAGGTGGCTTCCCAAGACCGGAAGGAGTGAGATGTTCTGCACTGCCGGAGCAAACAGGAGCATCTCGTTTTACAGAGAGGCCACTGGAGCGTAGAGGGGCAGTGGGACGATACAAAAGGCTGGTGTGCATCTCAGATACCCCGGCAAGCTATGCAGTTTCTGCGATATATAGCGTTAAATGGCAAAGACAGACAATAGACATGCTGAAATGAAGACAGAGAGGACAGTGTCAAATACAGTGATCATTGCCTTTGGGCACCGTAGAAGGGATGGCGCGCACGTGCCTTCGTACCAGTCTCGCGTTGCCCCGCCAAAATTTAGGCCCCTGTCTCCTTCCCTCTTTCGTCATTCACTTTCACATCCGGATGAGATCAACGAGCGCATTGCGACGACTGCGATTGGTGACATTATTTGAAGTGATCTCTATCGGAACTATCATACATCTGTCTCTGCAACATTAAGAGCATCATTACGACGAATACCCGACCCCCCGCGCCCACACGACTTCGACAGCCACTCACTACCCCGGTCACCAGTGACAACCAACATCCACAATGCCCACAACTCGGAGATCAACAGGCGGCGCCCGAGCCCGACCCGGTCCGGCTCGGGGCCAGTCGACCATCAGCTTCTCTCACAAGGTCTCGAAGCCGGTCCCGAAGGATCTGAAGAAGGCGGCCGTCCTCGGCTCCGCTGTCGAGAGGGCCGAGCAGGCCAAGAAGGAGGAAGCTGTGCAGGTCGATGAGATCCAGGTTGACGAGCCCGAGACCAAGGAGGAAGAGGAAGTCAAGGAAGAGGTCCCCGAGAAGTCGGAGGCTGTCATCCGCGCTGAGAAGATTAGCGATGCGCAGATCAACAAGTACTGGAAGTCGATCGAGGCTGAGCGCATCGCGCCCCGGGTTCACCAGAAGGATGTGACCTTGGCGGAGAAGGTGCTGCGGTACTTTGATGTGAGCTCGCAGTATGGTGTAAGTCGTTTCTTGAGCTGGTGTGTTGGAGTGGGAACGCTGACAATTGTGTAGCCGTGTATTGGTCTGCAGCGCATGAAGCGTTGGGAGCGGGCCGACAGGCTTGGCTTGAACCCGCCTATCGAGGTGCTCGCGGTCCTGCTCAAGGAGGAGAAGAAGGGCACTTCTAACATTGAGCTGGCTCACATGGATGAGCTCATGAACTCGACTGCAGTTGGATCTGTGTGAGCAAATGGGTGCTCCAGGTCAGGCAAGACCGATTTATTATTACGAAGCTACTGGCGTTTGGAGTTGAACTGGCTTGAGAACCGTCTCGCATCACGAGTATACGAGGCATGGGAATGAGAATTAAGCTGTAGAATAGTCAAAGAAAACGTGCTCGGCACGAAAGTCAACGTCTGTAATTAAACCTCCACTGAAGGTGCATCAGAAGTCTTCTCCATATGGTCTGAAGTAGCTCAGTACCAAATGCTCCTCGTTCTGTGATGGTTCACCGTCTCGGTGCCTGCAGCCTCCAACTCTTTCATGGTATCATACAAAAAGAAATCAATCAAAATGGCGTTGACACTCGTACCGGGGTGGTCCTTCTGGATCTCCCGCTTGATCAACTCGACACACCAGATACTGCATGCTATTCCAGAGTTAGCATCTGAGCCCTCGGGCTAGTAGCGTATTTCAACTGACCTCTCATCTGCAGCTCCCATCTCGCTCCGCTCTCCAAAACCCGCTTAGAGTTGATAGCCGTCGCCAGCGAAGGGCTATAGTACAGGCAGCCCATGGTGTTGAGGATCTGCGGGACGCGGTAGTCGGCAAACATAGTGATCTTGTCAATATCCCGGAAGGCGCCGATGCCTTCACCGCCAAAGCAGGCCCAGATATCCGCTACGAGGATTTGGGCCCTCTTGAGGAATCGCACCGGCTTCCGGCGGCCCTCAAAGACGTGCTCATCACGGAAGCAGTCGAAATCGCGGGCGAGAAGGTTGACGAGCCTTACCGCAGAGCCGTTGGCGGCCTCGATGAGTTTTGTGACGCTGCAGTTGTACCTCTCATACAACGCCGTGCCAGCCTCACGGAGGCAAGTCAGGCGCTCCTCGAGCAGAGGCATCTCCTCCTCCGTCTTGGATCTGAACACGTGCCTCATGAGCTCCATGTTACACTCATCCTCGCTCTGCCAAAAGTCAGAGCTCGTGATGGGGATGCCCTCATCGAGAGCCCTCTGCAGCGAAGCGACCATGCTCCAGTAGCCAGTCCAGGTCTTGCCACGGTACTCGACGGCGAACCGCTCATCCTCTGGCTTCTCGGACCAGAAGCAGAAGTTAAGCAGATCCATGGTGAAGATGAAGGCGGCGGTGCTGTCGTCCTTGGTCTTGGGATGCAGCTCGTGCTCGGCCCAGGTGGCCGTCGAGTACTGCTTCTGCTCCATCTGGGCGTAGATTGTGGCAGCAGCACGCTTGGTCGCCCTCATGTCGATGCAGACATCGATGGAGTTGTCGTAGACGTACTCGGCTCCCTCGAGGACGCCCGTCTCAGGCTCGTCGTCGACGTTGAGCTTCTTCTGAAAGTGCTGGCGGAGGAGAGCCAAAAGCTCCGGGTCGGCCTCGTCGTCAGACATGGCTGCGATGTTTCTGCCCCTGACTTGTCCCGGCGTGGCTGGTGCCTCTTGCAGATGCGGCTTCTCCTTTGACTCAAATGCGACTTGCCTTTTTCGTATGCTGCACGAATACGGCCGCCGTGGATGCTGCACCTGGGTGATCCTGATTCTGGGCGACGACTCTGCAATTCTTTCACTGAGGGGACGACGCAGGTTTGAACCTTGGCCTAGGCGGTAGAGGCAGAGAGCCCACGCCCCATACAGCTGCACTGACCCGTTTGTTTTTTGTTGGATCACCGCTCTATTGCAGGCGGCGATCATCCTAGGAGTGAGGGCCTTGGAGGGGTCTCGTACAATCCCATCGTCCAGTTATTTTCCAACACCGTATATTCGCTGCGCAGAATGGGAAACCCGCGCAATCGGCTGATTGCCATGTGAAAGGGGCTGTACACCAGCTTCCAAAGGCACTGCCAGGAACCGGTGGATGCCTGACGAACGATCAGTGGTGGGCACCTAAGGCAAGGTGCCGTGTCAGGGCAGCCCTGGAGGCATCAGTCCAGCGTTTCACAGGGGACAGAGGATGCACCAAGCCGCTGAGGTTACAGCGCTCGTCAGTGAGCTCACCTCAGAGTGCAAGCGACGACGCGGGAGGGATCCGCTTAATGTTCTCATCCAGACCAATCACAGCACGAGCGCGGCAATTCCCCAAGGAAGCTACAGCTCGAATCCCTGCACGATCTCGTCACCGGCTGCCGGTATTGGCTGGAACCTTGATCTGGGCGATCGCTCCTCCCGCTGACCTCTGGAAAAACCTCAACCTGCCTTCCTCTGTGCAGCCTTGCTTCGCACTGAAACCGCCCTCATCCCATCCCACCTAGCGCGGCTGCAAGCTTACACCCACCTTCGCGCTTGCTACCGCACCTCCGATCTCGTCCTTTTCTTCATCATCTCCATTGACTCTTTCCCGACCGAAAAACGACCAGCACCATCGCGCGGAAACGATGGATTCCAACACTGCAGCAGACGCAGCAGCTGCACCTGCGGCAACCACCGCGGAACCGACCGCGCCCCTCGCGACGGCCACAGCAACGGCAACGGCGACAGCGACAGAGACGACCACCGCACCACAACCTCAAGAGCAGCAGCAGCCCGCACAACAGCAACAGCAACCCGCCGCCGCACCTGCAGCGCAGCCTCCCGCGCAAACAGCTCAGAAACCGATTGCCGTTCCCCGGCGTGATAAGTTCTACCAGCAGTCGCTCGGCGGCTCGCTCAACGCAAACGTCAAGAAGGTACGTCGCGGCCCCGGCGCATCAGACCACGCGATCCTTCCTTTCATCGCAACGCCCATCCCGCGATTTCATTTTTGTCCCATAAACTTGCCGGATCATGCAAAAGTGCTGTCGGATGAAATTGAAATAACAATTGAGCTAATCATGGCTACGCAGGCGCGCGTGTTGATGGTCGGAGCTGGTGGCATCGGGTGCGAACTCCTCAAGAACCTCGTACTCACCGGTTACGGCGAGATCCATGTTGTCGACCTGGACACCATCGACTTGAGCAATCTCAACCGTCAATTTCTCTTCAGACACGAGCACATCAAGAAGTCCAAGGCTTTGGTAGGTTTCCTGGCGTAGCAGCCAAATGTCAGGTGTGTCGCGGTGCTGACAGGTCGATAGGTTGCCAAAGATGCTGCGCAGGCCTTCAACCCCAAGGTCAAGATCGTCGCGCACCATGCGAACATCAAAGACTCACAGTTCAAAACCCGATGGTTCAAAGACTTCAACATCGTCTTCAATGCGCTCGACAATCTCGAGGCCAGACGGCACGTGAACAGGATGTGCTTAGCGGCGGATGTGCCCCTGATTGAGAGTGGTACCACAGGATTCAACGGCAATGTCCAGGTCATCAAGAAGGGTGTTACGGCATGCTACGACTGCACCCCAAAGGAGACGCCAAAGTCCTTCCCCGTCTGCACGATTCGAAGCACGCCGAGCCAGCCCATCCACTGCATCGTGTGGGGCAAGAGCTATCTTCTCAGCGAGATCTTTGGCGCCAGCGAGGACGAGTCCGCGTTCGACAATTCAGCCGATGCCGACAACGCCAAGGAAATCGAGGAGCTGAAGAAGGAGGCCGCTGCCCTGCGCGCCATTCGCGACGCTTTGGGTACTGAGGCCTTCCCTCAACTTCTCTTCGACAAGGTCTACAACAGCGACATTGTGCGACTGGCATCGATGGAGGACATGTGGAAGTCGAGGAGAAAGCCTGAGCCGCTTGACTACAAGAAGCTGTTGGAGCAATCTACTGAAGCTTCGGGTGCGAAGGCGTCGATCCTGCAGGAGGGCCAGAAGGTGTGGAGCTTGGAGGAGAACTTTGCCGTCTTCGTCGACAGCTTGGATCGTCTTAGCAAGCGTATGCAAGAGCTGAAGAAGGCGCACCAAGACGGAGGAGCCGAACCTCTGATCACCTTTGACAAGGATGACGAGGACACCTTGGACTTCGTGACAGCAAGCGCCAACATCCGCTCTTCCATTTTCGGCATCGAGCGCAAGTCTCGTTTTGACATCAAGCAAATGGCAGGCAACATCATCCCAGCGATTGCCACGACTAATGCCATCGTTGCTGGTCTGTGTGTCCTTCAGTCGTTTAAAGTCCTGAAGGGTGAATACACTAATACTAAGGAGGTAAAGTTTTGTCTTCTCCAGCGGTGATTGGAGTTGCGGTCTAATGTCTGTATAGGTGTTCATCTCCCCTCACAACCCTGCTCGTCTGCTCAATGCGACCAAGTACCGGGCCCCTAACCCGGAATGCCCAGTCTGCAGCGTTTACCAGACGACTGTCTCCGTCGACATGTCTAGAGCCACATTGAAGGACCTTGTTGAAGACTTTGTGCGCCTGGAGCTTGGATATGGCGACAAGGAGTTCGCCCTGAACAACGATGCTGGCCCCCTTTACGATCCTGATGAGACCGAAAACCTGTCCAAGAAGCTCAGCGAGCTTGGAATCACGGAAGACACCTTTCTTACTGTCATTGATGAGGATGACGATGAGCCTTTCGTCAATGTTGTCATCAGCATACAAGAATCGTGCGTCCCCCTGATGCAATTGCCTTGAATCTTAGCTAACCCCTTGCAGCAAGGAGCCTCTCGAGGATAAGCCCGTCAAGGGCATGACCGCGGATCAAAAACCCGAGATCCCTCGTAAGCCAAAGAAGGAGACACCTGCGCCGGCGACGGCAGAGTCCAACGGTACAAGCCAGCAGAACGGCAAGCATTCGCTGGATGTCTCGGAGGAATCGCCAAACCTCAAGCGGCCGCGGCCTGACGATGGAGATGAGCCGATCGAGGCTAAGAAAGCCAAGGTCGCAACGACGAGCAGCAGTGATGATGTGGTCCTCGTAGATGATTCTACGGGTGGAGCCATCGTCATTGACGACTGATATTGCAAGGGTCTGTTGAATTGAAGCCAGGGGTGTCCCTCCACAGCCTAGGGAGCTCTAGCTCGTCAGACTGCACTTAGCCCACCGTCCAGGTTGAGGACGCAGTTATTGGCGTAGGTGTTTTGGGCCAGGAAGACGGCGGCGTCTGCTACCTCATCAGGTCTACCCAGCCGCCCAAGTGGGATTCGCTTTTCGAGGGGTTCTCTCGACATTGCTGTAATTTGTATATTAGCACCGTTCTGATCAAGAACATTGGCTTACTGGGGTTTCGGAAGCCTAGCTTGCGGATAAGAAATAGGGCGAGGATATGTTTCTTACAGGCAAGCATATTGGTTTCTATGTAGCCGGGAACTATGGCGTTGGTCCTGATTCGCAGTGGCCCCAGCTCAACGGAGAGAGCGTGGGTGAGACCTTTCGGCAGATTAGATTTGGTCCACGACAAACGGGGCAAGGAGGCAACAGATAGACCTCTCGGGGACGTGCGATGAGGAACGAAGCCAAAGAGAAAAATAAAACATACCAATAATGCCAGCTTTCGACGCTGCGTACACGCTGGTGCCGGGGCTGCCCTTTTCGGCGAGCAAGCTCGCAACGTTGATAATGCATGCTGAAAGGTTCAGGAGCAAGTCAGCTGGGTTGCTCAGTGCTTTGCAAAGGCACACTTTGTGCGGGTGCGATCGGATCGATTATGTGGCAAGTATGCCATGACTTACCATCCCTGTCTGCGCGCCTGCGCTTCATGCGTTGGGCCATGTACCTCGACATGAAGATGGTTCCCATGAGGTTGGTGTCGAGGAGCTCGCTGGCGGCTTGGGGTGAGGTGTTCTGTAACAGCTGGAATTGCGCAATACCCGCGGCGTTGACAAGGACGTCTATCTGGCCTGTCCGTTTCTGTGGGCGACCCATTTTCCTCTGTTAGTGGATGACGACACGCGGATGAGGCTGTCTAGCTAGCTAGTGAAGCAAGATATATATATGGCTTCTGCCATGATGCATTGAAAGGAAAGAAATAAGAAAGAGAGGGGGAGGTCGAACCCAGATGTCGTCCAGTACGGCTTCATCGCGGCCTTGGGCGGATACATCCATGACGGCGTACGAGTGCGCCGGGGGCTTCTCATCCAGAGATGGACGGGTGTTGGGGTTGGGTGCGGCGGTGAGGGGGGCGAGTCGGGTGTCCCGGAAGGGTGGGAGCTGGGAGCAGAGCTCGCGCAGCTTGTCTTCCTTGCGGCCGAGCAGGGTCACAAGGGCGCCCTCGGCGGCGAAGCGGGCGGCGATCGCGGCGCCGATGCCGCCGTATGCGCCGGTGATGAGGGCATGGCGGGCGCGGAGGGGGAGGAGGGCGCCGGACATTGCTGTTGGAGGGATGGGTGGATGCGTCAATAGTACGCGGCGCGTGAGTTTGCCGTTTGGGATGGTTGAGGTTGCCCGTATACTACGCAGTACTCGGGATGTTGGGGGTTACGGGTTGCGTGTGTGAATGAGTTGGTTTGGTTTGATGGATATGGAGACGTTTACGAAGACGGGGGGGAGCTCTCTGGGTTGAGGCGGGACACGGCACTGGATGGAGGTGTGGGTGTGTGTCTGAGTCTAAATTTTGGATGTTGGTGTTGGTGGGGTGGAAGCGAGGAAGGGATGGAAGAATGTCCCGAGGTGGGAGATGGACAAGCAAGGTTGAAAGGCTGAAGATGTGTGAAGTCAGAATGTCGTATTGGCCGTTTTCGGTTTGTTCACCAGCAGCCAAGGTTGGGCGGGGAGTGGAAGAAAGCAAGAGGGACAGCAAGAGAGCTCTTGTTGATCCTTCATGAAGCTCTCGGACGTCGAAGCTGATTCAATGCAACATGCGCAATCTGAAATCGCAGGGTGGGGGGGGAAAGAGACACGAGTAGCAACAAGACGGGAGGCTTTCAGCTTCTCCAAGAGACTGGGATGGACCTGGTTTCGGGGGTCTTGCTTGGCCGGGCGTTGAGGGGGAGTTTGGGCGGAGGATGATAATGGCATTATTTGCGTGTCTCAATTCTGGCATTGCTGGAGAAGGAATCTGATTCCGAGGTCTTTGTGGCTTTCCGTCTGGATTCTTCGATCCCATGTTTCTAGCTCTCAGATGGTGAGACAGACGTCTGCTGAGGTGACCGTCATTGTACTCCACCTCGCCTCGAGTACTCGAGGTCTAATCTATTCATGGTGTTGGAAAGATAGAAATGAGGATATCTTTTTGTTGATCTCTTGGAGATTGTGTGAAGCGGGGGCGGAGTGTGGAATGAGTACCTCCTCGGGCTACCCAGATAGACAGTGAAAAGTAAGTGAGGCACATGTCTGGCGCGGATGAGGCTTGAAGCTCCCGTCTCGCGTCCACATGCGCCCACCCGCAACGGTTAGACGGACCATTTCTACTCAGTACGGACACCTCTTGGGAGGTTAAAGTCTTCTGGAGTGATCCCTGTGTGGCCTCCCAAAGTAGATACCTTGGGGAAAAGTACCGTCGACTTTGCATCTGAATCTGCCAAAGACGATTGGCAACAGCGGGCTGGGAAGCTAAGATAGACCCCGCTGTCGTTGTCGATTCTAGGACGTGGAGCGATGCAGCGAATGACAATGGGGCCCGTCGCATCGCTGTGCCTGTCGCTAGTTAGCGGATTGGATGCAACCTGATTGATTGATTGTTCTTCTGTGACGTCTAAGAGAGCTGCGTCTGCGGTCGTAGTCGCCGCTAACGCTAGAAGCCGTTTCGCATATGATTGCTGTACCTCTCCAAGGTAAGGTACCTCGGGCACCCGTGTAACGAACCTAGATAGGTCAGGTATGCAGACGACAACCCGGCGCCTCGGTTGGTTCCAACGAACGTTGGAGGTGTCGAGGTACCTTGCGGCAAGTACCTTCCACACCACCACGCCAGTGGTTCCAGCTCAGGTTCCAGTTACAGTTCCACGTCCTGTCCATTATGGTGCGAACGCAACATCGCAATCCCACCACTACTGCAGCTGCAAATTTCCCTTTCCTCTTTTTCCTGCTCTGCATGCCTCACACGTTTTTCTCTCTTCCATCTGCGCCCAAAACTGCCACTCCTCGGTACGCTGGTCACCTTCTTACCACGCTCGTTTCCCGGAGCAAATGCAAAGTCTCCTGCCGAGGCGTCGTGCAATCGCAGAAGCATCACCTCCGAGTCCTCGTCCACCACCACCCTAGGTAGCTAGACTGCCCGTCGCCGCCCGCCTAATACCGACCCCGAACAACCACGATCCACACCGAACGCCTGCCAGCTCAACCCGCCGACCCAGAGTCGAATGGCCGTATGCCTCACGATCGCGACATCCGACAACGCCTGATGTCTGGTCATACCAATGGCGCCGCATCGGCGCCAAACCCCGCCTCGCCTAGAGACCCGTATGCCGAGAAGCTCGACGCCTTCCCCGAGTTGCCTGCTGCGCCGCCGCCGCCACCTACAATCAACATCGTCAAGAGCCCCAGCGACGCGCCCGACGCCGGACTGAGGAGCCTGGATCACTGTACGCTACACTCTGTCGTCTGGTTCAGCTGTCTGCCGTGGCCAGGAGTCTTGCGACCGGCCTGGAGAGAGCGGGGCTGTTGGATCGCGAGTAATGACGGCCTGAGCTGACATTATGCTTCTTCACAGATAAGAGGGCGCTGCCGACATGGCGATACCGACTGCGCCAGTGGATGCTGCCGCTGATCCGATGGGAGACGCCGTACTTGGCTTACTTGCAAGAGACGATGCGCACGCCTTGGCTCGATAGTTATTTTGCGATCACTGCGAACCTCGGTACCCATACCTTCTTCATGATCGGCCTGCCCATGCTCTTCTGGTGCGGCTACGCCTCCTTCGGCAAAGGGTGAGGATATCCCAAGTTTCTATACAACGGATGCAGTTAACTGACTATTTTGACAGTGTTATTCACATTCTCGCCGAGGGCGTCTTCTTCACCGGTTTCATCAAGGATCTGTTCTCTCTCCCGCGACCTCTGTCCCCGCCCTTACATCGAATCACCATGTCCGGTTCCGCTGCTCTAGAATATGGATTCCCTTCGACGCACAGCGCAAATGCTGTGTCCGTGGCTGTATATGGAATTCTGGTGCTTCGAAGCCCTGATACAGTGCTACCAGACACAACCAAGAACCTCCTCGAAGGCTTGTCGTACTTTTACGCGATCTCCATCGTCTTCGGTCGTCTGTACTGCGGCATGCATGGATTCACCGACGTCGTTGTGGGATCCGTCCTGGGCGCCGCCATTTCTCTGGTTGAGTTCCACTACGGCCCGGCTTTGGATGCGTATATGCACAGCAGCTCCTGGTGGGCACCCGCCATTGCTGCTCTGATCATCATTGCGCTCGTCAGAATACACCCCGAGCCAGCGGACGACTGTCCCTGCTTCGACGACAGTGTGGCCTTTGCCGGTGTCGTGATTGGCCTGGAAATCGGAACCTGGATGTACGGCCGTACCTCGCTGGACTCGTTTGGGGGTAATGCTCACAGCGTCCAATCCATTGACCTCAATGCTCTGGGCTGGCACGTCGTCCTCGCTCGGGTCATCTTTGGTGTACTAGTCATTTTCGTCTGGCGAGAGGTCATGAAACCTACGTTGCTCAAGGGCCTGCCACACATCTTCCGTCTCCTGGAAAAGGTTGACATGAATCTTCCCAGACGATTCTTCACCCCTGCGTCCAAGTACGAGACTGTCGACCCAGGATCTCGTATGGATACCCTCATCCCCTCAGTCAGGGACTTTCCCCGTGTTGTCCAGTCCATCCGTCACCCGACCACGCGCGGTCGGTCCGTATCAATCGGTCCGCAGAGTGCTGCTGACGCCTACGAGACGCTCGCCTACCGCGAGCGTAGGCGGCGGGAGAGCATCGGCAGCAATGGTAGTGTTAAAAGCAAGGGTAGCATGTTCGAGCTTCGGGAGAAAAACGGGGACTGGGAGGGGAAGGGAGCCGCTTCGGGCGTGCAGGGCCACAATACGCTCAACGACTTTGAGCGGATGATGGGCACTGGCAGCGTGTTGGCGAGTCCAAACGAGGAGAAGGAAGGGATGGATTTGGCGGTCGGCCAGCAGGACGAGCTCAGCGAGAAGGAAATGTTCTTGCGTCTTATCCGGCCTCGAGTGCGTTACGATGTCGAGGTCGTAACAAAATTGGTGGTTTACACAGGTACGTTGCTGCAACCCTCTTCCGCAAGATCCGGATATCCTGGTGTCATGTGCAGGTGCTGACAGCTGGCATAGGTATCGCGTGGCTGGGCGTTGGCCTGATCCCCATCATGTTCGAGTTGGTCGGCATGGGATCTGCCCATCTTCGCAATCCGTAATTCGGACAATTCTTTCCGGGTTATCTTGGACGCGGAGAGCTTGCGTTTGTGTTTCTCACCGAAAAGATACCATCTCTGAAACCTTTCTTTTCTCCTTGCATGATGCATCGGCAGATAGGTGCTTGACTCACCACGCCCAAAGCTGGAAAAGGGGGCGGTTTGCCTCGCGAAGCTGTTTGATGACGAGAAAAGGGGACGGCATAGAATTTTTTTATTTTGACGAAAGCACGACCGTATCTATATTCTTCTGCGTCTACCCCGGGCGGTTTTTGATATTTTGAGGGACTTTGTTGACAGAGGGAGGTTGGCCTTTGTGCGCATGTCCTGTTCTAGGCGTTTTTCTGGGAAACCTGTTCTTGGGGAGATGGTGCCGGGATCAGGTAATAATCGAGTGTGTATCAGTAGAGATATCAAAGCCGAATGGAAAGCCTCTTTTTATCTCGAGTTACATCGGGTGGTCTGCCTCGTCAACCTGTAGGTTCTGGAGGATCGCTGGCTGTGAGACGTGCGTTTGGATGCCTGAGAGAGTGAGAATGGATAGGTGAGACCCACGACCGCCACGTTGACTTGCCAGTTCTAGCGCGTGCTTTTTGCATATCCCCTCACTTTTTGTCTCCTTCATCTACCGTCGTCGTCACCCGCCTGCCCATCGTCGATGGCACAAGCTGGGGAGAATCATGCCAATCAGATGTGTCTCCTTGTTTACGAGGGCACTGCCACGCCATATCCCAGTACCTTGATGGCCCCAGATGAGAGATAACATCTTTGTTCCTCGAGTCTGATCTCACCTCCTCGGTGCTGGCCTCTTTACACCCCTCGAAGAGACGATACTGGACCGATATCCTGGATGTACCGTTGCGTTATTTCCATCTTTCTCGTCACTTAAGTTCACATCTAAAGAGGGCTTTTCACAAATTTGGGCCACTCGCGATGCTGGAGAGGAGGACTTTGAAGCCAGGTATTTCTTATCGCCTGTCCATCACTTCGCAACGGAAACTAACCCTAGAGAGGTAGACTGCTGGGCGGCGTACATCATCATCTTTCGGGCATCATCATGACTTAGTCGGTGAACACGCAGGCTCTGAGGGGTCGCTGACCTGCGTGGAGCACGAGGTCCACGTCTGGGACACTGGAGTTGACGCCATAACCATGGTCAGATACGACAATGTGGGGTTCCAGCGGCCCAGCAGATCACCCCGTTGATTCCCCCTCACGCAGGATGAGGTGCGGAGCTGGCGATGGGTGTCTGGCGGGTTGGTCCGCCTCAGGGGGTCACGACCAAGACAAAGAGACTCTGGGACCGGGACCACGAAGTTTGCTTTTTCTCATCGTAACCTAGCAACAGGTGCGTTCGGGACGAAACCGATGACGGGCGGCACCTCCTAAAAACGAAGCAGCAGCAAGGCCACCGCCAAAACCCACGGATTCCGAGGGAACATGCCCAGCAGCCTACTCGGCCCCCAAGACAGCTGGGGAAGATCATCGGACGATCCGCAGCGGGTGATCCAGTCCGTAGGGCTGGACTGGGGGGTGCCGAGCCTCCGTGCCATGCCAGATTATCAGATCCCGATGCTTGGTTCCATTGGATGAAGCTTTTCGCGAGGTTCGATTGGGTTCCCGGCGCGATGTTTCCCACAGGCGGTGACTTGCCCCTGGCTAATGTTTGCCGCGGTACCACTGCGCCTGGGACGGAACGCCGACGCCGCGACTGCAGCTATCCAGACAAAGCATGCTCACGACATTGATGGCAGCTGTCAGAACAGAACAATGATGCGCGGAATGGAACGGCGGGCTTGGCGATATTGACACCCACGAGGACATAACCGCAGAAGTATTCGTTTCCAAATGGGACTTTTGCAGAGATCTGAATCGCCAACCGCCTTTTGAGAAACCGACAACAGCGAAGCAAGTTGGCGACCAATCCTGCCAGCGACTGTCTACACCACTTTCACCCTCTTCGACATCCTCTCTCTCGCTTCTTCCCTCTGGTCCCTCCTCTCGTCCTCTTCTCTGAGCTTTATGGTACCTCTGAAGTTGGGGGGCCTTTACTGAGGACCATCGCTTCGCGTCTTCCTTGAAATGGGGCACTTGCAACCCATTATATTGACTTGTCGTTGTGGCCTCGAAAATAGAGGCGGCGCATAAAACTGCAATCAAACGGTCTGCGAAAGCTGCAGTTGGTTTTCAAATTTTCGGGCTTCTGACCCAAAAGGGCGACGTCATTTGGGCTTCCGGTGCCGGATTCTGCAAGTGCCTTATCGCCTAAGGCACGCAGAGGCCTGCCAGCTTTGGTCTAGCGCAGATCTAATCGGGACAAGCGAGGAATTTATCGAGGTAAGCGAAGAGGGAGGAGGTTCCAGGGGAAGCGCCCAAGGGGGGGCCACCACCAGCACCTCACTGACTGATGACTGTTCGTTTGGACGGTTCATGGGCTCGGTCAGGTAACTTGAGGCAGGATAATCGGGGAGCGAAGGCGCAACCTCTTTCTCCCCACTGCAGCAGCCGCATCTGCCCGATGATGTGCAGCTTTCTCGACGTCTTCGAATCGGGCCAGAAAGTCGACTCATTTCCTACCCAAGTTTCCGTCTTTTGACGACAGTATTCGAAGGCATCCATCGACCTGCATCTCAAATTCACGGATCTAAAATTTTCATTCGCCCTTGGAACTAGTCTGGAGCTCTTTTCCCCCAAGGTGCGCTGCAGAGTCGCACCAACCAACACCTCGGAGGTACACCTGCACCCCTTCGCCCTTCCTGCCAGCCCAGCCCTGGCTCATCAGCCCAGATCCGCCAGAAATCGACCCATTTAGCGAGGTGACCCGGGCAGAAGTAGCTCTTGCCGGTTCCCTTACAGTGGCCAACCCCCCGCAGGATCTGATAACCAAACGAACGAATCTATTCTCCGCACTCCACGAGACCTCTGCACCTCACATTTTCGGCGACTTGACCGCACCGTCCTGCGCATCCCATCCCGACTCTCATCCTCTCCCCAGGGGTTGCCATTCTCGTCGCCGCATGCACGGTCGCATGTAGTCCTCTCCATCATGTCGACCGACGCTGTCAGCGCTCCAGTCCCGGAGCCTGCACCTGTGCCGGCGCAATCGACCGCCAATGGCGACAAGGAAGAGCCTACGATTGAATGTGCGACGAAGCCTGCCTTCCTTCACTCCCCGCCTGATAGCAACAATGCACCCAAATCCGACGGCAGCGACTCGGAGCTCAGCGACCTTGACGACGATGCTGTTGAAGCGCCCCAAAAACAGGACGAGGCGCAACCCGAGGTCGAGGATGACATCGGCGAGGTCCTCCCCGACCATTGGTCTGGAACCGTGCCTGTCTTCAAGCCGACCATGCACCAGTTCAAGGATTTCAAGCTATTCGTGCGCCATCCCATCTTTCTCGCCGTCTCACCCTTTGCTAATGTGATCTGTAGATGACGAAGGTCGATAAATATGGAATGAAGTCCGGAATCATCAAGATCATTCCTCCCTCCGAATGGAAAGAAAACCTCCCGAAACTCGATGACCTCGTGAAGCAGATCAGAGTCAGAGAACCGATCAAACAGGATATCATGGGATCGAATGGAACCTATCGACAGGTCAACATCGTTCACGGAAGATCGTATAACCTTCCGCAGTGGCGACAACTTTGCGATCAGAGCGAGCATCAGCCCCCGGCAAGGCGAGGCGAGCGCCGAGCGAACGTTGAAAAGCCGAAGCCTCGATCCGCCCCCAGACCACGACCTGCCGCAAAGTCAACGCCGTCCGGTTCTAAGAAGCGCGGCCGCGGCCGACCAGCGAGGGGCAAGGCCAAGATCCAAGAAGAAGAGGAGGCCAACGAAGAGGGAAACCGACCTATGACGCCGGTATCACCGAAGGCCGACGCCGAGGTCGAAATCAAAAAGGAAGAAGTCGTTGACTCAGTCGAGGACCCCGGAACGGATGTCGATGACGATGAGCCGCCTACTGTCGGTAGAATGGGTCGCATGGGCGGGATCAAGCCCTCAAAGCCAAAGACTCAGTCGGTATCGGCTCGCCGGAAGTACAGCAGAAGGGAAGGTTCCGCCATGATTGATGAAGAGGCTTTCAAGGATTTCAACTACCAGATGGACGTCTCAGATTATACACCTGAACGCTGCGAGGAGCTTGAAAGGATATACTGGAAGACACTAACGTACGCACCGCCACTCTACGGTGCAGATCTGATGGGCACTCTCTTCGACGAGTCAACGGAAATGTGGAACTTGAACAAGCTGCCCAATCTCTTGGATGTTCTCGGCACCAAGGTTCCTGGTGTGAACACCGCCTACCTCTATCTCGGCATGTGGAAGGCTACTTTCGCCTGGCATTTGGAAGACGTCGACTTGTACAGCATCAACTACCTCCATTTTGGTGCTCCGAAGCAGTGGTACAGCATCTCTCAAGCCGATGCCCGTCGGTTTGAAGCGGCAATGAAGAATATCTGGCCTACCGACGCCAAGGCGTGTGATCAGTTCCTCCGGCACAAGGGATTTTTGATCTCGCCGTCGCATCTCAAGCAACACTACAACATCACGGTCAACAAATGTGTTTCCTATCCTGGAGAGTTTGTTGTTACATACCCTTACGGTTACCACTCGGGATACAACCTGGGCTACAACTGCGCTGAAGCTGTCAACTTTGCGCTCGAATCGTGGCTTCCCATGGGCAAGATTGCCAAGCGATGCGAATGCGCACAGGCGCAGGACAGTGTGTGGGTTGATGTTTATGATATTGAGCGAAAGCTCCGCGGCGAAGAAACCGAGTACGAAGAAACGGACGATGACGATGATGAGGAGGACGAAGATGAAGACGAAGACGCCAGCGGCCTTCTTTCACCGCCCAACAGCAACACTGTCGTCATCAAGACCAGTCGGAAGCGGAAGCGTGCAGGAGACAAGGGTGGAAAGACAAAGGTCAAGAAGATTCGTCTCAAGGTTAAGACTCGCGCCGAGCCGATCTGCTGCCTGTGCCCCAGCGACATCCCTGGCGCAGAAATCCTTCCGACGGACGACGGCCGCAAGGCCCACCGCATGTGTGCCCTTTACTTGCCCGAGACGTACATCGATACAGTGGACGACAAGGAGATCATTGCCAACGTTGCCAACATCAACAAGGAACGCCTGGATCTCAAGTGCCTGTATTGCCGATCCAAGAAGGGCGCTTGCTTCCAGTGCTCTCAGAAGAAGTGTGCCCGTGCGTACCATGCTACCTGCGCCGCAGCGGCGGGTGTCTTTGTTGAGGAGGCCGAAGTCCCTGTGTTTGGCGAAGATGGAACCGAGTACAAGGAGCAGGCTTTCGAGTTCAGTTGTCGGTTCCACCGTACGAAGAGAGACCGCAAGTTTGACGGCGACTCCCTCGAGGAAGATGAGCGAATTCGTAAAGCTGCTGCCGCTCTTAAGAAGGGCGAGATCTGCCAAATGCAGTACTATAAGGGCGACATCTTTGCAGGTGTTGTGGTGGAGAACCGCGCAGACGAGCAGATGCTTCTACTGGACATCGTTCCTAATGGGTACGATTCTCCTGTTGGTGTTGAGAAAAATCGACTAACGTGCACTAGTGATCGTCTGGAAGTCGAGTGGAAATGGCTCTTATTGCCCGATCCTTCAGATTACCACCTTCCGAAAGCCTCGGCAAAGGCCATCCCGATGCCCTCTTCGCAAAAGGCGAAGGACAAGCTCAATGCGAAACGGCCTGCTGATGAGGTGCCCAGGAAAGATGCTCCCTTCGTTGAGGGCTACACATGGGCAGAATTCCACCCATGCGATGAGTGTGCCAACCCGAACCAAGTCAAGATCGATCTGTCGAAAGACAATCAGGTATGGCATTACTTGGGCAAGACGTCAACAGAGGCCAAGGCGCAGTACTCTGAGGATCCTGCAAAAGAGCAGCATAATCCCAAGAGTAACTATCTTGACACCATTCCGAAGCCGCCGAAGCCTGTCTCCGCGACTGCAGCTCAGCGGCGCCCCTCAAATATTCCGCCACAACCGATTCCCATGGCCAGCCCTAGTGTCGCTATTCAGTCGGGACTTAAGACAGAGAAGCCTTACGTGTACAAGCCGCGGAAGCCCGTCGAGCCATCTTACGCTGGGCCAGGAACATTCACGACCCAAAAGTTCACACCAAAGGCCTCCCCTTCTCCCTCTCCCATGGGCCAGCAGCTCTACTTTGGCTCAGACCCACATTATCAAATGCAACAAGGCCATTACGCGCAGCAAAGGTTTACGCCCAACATCCACCAGCCGTACAACCCTGCAGGCCCTGGACAGTATGCAGCATCGAATAACACGCAGCGGCAAAGTCCTTATGCCACCCCGGTACAACCGCCGGGAGGCCCCGCAAAACAGGCACAGCAGATGTGGCCAACGCCATCACAAAGCCCGCGACCTCCACCGCCGCCAGCAGGGTACTCGCAAGCGTCCACGCCTCAGAATCACAGAAGGTATTCAGCTGCGCCATCTCCTTCGGTCGCTATGAAGTATGCTTTCTTCCAAGTGCACCACAACCGGGACTCTAAGACATACCGAACTCCATACGCACCGTGGAGAGGCTTCACGAATGGCTACGAGGGCAACCTGAGGGCCCATTTGATGCGGATATCACCTGAAGCCTTCTTTAAGAATAACCGGCAGGGCTCTGTTCAAAGCGCATCGCCAGCATCCAGCTCCGCTGGTCGTCCTCCAGCTCCTGCGCACAGCAGTCCATACTATAACACGTTCACAACTGCCGCACCGCAAGGCTCTATTGGTGTGTACGGTCAGAAGACCACCACGCCGTCGTACTCTTCGCCGGTTCCCAGGCCGACACACGACCCTGCGAGAACGCAGTATACTTCGATGTCTCCCAGCCCGGTGCCCAACGGCTCGCATCAAAGCCCGCATGGCTATAACAACGCATGGAACGCGCAGCAGCAGCCGCCGTCTACACCTCTCCATCCAGCCATTCGACCGCAGTACGGAGCTTGGGTGAACCAGCCTCAGCAACCTCAACCGCACAACCAGGCCACACCACCGCATCACCAGCAGGCGCAACAGCAGCAGCAGACACCACAGCAGCCTACTGCTCCCCAGCCCGCCGCTAGCCATTCACAGTCGGCCGAGAAGAAGGCAGAGGCTGCACCAAAACCGGCTGCGCCAAAGGTGCAGTACAAGGTACACCTGAATCAGCCTCTACCTCCTCAACTTCAAACTAATCAAATAACAGATCCCCGAAAAGCAAACCCCTGTCCCGCTACCCGCCAAGTACCTCGCAGCTATGGGCAAAATGGCACCGACTCCTACCAAGGCCAGCCCGCAGTCCAACGGAGCACCCTCGCAGGACAAGTCATCCCCGACTTCTGCTTCGGCAAACTCAACCCGTACGCCGCAGGTGGTCGGCACACAAAATTCTTCGGCTCAAGCCAGCTCCCCTTCTCGGCCATCGACAGCCTCAAAGAAGACCGCTGTGCCCGTCTCGCAGACACCCGTGCCCCTGCCGCAAACAGCAGTACCGGCGCCGCCTCAGCGGATGCCATTCACAAACCAATTCTCTGCCAATCGTCCATCACAACCGACTTACCAGCCTCAAACGCAGGCACATACGGGTCAGCCAAACCCGCGGCCGTTTCAATCTGTGGGACAGCCCCGTACAGAACACCACTCTCTGAACCCGGCGGAGATTCTGGCGCAGATTGCCACACAGCCTCGCATGAACCCTCCTACCCCTACAACTCCTCACCAGCCAATGCCTTCAGCGGCACCACAGCAATCACCCGGTCCTCGTTATTATGCTGGGCAGCAGGTGCCGCAGGCACACAATGGAGTGATGCCTCAACAGCAGTATTTCCAACACTACGCGCCGGCGCCCCAGGGCCAATATCCTCCGCCTCAGCCTCAGTACGCTCATCAGTACCCGCCGCAAAATACGGCCCCTAGCTACCCTCCGCAACCTGCTCCGGCGGGTGATGTACCTCTGCCGGAAGTACCCGCAGATTCTACAGCGCTGGTGGAGAGGATGATGCAGAACCTGCGTCGTGCGGCCTCTAATGGCTGAAGCTCTACCTGCCGCAAGTCTTCAGTTGTAACAATAGTCATACACACAAAATTGGTCTCCAGCGCGACACAGGCGCCTTACGGCTGGAGACTAGGGAAAAGTACGCATGCACGGAATTCATGAGTTCTTTCGGAAACGGCGTTTAACGGGTTGTTTGAAAGCGCGGGTTTCCTAGTTTTAATTATTCACGAGAATCATGGACAACATGGCATTGGGTGGTAGGAATCCCTTTCTCTGCGACACAGGCGCAGACACGATCTTCGGTCGTCTGAAGAATGGCCGACACCTCCGATGTATATAATATGATTGTTTCATCGCGAAGAAAATCACTGCATTCCATGCTCAAAACAAGCATCGTGTCTTGTGATTTTTTGAAGTGAGCGTATTGAGTCTTTCCAAGGGGTGGTCGATGGGTGTCATACAGTGGCACTTGCCGTTCTAATCGTAGACCTTGAGAGACTCCATGGAAAATCTCGTGCGGCAGGTGGACGTTGCCACAGGTGTATATAAGGCAAGAGCAGCCCGCTTGATCTTCCAGATGACATCTCACCTTTCACATGCTGGTATCATCCCCCCTCCACCAAATTCCTCTCACAACCAAAATGTTCAGACGTATCCTCAACGCTGTCGGCAACAAGACGTCCTTCTATCGCGGCCAGCGTTTCCCGCCATGAAGTACACGACTCACCGCAGCGCGTTGATAATACACACAGGGCAAGATCCGTCCATTCAATAAACCTTCCCAAGGCCGCGGAGTTGCGCTTCAGCCTCTCAGACACGGACGTCACTAAAATTCTCAACGGCTTCCACCCCAGGGATATGGAAGAGCGTTGGCTCATCCTCTCAGACGGGCCAGACGACATGGGCAACATCGTGTCCCACTTGTATCGGAGCTGGACGGGGTGCGAGATGTATCGGCTCAACATTACTGCTCCTAGGTTTGGAAGTAGCGGTGATAGCAGCAGCACGGCCCGAGCTGCCGAGGAAGGGGAGGACGGGGATGCACATCAGGCGCATGTCACGGAAGTTATTTGGGAGAGCCGAGAAGATTATAATGCCTATGGTGGATTAAAGATGGGTGAAAGCGAGGCGAAGAGGGCTGCAATCAGCATCTGCAGAGGCGTCTTGGGATGTAAGCTGGAGAATGCGCCCAAGGTAGGATGGGATTGATCATGATAGCTGGCACGGCTTCAGTTGGCAAACATCGACTTGCGGGTTTATACGGAGTAGTCAATACATAACATCCATTTCCGCTCTCAAAAGTCACCATGGGTTTGTATCATGCTATAAGAAATGCCCATGTAAAAAGGCGCAGGGTAGCTGAGACTGATGGATAGCCTGGCATGTTGTTGCTTGGGTTTCATATCAGATCTTCTACTCTTCATATACCTTCCCAAATGTGGCACCACATAAACCGCTGAAAGAGAAGACGGCGGACCTGGTTCTGGGAATTGGAGCTGTGTGCTGAACAGATTTGATCTCTCTCTTACTGTCGTTCAGTTCGGGGGCTGAACTCTTGTCCTTTGAGAACTGAAGGAGCCCCGAGGAAGCTCTTTTACATTGTGAATCCAAAATTAGCACCGGATGGCCCCCAAACCACGTTATAACGGGACACTCTTGATTGCGGACAGCCTCATGCTGCGACAGCAGGCCATGGAATGGTTGTCGGGGCATCCAGCATCCGATATGACTTGATTCCCTCATCCCTCCCAGCACTCTGATGAAGAGACAACGGATCAACTATTCACGTAGCCGTAGAGAAGCGTCAGAACCGAAGTTACAACGTAACATCCTCCGCCGGGGCTATAATCATTTGAATCGAATAAGCGTGGAGCGATGATTAGCAGGAGTAACAACGAGGCTGTGGTGGCTACGTAGGCACTCTGACCACTTCATCACTAACAGCCTCTGGCCGCCTTTTTTGAGAGGGCCAGAAGTGAGGTGCTTTACTCCAAAGAAGATTGATTTTTTCGAGAGAGAAACATAGAAGCATTACTCCCTGAATCTGATAAATATACACAGACCGTGTGTAGTCCGCAGTGTGAAGATGTTCTCGGCATGGGCACATCTCTGCCAATGCCCTAGTATAAATGCAGCTTGAACCGAGCATGACTTCTCATGGCCCGTTCAGCAATTCTGGTCCCATGCTGTGATTCATCATTTGAACAGCGCCAGCACTGGGAAGGGTTAGCTAGAAAAAGCCAAGATCACAGAGCTAGTTCAACGATTTTCAACATACCTATGTGCGTTGCTGTCTGCCTCTATTGTCGTCAGTATTTTCGCATCCATTGAGAAGAACTATCTGTGAATACAACAATCTTGTTAGTCACTATGTCTCTGCTTGAATAGCCGTCACTTCTGGCATTTGAGTTTCAGCTTTCTGCCCATACGAAACTCATAAGATATGCGGACGGGAGAACTTCAACTATGAAATCTGTGCCCCCCAAATACACCTGCCCGCCTGTGGCCCTTCTTATATGATTTTACTGACTTTTTCGGATCCCACAAAGCTTCAACCTAATCATTGGCCGTCATCCCGGCTAAGGTCGCCGTGTGGAATTTCGACCCTCCGGACCGTGTCATCCCCGGCTGCAGGCTTTCTGTTCGTCCGTGGCAGCTCTATAAAGCATTATCTCACGCCATAGACAGCAAACATATAGCAATAATGCAGGATCCTTACTTTTTTTCACACAGACGATAAATCGAACGTTGATCACCATGAGGTACGAACTGCATAGGTACGAACTGCATCTTTATCCTCGTAAGAACCGGCACAAATCCTCCACGTATACTGATCCATCCCTTTTGGATAAGCAGGGAATCACGAGCGGTGGTGACGAGTAGCCCTTAGGAGGTAGCATCTTGAGTGCTGGATTTTCTGGCGCTGTCGAGGAATGCTGCGTTCTAGGATGTGTACATGCTCCCGGTCTGCAGTAAAGGGAGTAAATGCCATTGAGTCCGGTCCCGAATATTTCATTACATGTCTTGTTAGAACAAGACTGGTACATACGTGTTGTATTTAAACACGTTAACTAGCCGTCCTACGAGGCAGTGGGGAGTGCTAGAGCTGAGGTGAAATCGTCTCTTGCAGTTGACAGAGCATCATCGTACGCGTCTACTCGAAAACTTTTCAGGGATGAACTCATTTGCAAGGTATATGAATTGCCTACTTGATATAAGCAAGACTGGCCCAGGCATTCTTTTCTCCCTCCCATGTTGTTGCTGTGAACAATGCGCAAGTTTGAGCGCGCTTGGTTCATCATAAATTCTAGCCTCGCTACTTTGGGCCACACTCTTTAGCCTCTCTGCTCGTAGATTCCTCATGCAGTTCTCATCGTCTCTATTGTATGCTGTGTATTCATAGATTCGTCTTTAAGTAGTTCCAGTTAGAAAAGTCTTGGCACATGCTCATGCGTTTAAAGGTTCACTTTCCTGCGGCGGCTTTTTCATAGTGACATCCGCGGATATTACGCCTGCGAATAAGCAGATAGCAACAGTAACCACAAGGTACTGCATGACACATGCCTGGGTGGTAAGTTCACGTCCTTTGGCCTCTGTCCACCGGCTTGATTAGTCCCCACGAGATAGGTAGATACTCTCCAGAGGCAATGCCCGGAAGATACCCGACGATTGGTGTCGAGAATAAAAGATGTGGAAGAGGTTACGATTTATATCACCGCAACATCTTCATTATGAAGGTCTGAGCATCTCACGACGGGAGTACCGGCTCACTGACGGTCAATTACCTTAACTGATGCATGAAATGGGGTATAAAACTTCGCGCTTATGTTTCCTAACTTTTGAAAAGACAATGCGGAGGCCATGACATATCTCATGATAGCATAGAGTCGATGTATACCCGGTTTCTAGAAGCGCCTGATCCAATACTCCTACGTGAAGTCCACGCTGACGGATTTCCACCGCTGTCTCTGGTGTTCCTCAACTCTGCCATAGATCACTTATTCATAGGAAATACATACCGATACCTACAGCTTCGGATTGTTTACATTGAACGAAGCCCCCCCTTATCGAGGTTCACACGAGAGAGGGGATGGGAGACATACGGGTCCTCATAATGCCTGGAACCAATCACTTGGCCATAATCGCTGGCTTATTCGCTCTGCTAAGAGTCTTTATGATATGTTATCCTCATCTTATATATGCCTTCGATGGATCAGTCAGCAGCTCGGACTGACTGGTTCGGGCGGCTCTCAGGCGTATATGAATTGCGAATGGGACGGGACGTTCCTTGAATCAGCGAGAGACAGAGCAATGTATTGTTATCCTTGGATCGTTCCAGAATGGGAAATGGCCGTGTAGTATGCTCTCAGCGGTCCTATCTCCAAAGAAGGCTCGGTGTAGTCGGTCTGGCTGCCTGCTGTCAGGCGGATGTGATTTCTGGTGAAAGTGTCTCAAAAACCTGGCTCTGTCGATTGCCAATCTTCTTTTTGTATTAGCCATGTATACTCGTGTGATCTACCCCAGATCTGCCCCAAGTTCATCTGTCATATTGACATGATGGTGCATTTCTATGAGACGGCCTGAATTTTGCCCCCTTCCGGAGCAAGTAACCAAGCTGGTAGACTGCGCAGAATTGCTGCGCTGAAAGAGCCCTCGAACAGAAAGAGACGATCGCATATATACTCCTGAGGGAACCCTCCAGCACTCGCGCAGACGAGATGAAGCATGAATTCCCTTGGCTGCTGAGCCTTCAGAATGCTGCTGTTCACAGTATAGAAACTCAAAAGCCGGATGCTGCTCATCCATCGAGACACTATGCAGCCGCAAAACCACACTTGACGCCGTCACCGTAAACACTGCTCGAATGAGTATATATATCATAGATTTTCCGTTAGTTCCAGTCTCGGCAGACAATGCTTCCCTTACTTGCCAAATGAAGCAGCCAATGATAAGCAGCATCTCGAACCAGCTCATCGGCTGGAAGCAGTCGAAAAGGAGGCTTTCCGCATTCGTCTGACTTCCGACTCACCTTCGTTGGTCATCGTTTCTTCTTCCGTATTCTATATCTTCAAGAAGAATACGCGAGATCGAGGTGGTCTGTGGTGAGCTAATGCAGCTCATTATAGGTAGTAAGAGATGACGCATATCGTGTGAAAAGGCACGGGAGCACCAGACGAGTCATAATGATGGCGCGAACGTTTGATTTGGGGGTTGCGAAGCCCAACGGTCACACATTGGGAATTTATACTTGGACTGAGGCACCTGGCAGTGGAAGCACCCACACCAAGTCACATTTCGCGACCAAAAGTGACGACAAAAACAAAATTGGTATGGCTTTTCTACAAGCTAGCATCATCATCACTAGCTACAACTTGGCTGGGACATTAGACATTGCTATCCCGCCAACTGAATTCCCACTTCCTTGGATTCACGCGTACTTGTTGGCGACGAGCCACTCCTTCAGAGAAGCGGCATCACGCTCGCGGTAAGCGGCGCGACCGCGCACCTTATCCTTGACAGTCTCGAGGGTACGGCTGAAGGCGCTGGTGTCCTTGTCGGCGAAGAAGGACTCGATGTCCTTGACGGAGTCGAAGTCGGTGAACTTGCCGAGCGAGACCTGGATGAAGCGGTCGACGACGATGGGGTTGCTGAGCTTCTCGACGCAAGCCTCCCAGTTGTTCTTGAGGTAGTCCCACTGCAGCTGGCGGGCGACAGAGTTGCCGGCAAAGGCGGAGCCGAGCATGTGCATGTCGGCCGAGGGGATGGAGTCGGAGGCGGGGGCCGGAGGAGACTTGTTCCAGAGGAAGGGGAGGAGGGTCTTCTTGATGATTTCGGTGTCGCGGATGAAGCCGAGGTTGGAGAGGCAAACCTCCTTGCCGTCGATGGCGGGGGTGGTGAACCATTCCTTCTTCAGGACCTCGACGGCGCGGGCGGTGTCGTTCTTGACGGCAACGCGGAAGACGGGGGTACGGAGAGCGGGGTGCAGGGGGTTGGCCTTGGGGTCCTCAACCCAGGCGTTGAAGCGCTTTGTAGCCTCCTCGGTGACGGCGGCGTGGCCGTTGACACCGGCGGTAAGGAGGAGCCTCTTGCGGAGGAGGCCGTCGAGGTAGCTCTCGCTCTCGGGGAACTCCCAACCGTACTTGGCAACAGCGTCGTTGATGAGCTTGAGGGTGAAGGTCTCGAGGCCCTTCTTGATGGTCTCGTCATCGGCAAAGATGGACTTGACGAGAGCGATGGAGTCGAGGATCTGGCTCCAGACGAGGTAGTTGTCCTCCTTGGCGAAGCCCTGGACGAAGGACAGGAGGGCGGCGGTGGTGCCGTAGCCGGAGAAGGCAAGGTCAGCGGCGGAGCCGATGATGGAGATCTTGTCCTCGGTGCTGAGGCGGTCGAGCTGCTGGCCGAGCTTCAGGAGACGCTCAGGGGGGTAGTTGACACGGTAGAATCCGGAGGCGCCAGAGTTGAGCTTGTAGAACTCGGTGTCGACGTCACGGATGGTGTCCTCCTTGGTCTCTAGGGAGAGGGAGGTGACGCCCTTGGCGCCAACCTTGCCCTCGAGCTCAAGAGGAATCCACCAGGTGGTCTCGTCGTCCTCGGGCTTGACGTCACCAGTGGACAGGAAACGAGACTGCTTGACGGAGATCTGGCCGGGCTCCTCAGCAACCGTCAAGACGGGGTGGCCGATCTTGGAGATCCAGGGACCCATGAGCTTGTTGACGTCCTTGCCGGAAGCCTCGCTGAGGGCATCCCAGAGAGCCTTGGTCTTGGCGTTGCCGTACTGGTTGGCGATCAGGTAGTTAGAGACACCCTTAAGGAAGGTGTCGACGCCCAAGTGGTTGGCAAGCATGCGAATGGCAGAGCAGCCCTTGAGGTAGCTGATGTGGTCGAAAATCTGGTTGACGTCCAAGGCATCCTTGACAGGGACGTGGATAGCGTGAGAAGCGCGGATACCGTCGAGCTTGAAAGCCATCTCCATGCCCTCGTTGACGAACTGGGACCAAACCTGCCACTCGGGGTGCAGGTAATCGGTCGCGTGCCATCCAACCCAGGTGGCGAAACCCTCGTTGAGCCAGAGCTCATCCCACCAGTCCATAGTGACCAGGTTGCCGAACCATTGATGAGCCAGCTCGTGGGCGACGACGTAAGCGACGCGGTTGCGGTAGCGGGCTTCGGAGGTCTTCTCATCGAAGAGAACGGCGGTCGTGCGGTAGGTGACGAGACCCCAGTTCTCCATGGCTCCGTGGGTGAACTCGTGGACGGCGAGGAGATCGGCCTTGGGCAGGGGGTACTCGATGCCGAAGATGTCGGAGAAGAAGTCGATGATGCGGGGGGCGTGCCACAGGGCCCAGCGACCCTGCTCCTTGAGACCGCGGGTGGTGTAGACGCGGACGGGGAGCTGCTTGCCGTTGTAGCGGCGCTCGGTGAAGTCCTCAACGTACTCAAAGTCACCGACGGCCCAGGCGAGCAGGTAGGTGCTCATCTTGGGGCTGGTCTCGAAGGAGATCATTTGCCAGCCGTCGCGGGTCTTCTTGGTCTCCTTGACGGGCATGTTGCTAAGCGCGACCTGGTCCTCAGGAACCTCAATCTCAAAGTCGAAGGTGGCCTTCAGGTTGGGCTCGTCGAAGCAGGGGAACGCACGGCGGGCATCGCAGGACTCGAACTGGGTGCTGAACATGTAGTGCCACTCATCGTCGCGGGGAACGGACTTGGCGGGCTCGACGGTGGGCTTGTACTTGCTGCGGTAGAAGCCGGCCATGTCATTGTTGATGATACCCTCGAACTCGATGGTCAGGACAGCCTTCTGGGCCTGGGGGATCTCCTCGTCGAAGGTGATGGTGGCGCGCTGCTGCTTCTCGCCGTAGCTAAAGTTCTTGGACTCCCATGATTGCGTGGACTTGGTGTGGCCGACGGCGATCTTTGCGTCGAGGAGCTTGATCTCGAGGGCGTTGAGGACGATTTCCTTGGTGGGCTTGACAACTTCGGCGTCGATGCTGTTCGGGGGCAGAGCAATCATCAGCACGTGCTCGGGGATGGAAGCTCGAGCTGGAGCGGGGTGAGGGGCAGGGGACAGTTACTTACGTCACGGTTCCCTTGTAAGTCCAGTCCTTGAAGTTCAAGTCGCGAAGCGACAGAACGTAGTGGGAGGGCTTGATGGAGTCGGGGAGCACTTCGCGGTCCGCCATGTTGCCGACTCTGCTGGCGAAGAGGGCCTTGTCTGAGGTGGTGATGGTCGAGCAGTAGGAGCGAGCAGAGGATGCGGGGAAGAGAGGTCGAGAGCTGTTGCTGTTCGGGGCGAGGAAAGTCAGTCGACTTTAAAGGGCGTCGGGTGATTAGATGAAGGGAAGCAAAGGAAATGAAACAAGGGCAATAGATCGAGCAGAAGCTGTAGCTCCACTAAGCGTCCTTCCTACTTGGGAGCTGGCGAGCGGCAAGCGGCAATGGAACTTCTGGAACGGTGATGATGTGGGTTCAGTGTTGCTGCAGTGGTTGGCGATGCAACTGGTAACAGAGTTCCAGAGTGGGACCTGCCTGATGCTCCGAGGTGAGGGGCACAACGAGGGGCAACAAAAGGTCCCTGCATGGGTAAGGTTCCCTTCCCTTGGCCGACCTCACCCACTGCTCAGCACCTTACCGTAGGTAACCTAACACCACCTACGGCGAGCCACACAGCTGCTCTAGCGCCACTGGTGGGCTCATGGGGGAGCTCTCGGTTACCTAACGCGACCAGAGGAATGCGACAATCTGAGGTACCCGGAATTGGGACCCAAGAAAGACGGAGACGCGGGCTCAAGAGCCTCGGGACACACAAAGAAACGACGGGATAACGTACCGAAGGTAGACGGGGCCATTGCGGGCAGCCTTCCACACATTCGGGGTTGACCAGAGAGAATTATCCGTAGCAGTAGTGGCAGCAGTCTTCTTGAAGACCGAGGGAGTGCTGGAAAAGTGGCGTCTGAGGCCTATGTTATACAAAGATGAAGTGAAAGACGGGACGGGTGAAGCAAATGAAGAGAATAACACAGAGTTCCGGGCGAAACCTGGGGTAGCAGAAGGGCTGGTGAGGGACGCCGAGATGGCGCTCGCCTTCAGCTCCAACCCGCGTGCCCAGCTTCGCCCGACCAGCTGCCCGATCGGGTTCATCCTGTGCCGGTCGACAGGGTAGACGGACGACTCTAGAGCTGATCAATAAGAGGCAGGTCGTGGCCGGTGTCTCCAACCATCGTCTGTCTGGCCTGTTGGTCGTGAAAATCTCTGATGAGACCTTCCCAGGAGACACACAGTCCACTCGGCCGGGTCGCCGTGGACGAAGCCCCTTTGGGAAGAAACCGGGGACTTTCTGGGTACGAAGCGAGGCTGTGGTGGCTAGTGCTCCCTACGCCGATGACAAGCGAGATGGATACCGGGGTCGTATCCAAAAGTGCCATGCCGTTCAGACAAGTTCCGTTCACGTGTGAATGTCGTTCATCACATAATTAGTCAAACGTTTGAGTAATCACGAGGATGATGATGTGTGTATGATCATGATAATGCTCCATTCTGGCCATCTCTGTGTACCAAGACTACGCTGGCCCGATAAGCTCTAGTGAACGCTTCCCAAGCACATCGTCTTCCGACGTGCAACCCCCCCCGTAAGAATAGTTCCTTCCCGACAATGACTGCGCTCTTCAACCCAAATGCTTCGTCCCATGCTTGTGGAAAATGTCGAAATCAACCGATCCTCATCCTGTAACGCCGGTCCCAGTCGAGCCAAATAAGTACATCATCATGTCATCAAGAAGAGTCTTGAAGAATGCGTCCTCCTCTACCCATATATCGTACCATGCGTATGTTCCATCCCCTCATTGCAATCTTAGGAAGAAGATCCGAGGGCTGTCTCAGTCTCAGCAGCGACCTTGGCTGCTACTTCGTTCCACCAGGAACCATGAGCCGCCTTATCCACGGCCCCGACCTTGGATATCTCGTCGAGCATTTCTCGGACTTGTACTGCAAATTCGGCCAACCCCAGCCCGGCCAATTTCTCCTGCGCGGTCGTAGCCGCATTCACCTTCTCCTTGGCTGACCCTGCTGCCAATCTCGTGTTGAGGTGGCCACGGAGGCGAGCAAGCAGGAGACGAAGCACTGGCTCTGTGGGCTCGACTCCCTTCCTGATGGAGTCCTGGCTGGCGTTGACCACCTTAGTGACCAGCGCTTTGAGATGCGTCTTGGTTGCTGCTGGCATGGACCTGCCGCCCTCAAGAGCCGCCATCACGCCCTGCACTGTGGATTCGATCTTTTCGTGGTCTGATTCCAGAACTGTCATGATTCGCGTGGCCTCCGTTTTCCATGGCGCGCGCACATCTCGCTTCAGAAGGTTCTTGCACTGCAGCAAGATGGCGCCGGTGGTAACGATCCGCTGCGAGGCAAGCGAAAGCCGCGTCATCCGCTTGTAGTCTAGGAGCAGCATCTCAGGGACCTTGTCCTTGGGGATTGGCGCTGGCTGGGTGAATGCGTCTACAAGCATCTGGGCGTAAAACTTGTCATCCGTCGGTCGAGATTTCGGGTGGTTGATGCCCTCAGGGTCACGCTTGCGAACCTCGGCCAGAACCTTCGAACGAGCCGCACGCCACGCTGCCTCCGCTGTCTCCAAGCCATGCTCGCCGTTCTCTAAAGCAGACCCGAACCTCTTCTTCTCATATTCTGGGGCAGACTCGATGAGTTGCGGTGCTGCCGTGGAGAAGATATAGTTGACATAATCGCAAAGCATCAAGTCCACAAACTCCGTCAACGCTTCAACGCGGTCGACCAAGGTTCCTTGATGAAGTTTATTGTTGACCAGATCCTTTGCCTCCTCGTCGCGGAAAGGAGCACACAGCTTCGGCAGGAGAGATGCCATGGAGGCAAAGAACTTCTCATAAGAAAAGCTGCCCATCTGGAACTGGCGCTCGGCGACCTCAACATCGAGTATCTCGCCTATGGTATTATGCATGTAGGCGCCGGGCTTCACAAGCCTCTGCAGGTTGTCCTTGAAGTACCTCATCATAATGATGAAGATTTCGAAGCTGCCGTCCAGATTATTCTGTTCCATGTTGTATCGCATGCCAGCAAACAGAGGAACCTGCTGTAAAGTCCGGTGTTCCCGGAACTCGGTGGCAGGGATGCGATATTCACGGTTGATGGCAAGCTCATGAACCACAATTCGGTTGTCTGGAAGCAGGCCGCTCAGCCCAGGCTTCATCTCGATAGGCTGTGGCTTAACATGGCCCTTGGCAGGAGTTGGCGGCGGCGTTAACGTCTGCGACACCGGGGACACAAGGCTTTCTGCTGTAGCGGAAGCTTCTCCTGGTGCGTTCTCGGCCACGCGAGGCTTCATGTCGCCAGTAGGCTTCTTGGCTGCTCGCGCCTTTCGTGCTTTGCGAACAGCATCGGCAATCATCTTTTTGCCCTTCTCTTGACCGGCCAGCTTCTTGATTCGGACAATCAGCTGAATCTGATTGCTCTTGATACTTTCCCGGTACTGATCAGCAGCCGCAACATCCGTGCTCTCCTGAACTGTCTGCAAAATCTGGTCTAGCTCCACGAACTGCATCAGCATGACTTGCACAAGCGACTCCGAGTCGCGCGACTTCCAAGAGAGGAACGCGTTGGCAAAAGTGGCGTAGATCTCGGGCAGAGCACTCCGCAGGCTAGGCGGAGGCGTGTAGTTGTTGGCAGCTGTCAAGCGTGACAGGATGTTCTCGAAGGAAATGAGGAGGTCTCGGGCTTTGGTCACGAGGTCCTGCAACTGGGGATTAGCCAGGTCATCACGGGGTATCGGTTGAGGCTGCAGCAATCCAACCTGTTCCGGTTCCCCCGTGCCGTCCTTGTTGCTAAGGACCTGAGTGGGATGGCCTAGGATGAGAAAGGCGCTGAGGAAGGTCCTCACGGCCGCCATTTCGTCAACCGATCCCGGGTCACCCTCCTGCAAACCACAGATGCGAAGGATGCGAGCAGTTCCAACAACAACTTTCTCCTGGGCCAGCAGCTCGAGGACCTGATCGAAGGACGTGTCCCGCACGCCGTCGATGGTGAGGCCCAACTCGGAAAAGGCAGCCACAGCCTTCTTCCTGATGTGGCTCCTGTACCACCACTGCAGCCTTGACGCAGCAGCAGCCTCGGTCAACGCCGGAGTCTCTTTCTCGGCGACTTGCGGGAGGGTCTCGGTCGGTCTCCGAGATACCAGGCTCTGACCGCGAACTCTCTTGGTCGCAGCGGTTCTGTTTTTCAGCTCCTCCCTCCTCCGCTCCGCTTCGGCCAAGCGCTCCTCCATCTGGACGCGGAGCTTGACCAGCTCGCGCTCCCTCTTCTCCTTCATAGTTTCGGCGACAGCCTTGGCCCTCTTGACCTCTTCAGCGCAAGATGCCACGATCTCTGCCAGGTTGCGCTCCCGCGCCTGCTGGGCAGCGATGGCGCGCTCCTCAGACACTGAGGTATCGCGGTGGGTGGCCTTGGCCATGGCGGCTCTCAGGCGAACCTTCTCCGCATGGGCAGCTCGGTCGGCGAGGCGCGCTTTTCGGTCTTCCAGGAAGGACGTGCGCCGGAGGTGCTGTGCGACATGCTTGCTCTGTGGAGCCCCAAGACGGGTGAAGGTCTGGGTGGAGGAGCAGCGGGAATGGGCAGAGGAGATGGAGTTGCGGCGGGAGGAGGCAGCTGAGTCCTTGCGACGAGTGTGCGACGGTCGGTAGAAGCGGGCGGCGATGTGTGGAGGCGGGGTGAAGATGCGGCCATCGCCATCTTCTACCTCCTCGTCAGAGTTTGGTGGCATAGAGAGGTCGACATCTGCGGCGTCGAAATCTGACGAGGGAGAGCCGACTGATTCCTCCAGATTGTACGATGGGTCGGTGAGGTCTGCCGAAGGGCGACGCATGCTGACGGCGTGCCTGGCTTCGATGGTATGGGGTTCGAGCGGTTGTTGTGTCGCAGTCGCGGGGGTAGACGATAAACAATGTCTAAGGGGGTATGTAACGTCGAGGGCGTCGAAGAGCAAGAAGGAGTTGCTTGAAACTGGACAAGTCTAGTGATATCGGCTTGCTGGCTGAGGGAAACTGTCGAGCAGTGTTTCTGTCGGTGGTGGTGGTAGTCACGGTGGAAGGCGAGGCGTTGGCCCAATACGGTAAAAAGGTGATTGATTGATTGAAGCCTGTATTGAGGGGAGGAGCGAGTGTGCGACCAGAGTCGATAACAACGGCGAAATGCGCTGAATAAGAGGAACGCTCTACAGGCAGAACTCGAAGAATACAGACGAGGTATACGAGCGAAACCAAAAAAAAAAGGTTGGGGGATGTGGTGTCTTGGTCGACAGACCGTGGGATGGGAAATCGAGATGGTTCAGGTCGGAGGGTGGTAAATCATGGCTGGAGCTGGTGCAGGTGCAGGTGCAGGTGCAAGTGCGGGTGCGGGTGCTTGGTGCGGGCGGATGCGTTGGGTGTGGGTTGCAGGTGCAGCAGGGCCAGTATCAGCCTTCATTCAGCAAGGGCGACCAAACACCGTCAATCAAGTTTCGAACTTTTTTTTGGGGCGGCTGGGCTTCGTTTGGACTGGGCTGGCTTGAGGGTGCTGGGCCGGGCTCACTCGGCAGGGCGGGCTGGTAGTGCGTGCCTACCTATCCTACCCAGTACCTTAGTGGAAGGTGCAGCAGCGGCAGAATGACCTCCTACGGATACCTAGGTACCTACCCAACACACCGCGCCAATGAGGAAAAGTCTGAGGTGCTGCTAGCCAAAAGGGACGAACCCACGGCGCTGGAATGACGGAAGCTTCCAGTCGCATTTGCCCACTGTAGAGTATGCTCTCCATTCCGCTGCTCTGCCTGCTGACCGAGCACACCTCACCTTCCTTGCCGCTCCACTGGATTGTGAATGGCGGCATTGAATTGCACAGGATCTGCAGGTATGACAAACATTGCGCTATCCACCAGACGGCTCTAGCGGCCCTTCCATCTTTGGCGAAGCAAGTGCCTCTCGTGTCCCACCATCTCCGTCCCCTGTGAAGGAGACGTCCCGGTCTTGTGTTGAGGTGAGTGAGCATTTTGTTCCATTCGAGGCATGGGCGGAACAACCGGGGGCTTGCTTATCCCTGGTCTCCCATGTGACATTGCAAAGGGGCTGATACTCGTCCCCTTGGCCTTCTGATCACAAATGACGTGCCTTCTCTCCACATCCCCGAAAACTTTCAGGAGCTGAGTAGCCGTGCTGTCCGCATTGCACGCAATGTCGCGTCTCGTCGCATCGCAGGATTCTGAATTCTAGTTTACCTCAGGTTAACTTACTCTAGGGTGCAAGATCGTGAGCCAGTCCGCTTTAGGAAAGGCGCTGGCGTCATAGGACGCCGATAATACGACTCGAGTCACGTGGAAGGCCCGGCCCCGTGGTCGACGACCACCGGCCGCCACCTCACGGGCACTCCCAAGCGGCTGTGGCGCGGTCCGACGAACCTTGCCCCTCTTCCAGAAACCCCACGGCCGTCCGGTCCGTCGCAGCGACTCCGATAACCACCACTACTACCAACACTTCGTGTGCCGTAGTTCCAACGGTTTGGCGCTCTTAGCGACACCCATACTTATAGCACCAGTATCGCATCGTACTCGGGAGCCAGCCTTGTCGCTAGACTCGGCACTACTCCGAGGACATGATCATCCTGCGTGAGACCGTCCTAACCAAGGACTGGTATAAACCGGTGCCATGTGGTCTTCGGCTCGGTGGCTTGAACTACAACCCCTCGTGAGCTATCGCATCCTTGGCAACATGTTTATCAAGCACGGTATTGAAGCTCGGCTTGCCGATCATCCTTTGCATGGCCGTAGGATTCGCCATCTTTATCAATGTTTCACACGACTCAACGATGGCGTTCAGAGACAAAAGATAGCGTCGGAGAGGCCATCCATGGGAGTAAGACACCAGCCTCCTCATTTTCTGTTACCAGAACGGCACAGCCTACGAAGCTCCAAACTTCTGTCACTCTGAAGGTCTCTGCTATTTCGGACACAATGCCAATGCTATTTCTTAGTATCAATTGTCTTGCACAGCAGCAACTCCTCGCCCCGCAGTTCCCATCACTCCCTTGCTCCTCACAGCAAACATACTATGAAGTCTTGAAAATGTTGACAGCGCTGATACCACCACCTGCTGCTGATTGTTGCTCGGTCAATCTTGCTGCGAAAATGAGTACTGCGTATAAGGATCACTGCTTTTGCGACACTCCACTCAGCCTCTCTACCTTCGAGGGTAGCACAAGCGTGAGATAGATAGCACAAGCTGTTGGATTTTTAAAAAGGCCCTTTTCCCAATGCTATCAGAATATCTATTGTAGCAGAGACTCGCCATGGATGAAACTCAAGTACATGTCCCTACGGGTGTTTTATTAGTTTCGAGTTTGACTATTCCCTCGAGTTGTGATCCCAGTATCATAGCTGGCCGTGAGCCCCTGCAAGTATCCCAGACTGTTGCCAATAGCTCAGGTTCGGTGAAATACGGGAAAAGGAGCTATAGAGCATTCATAGTAAAGACATGAACCACCAGATTCCAGTCTATCGAGGGTCCTCCAGTCGAGGCTTAGGCAATGCTAGGAAGGGAAAACGGGACACTCAGTTGAGGCCGGAATATCAGGAGGAGCGTTGCTGAGAACAGAATCATGGGACGCGTGTTGTTGGTAAAATGTCGGAACGCTCACACTGCCTGCCCCATGACCTTTCTCGACGTCTGGCTCTTTTTACATTGACGAGGGTTCACTGCGCGCGTCCGATAGTTGAGGACGAGAAACCACCCGCGTATCATTTCACGCAACGAAACTTCGAATCTCGGTCTTACTTAACTCGTAATTCTGAGCCCCCAAGATCGACTCCTGGGACAAGATTCAGCCTGGGCTTCAGACGATCAGCCAAGTGTGCGATGCTAAGCTGGCTTCGGCATAGTCTCGAGGTGAGATGTTGAAGCCGGAGCTAGCCATGCCTAATAGTGGTTTCTTTCGCATGCCTCTGTATTTCTCATCACTTTCATCTCTTGAAGTTACGAAAGTGGAATACTCTACAAAGAGTCCCTGTCGAGTCACTAATTAGCTATTTCACACAAGCAAGCGAATCAAATCTTCGATATGGACCAAAACTTCCATCAAACAGAAATCTCTCGTACTCCGACACCCAAATGATTTACACAATCGAATAGTGTTTGCAAGTTCCATAGCTAATATGCCGACTTCAGAAACGGCGAAATCCGTGTCGTGAATTCTATCACGTACGGGCGGCCCCGATGCTATGCCACTGAGATCGAAAGGATTGAGACGCCCACGGGGGACAAGTACACAGAAGCCCGAAGACGAGGTGCGCATGTGGCATAAACCAGTGAGTCGGTCCTATATAAAGCACACCTTGGTCGGATATCACCGAGGAACCACAAATTTGTAAGTTGAGAGATTCACATCTTCCAGCATGTGGCAGCCGTGCTGACGCAGGGAGCACTCATCAGACTCTTGTTAAGCCTGCTCCGTTAATTGTCTTCCTCCTAACACCAATATGATCCACAGAAGCACTAGCAACTGAATAAGACAGCGACCAAAATAAATGAAGGACGCCAGCAATGCGCAGGTTGTTTGGAGACTCGGGATCGGTCAGTTCGAGGCGAGTCTCAGACGTATTCGCGATGGATGATGCCGTTTCTACCTCAAGCATTGAATCCCTAACGACTTACCGGGGCGGACTTCGATAGATAGGATTTGCCGATCCCATGTCAGCACCGGATGAGCCGATCTTTATATAATCATCGCAATGGGCGTATCCAACCTTTACGACGGCAATCTCTGGCCGAGCTCGGAGGTCATCTCATATCGACTTTTGCGGATACGATGCTCTCACACACTGGTTTATAAGGCGACAGTCCAGCATTAAAAAACTTCCAATGCAAAATGAAAGCTTCGTATCTCATCAAGTTATCTCTGACCGATACATCGGATAGGAAGGCAGTCTAGCTGCCCAAGGCCCCGATACTCCCGTCTCAAAAGCGAGTGCCCAGTTCCAGGTAATCATCATCTCTTCTTTATTCAGCCACATCACCTAGGAGAGATGATGGATACCTAAAAAAGGTTCCACTCAGGAACTCGAGAACCCCCATATCAGTCAGCCTCGTGATCCTCCCGGAAGCCCGCCGTCGCCAAAAGCCAGAAGACGTCAGTTCTAATGCAACGGAGAATGGATCAAAATTGTCTCGTTGGCTTCCAAACACGCTAGGCATCTCCTTATAAAGCTATCTGCCTGCTCATTCAATCGTATATAATCCACGCCAACATCCTGAACCTTCAACCCCAGGAGACAGAGATGTTCGCTCGGTGTACTCTCGCATTCCAAATATCCACCAACTCCCATCATTTCTTCCATGAGTGTTTTACCGCGAGCTTCCTTACGTCGGTGGGCATTTGCAATTCGCTCGCACAGGCGAGCGTCCGTGGGAGATTATTCGACTGGAGATATCCATATCGTCAACAGACGAGGGACGTCGGCGAAGAAAGGTAGCCACGCCGAGCATAAGGACCTGAAATCTTCGAGATGCTTGTGCCTCTCAATACAAGGTCATTCAAGATATCGCCGCTCCAGTAACATCCAACGTACAAACCGCTCACTTGTCGCATGAAAACTCAAGCGGCTGGTGATCTGGCACAACCGCATCACTGGCACAGCTCACGTCACACATCAGTAGCGCCGAGATTCATGGATGCAACATAAGTTCGTCAGTTCAAGAGGGCAGCTGCGTGCGCCGTCCGCTCTATGCTCATATTCGGTCAACGCCTCTAGTATACAAAGTTCAAGGACCGACCGCAGCCTGATCCAAACATGCCGATGCCAATGTAGGTAGGCACACAATAAACCCATGTATCATACGG